CTTGCCGGCAACGGCCATCATGAATGGAGCGTTGACCTTGCGCTCCAGAGCCTTCATGCCGTCGAGGTACTCAAGCAATGAAGGACCGTCGTACCAGTCAGCGATGCCCTTGGCGATTCTCTCCTTGATGTTGATGGATTGCTGGGCGGCGACGGGAATGAAATGGACGTCCGTCTTCAGGTTGTAGCCGGTGCCCTTCAAGAACTGAGACAGCTTGGTCGTGCACTCCTGGTAACGCTCGTGGGACCACTCAACGGTGGCGTCGTCCATCTTGTTGATAGCAACAATCAGCTTGTTGACGCCCTGGGTCTTGGCAAGCATAGCGTGCTCACGGGTCTGGCCGCCACGCTCGAAACCGGTCTCGTACTCTCCTCTACGGGCTGAGATGACCAGAATACCGACATCCGCCTGCGAGGCACCACCAATCATGTTGGGGACGTACGTCTTGTGACCGGGGGCGTCGAGGATGCTGTATCGTCGTACGTCCGTCTCGAAGTAACCTCTTCCGACCTCAATGGTCTTGCCCTGTGATCGCTCCTCCTTGTTCAGATCCATGACCCATGAAAGGTACCAAGATGGGTTGCCGATATCCCTGGCCTCCTTCTTGTACTTCTCCATTGTCCGCTCATCGACCATGCCAGTGTTGTAGAGGATAGAGCCACCCAAGGTAGACTTTCCAGCATCGACGTGACCGATGAAGATGATGTTGACGTGCTCCTTTCCGTAAATCTCCTTCAGAGTCGCCTCGTCGACATCGGCCGTCTGTTCCTTCTGGACGGCGTCAACATCTCTCACGACCTTCTTCTCCGGTCCAGAGGGGCTGGAACGGCCTGAGGAAGGAGCAGGAGAGGTCTTGCCAGACTTAGTGGTGGAAGCACCCGTCTTCTCGATCGCCTTGGAAGCGGTTGCCTTGGCCCCGGCCTCGACTGCGGCCGCAGATGAGGCCTCCTTGGGAGCCTCCTCCTTCTTCTTCTCCTCCTTGGGGGGGACAGTGCCGCCGATGGAGAGGACCTTGGCCTTGGGCTTGGGTGCGTCACCGCCGATGCTCAAGACCTTGGCACCTCCTTCACTCTTCACTTCGGGCTGGGGCGCGGCTGCGGGAGCAGGCGCGTTGGAGCCAGAGGCCGGGGCGTCAGTCGGACGCTTAGCGATGGTAGGTGCCGCAGCCTGGGGCTGCTGTTGCTGTTGCTGGCCATATTGGGGGTAGCCTTGACCTGGAAGTTTTTGTGTTAGGGAACTGTCATGGGAGACAAGATGACTTGTCGATGTCTCAAACATACCGTAGGCTTGCTGCTGCTGCTGCTGGTAGCCCTGCTGGGGGTAACCGCCGCCATAGTTACCCTGGCCATATTGGTTGTATCCTTGCTGGCCGCCATACTGGGGGAAGCCACCTGCACCACCAGCAGCGCCGGGACCACCGTAGCCTTGGCCATAGTATTGCTGGTACTGCTGAGCGTAGCCGCCGTATTGTTGGTTAGGCTGGAAAGCCTGGGCTCCGGGGGTGAAAGAGGAGGCTCCAGGGGTGAAGGAAGAGCCGCCTGGACGGAAGGCGCCGGCTTGAGGGTTCTGCTGGTTGAGGTTGAGCTGCTGCTGGGCCTGGCGCGACAAGTTGTCGTCCTGGGCGGATGGGTCGTCTTCCCACGAGTTGAGGTTCGACATTGTGATGGACTGCAGCGGGGCGGCAGATGGATGGATTGTCGAGAAGGTGAGGTGTCGTGTCGTTTGCACGATCGGGAAGCGGAATCGGGGGGAGGGGGGAAGAATGCGGTCAGAGGTGAGCTAGAAGTGGGATGGGTCGTTAACGAGATGCGCTCCGAGAAAGATTTAAAGAGGGGCTGGAGGGTTTATTTTTCCTGCACCTCAGACGTGAACGGCAACCTCTGTGGCGCCAGCAGGCCAGTAACAGGAGTGACACAAGGAGGGAGGCGAAAGATGAGTAACAATGTAATCTATGGGCAGAAAATGTGACTTGGAGTTGGGCTGGAATGACTCACTTTGTAGGTTGATGACTGCCGCCTGACTGACTTGAAGAAATTCCAAGGAAATATTGCTGTTCTGCCTCTGGTAGAATTCAGGTCAGATTTCTAGAAGCTTTTCCCGGCCCTCTCAATTTTTTCAATGATATAACGCAGCGGCTCTGTGTCTGCTAGCGTAGAGACCTGACGAACGTTTTGAAGTGCTGGCCCCACCACTTGGCGGGGTTCCTGCCTCGACTTTGGCTCAACACCGCACTGTCCTCATACGGCAGCTGCTCAAAGGTACGTAGCCAATGAGGGGTAATTTGCGCTGCTAAAATCTGTTCTGCCCCTCGCCTGGGCACGTGAGATGCGCGGGGCTGGTGATGAATTTCGCACTGTGTTACGGATCCCTTCTACCCAATGCAGCCCAGGCGGGCAAGGTACAGCGGTCAGTGGGTGTAGCTACCTTACCGTCCTTGCAGGCCCTCCATGGACTGCTCAGGCTTTGAGATGCGATTCCTTTACTTTTGAGATTCACCTATGGCAACCTGCCTCAGGTATCCCGGTCGATTCATTCATCACCACCTGCAGGGATTATTTTCTTTGTTCTCACCTTCGTATTGCAGTCTACAAACCAACTCATCTTGCTGGCTGGAGACCCAACTCAAGATCTGTCCTTCTCCATACCAGCATGGGACCTGAACAATCATGGACGCCTTACTTGCGAAGCTGGGAGCCCAGGCAATGAACATGGCCATCAGGTCAGGCATTGCCTTGACCTCAACCTATGCCTTCTCCCAGTGTTCTCGCCTCATGAAGACTGTTGACGATCGAAATGTTCGCTCAGATATCAAGAAGCTCCAGAAGAGACTGGATAGCAAAATCAAGGTAAGAACAACCTTCTCAGTAACATATTCATACATGCTGACCCGGCTGACAGATCGTCTCTCCTGCAATCGATCTCATTGAGTTCAAGTACGTGACCATTGATATCTCAACGAGAAGTAATCCTTATTTGCTGACAACCTCTCAGATCAGGCAGAGGCAACGCCTTCTTGGAATCAGCCCTTCCCCTGGCTAAGAGTCTTCGTCGAGACATAGTGGCCCTAGGTCGTCGGGTAGAACAAGCAGCTCAAGCTGGAGAAGCATCACGGGGGTCTTCACGACAAAGTGTCGACTCTGAGAGGCAATTCGAAGAACTGAAAGCAATCATCAAGGACATGAAAGATCTTTTGGCCCAACTGGATAATGATATCCCCCTCTTGCATATGGCCATATCAGCATCAGGAGAGAGTCTCAATTCTGCCATGTCCCCTCATATATCGCCTTCGAGGTTCTCGCAAGCAGGAACCTTCCTCACCTATGGCGATAGTCAATTCGCCGTCGATCCTACTCGCCCGGTGCAAATCGGACCCATCTTCACACTGTCAATTTATATGCTGTTCCTTGGTCACTCCTCAAAGGCTTCCGAGGGAAGCAAGCATGCTGGAAACCCGCAAACACCTCGTAAAGGCTCTGTCAGCGAAAACGCGCAACCTTACGGTATTGGGGAGGAAGACCGCAAACCGTTGTGGCAAGAGGTTATGCACAAAGCCAGGGTACGACTATGTCGGACACCTATGGATCATGTTTTCGACTCTGAAGAAGGCTTTCGCCCGAAAACGCCCAATGATCCAAACTTTGACGAATCAAGATTCTATGGTTCAAGTCCTTTCGGCATCGGCCAGTGCAACGAGTATGCCTACCACTTGGAAGTCATTGAGGACCTAGATGATGGGCGAGCTCATGACGACCTGGACACAGACTCTGCTCCATATGACGACATCTTGCAGGCTGGAATTCGCGAGTCTATCCCGATTTATCAGATATCCAGGATTTTCTACGCCGATACTGGCCGAATTCTCAACATTGGCAGTGACGACGGCGACAATAATCCTGTCTTGCTGCTGAAGCGGGACGTTCTCGCCAAGCCACCTCTGAAGACTCAGGAGGAAATGATGTCTTTCCAGGATGAGCCAGACTCACCGACAGCCTTTAAGGCTGGTAGCGAATCAGAAGACGTGGATGAGCAGGATGATATCGATAGACAGCTTCGAGAAGAGAGTGCAGCACTGGATACGCCTCAAGAACAGCCTGAGCCTCACGTTCCCCACCCTCGCAGAAGCTTTCCGAGCCACTTGGATCCAGAATGGATGGCCCTGGAGGTTTTCGAAGACGACGAATCGGATAGCAGCGATACCGAGGACGAAGATGTTGTTGAGGAGCTACCTAGCTTACCGAGGTTGGCAACGCCTACTTCGGCAAGAGGGTCTCCAAGACCAGCCCTACGAAATCGCACTTCGCTGGACTCGAGACTCATGGCACAGATACAGAATCTATCTGTGCAGTCATCCCCATTCAACAGAAGCGTGGGATCACCTGCGCCGACACAGCCCTTCTCACAACAGTTGGCAAAGCATTCGCTGGGCAATTCGGATTCCTTTGCGGCGAGGTCTCCATTTTATGCTGTCGTCACTTCTCTGTCTCTCATGGAGATGCTGATTCGACTGACGAGTTTGCAAGAATTCCAGCAGGCGCCGCATCTTACGATGCACGACCATATTCTGAACTTCTTCTTGGAGGAATCATCGACGACAGGACTCACCGGAGAAGAGCGTTTGAGGGCTCGAACGGAGACGAAAAAGCGTGTTGGCTTTGACCCATACACTGATACCCCATCTAGACATTAGAAATGCTTCGAAATTAGAAGAAGAAACACAATTGTTTGTTGGCCTTCTAAGGTATACCTTAGCTTATAACAACACACTGTGGTGACTTCTCGCCTCGGTGAGCCTCGGTGAAGTAAATTGACTTGGAGTGCGGGTTAGAGTTCTGCACTGTCCATCAGGTAGGGAGTGCGCTGTCGCACGAGACCCCTAGCAGCTGTCCCACACTTGCGTTGTGGCGGCGCGGTCGTTGCCTGCCCGTTGCTGGGGAGAGTTATGTCATTGCTAAGTATGTGGTACCAACGGCTTTCACATCCCATTCACAATTAGGCATTTCCCCCAACAATCGCATCTATTTACACATTGCGAGCTTCCTGGACACGATTAGCCACTCTACTACAAAAAGGACGATCCTCGCCGGGTTTACCCAAAGTCCTGGCGTTATATCGATCTCCCCTCATGAAACTTCCATGAAGTTGGTACAGCCCACATTCGCTTGTTTTTCTCCCCCCTTCTTTTCTGTTTTTCCCTCTGGAATTACCCCTCCAAGAGTCCAACCCGACTGACACCTCCACGTTGAAACTACAGAAAACCAGGCGCCGACTTCTCCCTCCAGCCTAGAAACACGATTACTTCTGAGAGACCCTCCGATCTCTCTTCATCTCATTGCCAACAAAGACTGCATTACGTCAACAATCGCGAATACAGCCCACGGCTGCGCTATACACTCATGGTCAACCAAAGGAACCCGGCCAGAGGCCCTTTGCGCCCGGTCAATCCTATCGAGGATTCGCAATCATCAACAAGCCACGAGCTTCCTAAGACGAGCAGCTCGAGCAAGGAATCGCGCGGTGCCTCCCATTTGCTTTCACGAGCTCAAAGTTCGGACTCGGATTCGTTCGACCCCGATGATCTTGCCGCCCAAGTCGGATCCATGCGTTTGTCAACAACACCAAAGTCGAAAGCTCCTGCAGCGATCCCGAATTCGTCTGCGAGGCGCAACCCGCCAGCCTACCGCCAAACGAGTCCTGATCTGGTCGAAATATCCCGCAACGACTTCAAACCACCACATCGACCAGCTCCGAAGGAGAGCGAACCAAGCTCCCAACACGAGAACTCCTTACTGCACTCCGATGCGTTGGAGTCATTCTTTTCGGATGTCAAGCGTCATGACCCTTTCCATCCTTCGTCCTCACAGCCTGTTTTTGGCCATCCTACCAAGATTCTGTCCTCTCTTAAGCAGAAGGCAACAGGCATTTTCAATGAGAGAAGGTCGCGCCCGGAGCATCACCGACCTCAGCAGATGGCGGTTCCATCAGTTCCTCTTTACCAAGATAGGAAACCTGAGCCGCCCACATTGTATAGCTCCATTGGCCCCGACGCCAATCCCTCGACCTTTCGACCTACCACAATGTTTGGAGAAAACGAGTTCTGGACAGACCCCGCCAAGGCATCGTCCGATCTGAAGGCTTTATTGGAGGGCGGAATGGAGTCAGAGGATGAGGGTGGAAAAAAGGAGGAAGGCGAAACCACGAATGATGGTACCGTGGAGGGCCTCAAAGTGAAGCTCCTGCCTCACCAGGTTGAAGGCGTGGAGTGGATGCGAGGTCGCGAGCTCGGTCCGGTCAAGAAGGGCAAGGTACCTAAGGGCGGTATTCTGGCGGACGACATGGGTCTTGGCAAGACTCTTCAGACCATTTCCCTGATACTCGGCAACCAAAAGCCCAATAAGGACGACAAGGGCTGGAAGAAGCATTTCGACGACATCGAGAAGACAACGCTCGTGGTTGCGCCTTTGGCCTTGATCAGGCAGTGGGAGGCCGAGATCAAAGAGAAGGTGGCCAAGTCGCATGGGCTCAAGGTCTGTGTTCATCACGGACCTCAACGCACCAAGAAATTCAAGGACCTCGCATTGTACGACGTCGTGGTCACAACCTACCAAGTTTTGGTTTCCGAATGGGGCCACTCCTCCGAAGATGAGAAGGGTGTTAAAGCAGGCGCCTTTGGCCTCCACTGGTGGCGAGTCGTGCTCGATGAAGCACATACTATCAAGAACCGTAACGCCAAGTCCACGAAAGCCTGCTACGCCCTGCGTTCAGAGTACCGATGGTGCCTTTCAGGAACCCCGATGCAGAATAACTTGGAAGAGCTACAGTCCCTCATCAAGTTCCTCCGCATCAAGCCGTACGATAACCTCAAGGAATGGAAAGAGCAGATTGAGAAGCCTCTCAAGAATGGTCAGGGCCATGTGGCAATTGGTCGGCTTCACAGTCTTCTGCGATGCTTTATGAAGCGGCGCACGAAGGAAATTCTCAAGAAAGACGGTGCCCTCAACCCTGGCGGCAAGCCAACCAAAGAAGGCGAGAAGTCTACTACTGGCTTCAAGGTCACCGAGCGCAAGGTCGTCACAGTTGCTACGAAATTCTCCCCAGCAGAGCGTCGCTTCTACACGCGACTGGAAGCCCGAGCCGACAAGAGCATCGAGCAAATGCTTCAGGGAAAGATCAACTATGCTAACGCATTGGTTCTGCTTCTGCGGCTCAGACAAGCTTGCAACCACCCAAAGCTGCTTGAAGGCAAGCTTGAAAAGGACAGGGAGGCGTTGTCCGATGCCGCCCCAAAGACCGCGCGTGGAGACATCGACTCTCTTGCTGAAATGTTTGGCGGAATGGGCATAGCTTCAAGGAAATGTGACGTCTGCGGTCGTGAGTTGTCGCGGGACGAGGCCAGTAACGGCAAGGACACCTGCCAGGAGTGTCGCGAAGACCTGGCGTATTTCAACGAGCACGAGACGCCAAAGTCAAAGAAACAGAAGAAGCAGAAGAGCAGTGTGAAGAAAGTGGTGCGGAAATCTTTGGGAGGGCATGATGAAGAAGAAAGCCCGTATAAGCCCAAGGCCAGGAGACCCAGAAACAGGAACGTCGTCGTTGATAGTGATGACGAGGAGGCGGACGGTAGCTGGCTCGTACCCGGGGATCAGCAGGGTCAACTGCGGATGGGCAAGGCTGGCGGCGAAGAAGATGAGAATGCCGAGGGAGGTGGCGAATGGATTGGCAAGGATGACTCCAAGCACGATTCCGAAGACGAAGACGACGACAGCGAGCTCGACAGTTTTGTCGTCAAGGATGACAAAGAGAAGAACGATCGGGACAGCGACCAGAGTGACGTCTCCGATGACAGCCTCCTCTCAATAGGAGCGATAGCATCGCAAGTCAAGGAGGAGAAACTCCGTTCCTCGCAGTCGCGTGTGTCGGACTCGGAGACTGATTCGGAAGAAGACACGGGCGTAGACGTATCGGAGCTCCATTCCGACAAGGACAACGACTACGACCCTGCGGGCAAGGCATCCAAGGTCCTGGCCTCGGCCAAGATCCGCGAGATGATGCAGATCCTCCACAAGGAGGCCCGCAAGCACAAGTTCATCGTCTTTTCGCAATTCACGTCCATGATGGACCTCGTCGAGCCCTTTTTCCGCAAGGACGGGCTCAAGTTCACCCGGTACGACGGCAGCATGAAGAACGACGAGCGCGAGGCTAGTCTGGACCGTCTCCGTAACGACAAGAATACGCGCATCCTGCTCTGTAGTTTGAAGTGCGGTAGCTTGGGTCTCAACTTGACTGCGGCGACTCGTGTCATCATTCTAGAGCCTTTCTGGAATCCCGTAAGTTTCGCCTCCGTGCCCTAAACCCCCTAACAAGATTTGACCGCCATACTGATTTCCTTTTCTAGTTCGTCGAGGAACAAGCCATCGACAGAGTCCACCGCCTCACCCAAACAGTCGACGTGATCGTCTACAAGCTCACCGTGGAGAACACGGTCGAGGAGCGCATCCTCGCGCTGCAAGACAAGAAGCGTCTCCTCGCCGAGACGGCCATCGAGGGCGGCATGAAGAAGGACGCCTTCAAGCTCGGGTTCAAGGAGATTATGGACCTGTTCCGGCGTGACGCCTCTGCTGCGCCGCCCAGTCTTGGTGATGCTTTCCCCGATCCGTCCTCCGTATCCCAAACCACATCGGCGAGAACGAGTAGGCACGGGTCGCCTGAATCTGGCAGCTTGGTGGCGGCGGGGAAGAAGAAGGCCAAGAAGCCTGAGCATGAGATGTTTGGGAGGCGGTGGTGAAAGAAAAAGAAAAAAGAGCTGAATGTTGCTTTTTTTTTTCGTGCAGATTTGGGCGTACCGTGGAATAGGTAGGGCGGAAAACGTTGGCTTATTATGAGGGAAGGAGGCAGTGTGTGCGTTTCTAGGAGTTGTGCAACATACAGAGATGGCGGCTTTCACCCTTAGAGCATAGGACCATTGGAGTTGACAGGATTCTTTCTGTATTCTCATGATACGACGATGGAAAATAAACACTGAACTTGGAATATACGTTTGGATCAAGTACAGGTGCAAATGAGCTCCTTTTTCTGCCTGTCCTTCATCTACTTTGCCACACATTGCTCGCAACAGCGAGCTCACAATGGGAACAAGGAATACACCAATGACGAGACATGATAGTGTACAGATTTCGAGTATTATTTACCCTCTCCATCCCATTTCCCTTGCTTTCTACCTTGACTACGGTGGTACGTCTCCTCGCAATCGACAAACTGCCCGCCATGCCGGGTATGATGTTCCTCTCTGTATGGGCTTCGCAACTCCCCAAAAAAGCTGGCCTTCGTCTTCCTGAATTCAACCAACACGATTGACTACTAGACAACTTTGCATGGCCCCGAGAGAGCGGCCGACAATGCACAAGATACCCTCCCAGACACAATGAATGAAAGTCATTAAAATATCGAATATACTCCGCCCAATAGGATAACCTACGACCAAACTGACCGCCTTTCCCTTGATGTCAAGGTCGCTACTGCCTCGTCCCCGCGTCTAGTACACGCCACTCTGTCGATAGTAATCCGCAGCGGGCGGTGCGCTTGGCCCATCGGCACCGCCGCCGGGCGGAACATACGCTCTGTACTGCGGCTGTGATGGTCCCTGGCTCGGAAGACTGTTTCTAGCATCGTAGGCTGCGCCACCAGGCTGTAGGGGCGGCGGTGTCATCACTTCAGATCGGCCGGCACCAGGGATAGGCGGGGCCGCTCCAGTCGGTACAGGCGGTGGTGCCTGAGTAGGGGCACTGACGTAATTATCCTGCCTCTGAGCTCCAGGTGGTTGATAGCTCTGGTATTGTGGCTGGTGGTGCTGTTGCGGCGGTTGTTGAGGCGGTTGTGAGGGCTCTCCGGCTGGTGGTGCCGATGGTTGGAATGACGAAGGTGCTGGAACGGTCGAGTTACCTACGACGGGGCTACCGTTATTGTAGTCATCTTGGGAATATACGGAGGATGTGTATGTTGCAGCAGAGCTCGGGTTGTGGGTAGCAATGGGCGAGTCGTAGACAGAGGTTGCCAGCTCCTGGGGGCCGTAGGTGCTCTGTGGCCTTCCTTGGTTAGGAGGCACAGAGTATGCGGAATACGTGTTGGCCGGCGGCGGTGACGAGGTGTTGATCGGCGGCACCTGTGCCTTGCCCGTGGATGGAATACGTTGGTCACGCGGGGGATACTGTTGCGGTTGGTTGTGAGGCGGTGCTGAAGGAACCTCTGCACCGGCTACGTAGAAAGGAGCAGGCGTTGCCTGTGCCGGACGCTGGAAGTTCGGCGAGGGCGTAGACTGAGGGTATTGTGGTTGTTCTATGTACAAACTAGTTAAACTTGGTGCGCTTGGAAGAAGGCAATCAAGGTAGTTCACCTTGGGGTGCTGGAGTATAGTATCTCTGCTCCTGCTGCTGCTGTTGCTGGGGAGGGCCTTGAGGAGGGCCCTGAGGATGACCCTGGGGAGGACCCTGGGGAGGATAGCCCGCCCCTGGTCCGCTTGGGTACCCGCCGGGACCGGGTCTCATGGCATACTGGTGGTAACTAGGCTGAGGAGGATGCGACATGGACGATTCCAAGAGAGACTCGTAGTCGCGGCGAGCCTTGATGAACTTCTCATTCAGCTGTGTAAAGTCATCTACACATCTTGGTCAGTATAAGCAGCATAGACAAGTGAGTGGGGTATCTCTGACCCTTTTTCTGGGAGTACTTCTCAATAAGCTTAATCAGCTTCGGCCTGATGGCCAGCGTTTGGTGGTAGAGCTTCTGTGCGACGACTTGTTAGTACCGAGTCGGGTTGAGGTGACGCCCGTAAGACTTACCGATATCTCCTCGTTATCCTCTTCTCTCGGCGCCGTGTTGGACGTGCTCAAAAGCGTGAGCAGCTTCTCGACATTCTTGATCTCTGCAAACACCTCGGCCTCCATCTGCGCCTCACGCGCCAGCTCATCGGGAGTCGGATCTGTGAGCTTCTCGACGTAGTTGAGGGGGAAGATTCCTGTCTTCCCCTTGAGCGAGCCCCGCCACCAATCCTTGTAAACCGACTCGAGGACTGCAATAACATCGCCCTTCTTGAACTCGAGTTCACCCGGCTCGGAAGGAACGAAGTCGTATAATGCTCGCACCCTTGACACCGTGGCAGCCGTCGTGCCAGCAGGTACGGGTGTAGAGTGAACTTGGGGCTGTGCAGCCGCCTGTGTCGAGGATCCGGTGGCGGCGGCGGAGGAGGACGGACCGGCGCTCGACTCGGCAGGCGCCTTTTTCTTTTCCTCCTCTTGCAGCGACAACTTCAAGGCCATCTGAAGCTCGTCGTCCTCCTTCTGACGATCAAGGTCGGTTAAGCCAGTCTTCTGGGGCGCCGAGGGGGCCTGCAAAGTCGGGTTGTTCTGCTTGAGGCGAAAGTATGCGTCGTACATGATGCCGAGATCGGGATCCTTGCTGAACATGTCGGACCACTCCTTCATGCGCTCGAGGATCTTGGCCTTGACTTGGGTGTGGGTATTACGGTCGTTTGCAAGTTTCAACATGGCGTCAGTGAAGGCTCGGCTTGAGAGCTCGCGGTGCATATTCTTGCCACAGTTCTGGCTGAGGGCATTCGCAAGCTGTTGCGCAGAAAGAGGGGTAAAGTCAGCCATAAATTCAGTATACCAGGAAGGGTTCGGCAGCAATGGGCAGGGGAGGAGAAGGTTAACTCACCTCGAGGGTGTAGAGCTGGACATTGGCATTGCGGTGGGCGAGACGCTTGATCATTGCCTCTACGACCTCTTTGGGGCCATTTGCATCGCTGCCTACGCGGTCGCAGACCTCGATGATAGCTCCCCAGTCTTCGGAAGTCAGGTTTTCGTCGGTGGCCTTGGCTAGATGACGCAAGATGGATAGGTTAGCGACGTTGGGCGAGTGATACTCGTTTGATTTCCCAAGGCTGCACACGTACCGACGCCCTCGTCAAAGGGACCAGCTGCGGCAGCTCGAAACATGTTGGTTAGAAGCTGTGAGCCGCTGCGGATGCTGTGTGGTGACGGGCGGGATCAAGAAGCTGTCTTGTTTCGAGTGATTTGGATATATTGGGGGTTGCGCTTGTGGCAAGAAGGTGCCTAGAGCGGGCAGAGCGTTGGCCTACGTCAGGCGAGGTTCCAGTTGTCGTCGGGCTGCACGAATGCAATGCGATGGATTGCAATGTTCGATATGAGAGTATTCGTGTACGGCAGAGTGAAAGGCGCTCGAATGTTGGCTGGGTCGTTGGGTAGGTGTCTGGGGCGGGTCGTCTCGGTGAGGTGGGTATGTCGCGCGGAAGTGTGCGTGCTGAGGCGAAGCGTGAACCCGAGGGAAAGGAAGGTGATGGATAAGGTCGCCAAGGTTGAGGTAATCAGTGACGGGTACGTAAGTGCTGAGGCAACACCCGGCAGAATCTTGCAGTCGTTGTCCTTTACCTCTGCAGCTCTGGTGTGAAGTAAAGTAAGCAGCTAATGTAAGGCAAGTAATAAGGTAATATCTAGGTGTCGGCAGCTTGCATCCGTCGCTAAGGTATGGAACCTGATGGCAACGCAAGGTATTCAGGCAGGCAAGGTGAGGTCGGGTACCTTTGGGGAGAACCTGGCACGCCTGGACACCTGAGCTGGGAGATGGCCATGCCGCCGTCCATGGGCTGTCACAGGGTCCGGACTACTAGTCCCGTCCACCACGAGCCCCCGCCAGGTGTGAGCACTGAGCTTCCCTTCTTCAGCTTTCTTAATGTGCGGGGGGGGGGATGATGCTCCATGTACCTATTCTATACAACTACAGCCAGAGAGTGACATGCCTCGGTGTGAGGAAAGGTAAGTTATGATGCGGTGCCACCACCAAAGTACGCCTTGGAGAGCCCGAAAAAGAGACGACCCCCGTCGTCATCGCGACCTAATTAACTAAGAGAAATCCAACAGGGGGGCTGAGCTCGTTTCGCCCACGACTTACGCGGACTTGCTCCTCTGCCACACACAAGTGACCCGCGGTCCAGCAGCAAACAGTCCCCATTTACACTGTAATATTGCTGCACCGCCACACGTGTGGAGAAGAGACGGCCAAAAGCATGCGTAACCAACCGCGTGGGCCTCTGGTTCCTTTGTTGCCTTGCAGGCTTCGCTCTTCTGTTTCGCTGCCCAATTGGCGACGATGACTTCTTGGATTCAAATTAACTCTACGGATCCTGATTCCGTCTTTGAACCGAAAAGTCCTGCGACCTGCCTTCTTGGTCCTGAGTCGGGTCATCGTCCTCGCTTTGCTCCACCACGGCTTCTTACGTTTATTTTACTTTGGTCCCTTTTTTAGTCTACAATGAAGCATCTTCAACCCGCCGCCTAAAATAGCTACAAATCTCTTCTTATTCTATGTACCCATGTCAGATGTTTGTAGATATTCACTTACAGTCGCTCCCCTTACGTCCCATTTCTCACCACGAAACCTTGACACAGATCACGATGCCATTCGGTGATCGTAATCTTTCGTCACAAGAGGCATTAATGTGCCAAAAAAATTAGCAAGAAGGAAGAAAAACAGGATGAGAGTTGTAAACAAAATCCCTATTTTACAACACAACGTCAGTATTGCGTGCGCCACATCATCACGGCCTGCGGGGAACACAACCCGGAACTAACTCATGAGTCCAACCAACGGGACCAGCAACGACGTCAAGCCACATCAAGACGTCTGACAACCCTGGATCTTCTTTATGCTTCTTCAATCTCTAAGCTTAACCTCATGCATCGGGGATACCTGGTGTTCAGGACTCAGGATTATGTATAGGTATGCATGCCAGTCTTTGTGCATTCTCTATCGTATCTGTACTCTGTCCTTGGTTCCCCAAGGTGCTCCCCGCCGTCTCTGCCGGCACGGAGAAGTGTCTTGACCCTTCCGATTCCATCCAACGCCATGAATCCCCCTCTCTCCTACCCATTGATATATATGTAGAAAACGGGAGAAGAGGGGAGTAGAAAAACAACCGTTTCGATGATACCTTTCTGCCGGACCTGCCCTCAGGTCCTCCTGAGCCTTGTAGGCATATGGGGGAAAAAAAGAAGAAAAAAAGCGCTCGTATCATCCAGCCCAAGTAGACCCAGTAAAAGAGATTGGGTCCGATGCGCTTCCTGATCATCTTTAGCAAATGTGCTTGTGAAAGCCGTCCTTCGTCATCACTGCGAGCGCCATGCTCACCACCCCCTCCGACTGATACCGCGAGGTTCAAAATCGGCTCGACTGCCAGATCCAGATCCAATGTTACCACCACCCCGTCCCTCTTCCAGACTTCTCCGCGACTGGGCGTCCATTTCTGACATATCGAAAAGGAGTGGCTCCTCGTCCATCAAGTCATTTTCACCGCGTCCGTACCGTCCAATGGATCCCGTAAAGCTGCCTCTGGAGGACTGAGGAGGCGTCTGGCCTCGTCCACCCGTGGATGGCATGCCAGCGTATCGGCGCCTGCCAAATGGCGAACTGGAGGGCGCGACTGCCATCAATCCACCCGGAGGTTTGGATCCTTCCGATGAACCCTGCCTCATCATCTCTGCCGACCCTGATGATGGGATATCTGGTGTCGGCTGCAGCGAAGCCCCTGCTCGGCGAGATGCAGACTCGGCTTCTGTCTGCCTTCCCAACAACATGCTGAGCGTGGGAGGCTCGCGATCCTCTGCACCCAAACTGATGCTGCGATTGGCAGCGAAAGCCAAGTCCCCGTCCTCATCATCGGCCATTGCGCGGTTCTGCTGTGCCACTGAGCTAGACCGTCGAGGGTGAGTCCCGATTCTGGGAGAGATGGGTATGTCAATGGCAGTGGTCCCATCCTGGGTGATGGTGTCCTCTCTAGGCATCTGCGTGTTCTCCGCACTGGGATTGGTGCGGTCGCTCCGAGGCTGGCTTGTGTTGTAGTTGATGATTGAGTTCTCGCTCAATCGTGAAGGTACAGCAGGCGTATGAGGGGTGTGAGGAGAGAGAGGCTTTCCAGGCGAAGAAGAGACGGATACCGATGCTGGCGCAGCCATGCTTGGCACATTGGACAGCTGTCGACTGGATGAGCTCGAGGAGCGCTGCATTTGTATTGACGAAGTCATCGAGTCCGTGAGCGCCTGGTTCGACTCCTTCATGAGATGAAATTTCGAAAGCTGCGCGACTGTTCGATTCGTCGCGCCTTCGCCCTTCTTGCCTGATTCGAAGCTCTTGAGCGTCTTTTTATTGTCAAGTGCCTTCAAAAATTCCGAGATCTGGTCGTCATCCGTTTGAAGTGATCCAGAGCTGCCGCCGGCACCAGCCTCTGCTAGGAGACCGGAACCTGGCTGTGCCACTGACGAGGACAAGCTTTGTCGACCGCTGCTGCCTTGCTCGTCATCGCCGGCTTTGCTAGCGCCGCCGAATGATAAGCGTCCTTTGCGATGAGTAAAGCTGCTGCTATACCGACTTGTCGATGATGGCCGAGGCGAGCCTACTACGGCTGTTTCGGCCGGTGGAGGGCCACCTCGGAGAGTGGCAGGCATTCCTGCTGTCAGCGATGTTCGATTGCGAGGTTGTGTAAGGGCATTGAGTGCCGCCGCGCGTGAGATGGGAGAAGCGGGAGATTCGGAATCCAGTGTTCGAGGGACTGGGGATCCAGACAGCGACCCAGCTTTGAATGGCTGGAATGAGACGGACGGACGTCGGCCACTGCTACTGAAACCTTTCATAGAAGGCCTCGTTGCGAGACCAGTAACGGGTAATGAGTTTGGAGGGTTCAACTCGTTGCCTGTGGGAGCAGATCCAGGTGGAGAGCTCGTATCAGATCCCGGGGGCTTCACAGCCTTGAGAGCTGATATAGGACTGGTGCCCAAGGCTCCCTCGCCGTGAAAGGTTGAGAGACTGCCGTAAGTCTGGTGCATATCTGCAAGGGTCCGGCTTCTTCTATGAGACGGAAGAGAACCCACCTCGGGGTCGTTTCGTCGGGTGCTTGATGTTCGCTGAGGCAGTGATGGCTTGAAGAAGTTCTCATCAACGCCCATGAACCGCGAGCTCAACAGCGCTTCTGAATCGTCCACTCTGAAGTTACACTCATTCCTGTAAGTGACAGAGGCATAGAATCGACCAACGGGTACCTCCAAGTCGCCAAATACGTAGTCGGTTACGACATCCGGGCGGCCATCGTACAACGGATGCCTAAGCCGGTCAATGCCGCCGGTGTCTAGTTCGCCGGTTCGGACACGACAACGGAGTTCCAATGAAGGATGGACACCTTTTGTTGCAGATGCTTGAGAGAACTTCCAAGCAGGAAGAATCCTAGTTGCAACGAAGAGCGACCGAAAGAAGACGATGCTCTTTTTGTAAATGGTTGGCAGTATTGGGCCAAAATCGTCTGGGTCGGTTGTGGGAAATGTCTTAAGCTCGATACGCCATCTTTCTAGTATCACCTCCGTATTCCTCTTTGTGGGCAGAGAGCGGCCATCGTCGCTCGAATCGGATGAATTGAGAGCTTCCATCACGTCCCATCTCTTACCATTTTCGTCCACAATAACCAGGCTCTGGCTAGGGGTTAAACGTGATGTATCGAGATAGGTTTCGATAATGAGGGGCATGGGTTTGTTTTCGTAGCTACCGCAGTTACGCCAAATACGAAGCTCCTCTTTGAAATCGTCGAATTCTTCCGTCTCGATTTGAAACTGAGGGGGCACAGGCGTCAGTACCTAGCTGTGCGAGCGAAACTAGATATCACAGGCGAGCCAGCACTTACCCATTTATTCAGTTTCTTGTTCCCAGAGCCACGAGCTGCATATATGGGCTTAAGGTTCAACCGCGATTGCAATACCAGTGATGCAGCCTTGGTGTGGAAGTTCTGCGCTCACGTTAGTAGCCGAGCTTCGCTGTGGCACCTTTTGACCTCTGTTTCGTACACACCTGAATTATCTGATCCAACTTTTTGACGGCATCTGCCGAAACGGCGCCTGGCGGGGTCTCGATGGTGGGCGATGCTGCAACAGAGTCGCGACCAGACGCTCCCGAACCAGCTCTTTCCCGTGTGCCAAACATTCCTTCTCTCGGGTTGTTCGTTCTTGTGGGATTCGTCTGGGGCGTAGAAGCGGGGGAGGAGACCCGTGGGGCGGGTCGAGCTTGTTGATGCATCTCGTCTGGCGGATTGCGGCGCCAAGGGCAAGTCTAGGACAAGATTGATCTGAAGAGCCGCCTGGGTAGGCTAAGCTTCGGGAAAGCAGTGATGATCTGTCTATTGCGATTTCGTAGAGGAAGTTCTAGGCCGCGCGGGGGAAAGTATTCGCGATATCGAAGTTGGGGCGGTAGCGAACCTGCTCATCCATCCTTCATGGCAACTGTGATAGCAAGTGCAACACCTCGACACCCTCAGTCTTTGAGCGCACAGCGAGGGAGAAATCGGCCGGTCGGAGGAGAGCTCGTAGGGCGGAGAGGGAGAGCAGTTGTGGCGGCACCCTTTGGGAAAGGCGCGTAACGACGCAGGCAACGGCGGGCAAGGCGACAAAGTCAACGTGGAGACGGGCGGCGAATGATGAGAAGCGGTATCGCACAAACTGGCCTAGGGTTTTGGCGAGCAGAGCTGGATGACTGCAGAACCGTAGAATGAGGTCGAGGGCGAAATGTACAAGCTAAGCGCTACCTTGGACCATGGCTCTCGGCTGGGTGCGGTATAGGAGTATGGATGTCGAAACGAGAAGTAGTGGTGACAGAGGGGAAGCTTTCGCCAAGCAGGGAAAGGGACCTCCTAAGCACGTCCTCCAACAACAACGCAGACGAGCCGCTCCAAAATGCGCGGCTGGTGTGGTTTCCAGATTTCCAAGAAGACAGAGAGGAAATTAAAGAAGGGTGGACGGCGATGTGCGGAGTTGCGGTGCTGTGGTCGTCGAGTCGGAGGTTATCGGCGCTGGTGTCATCCGCTCAATGGTTGTTGAGCCTCGTGATCGTCGACAAGTACCCTTCCGTCATCGAGTCACCTGGGTGGGCCAGCAGAATGGAGTGTATTTCGGGCAAGCAAGTAAGGCGGTGTATACTTGTCGATACGTTCGTAGCGAAGAGAGGCAAGGGGGGGCTGAGGACGGCACAGAAGGAGGAACAGGCACCGCAGTTAAAGATCAGACGGGATATGCTGACTCGAAGAGACCGAGAGAAAGTGTAGAATATTGATGATGGGGGAAAGGTTATGGTGAGTAGAGAAGGGACGGAGATTTAGCGTCGAAATGGGGGCCAAGGGCGATAAGGCGCAAGGACCAGAGGCGATGATGCAAAGAGGACAAGAGGAAGTATAGGTAGAGTAGGCAAAGACAAAGGGATTGTTGTCCGAGTAGTTGCCGGGTAGGAAGAGAGACACAAAGTGAGGGAGGGCGAGAGATACCGGTAGGTAATACGGAGTGTTAGAGGAAGTAGATTTGGAGAGGAAGAGAGATGGGAAGGGAGCTGAGGAGGCCGATGACATGGATCTCTCGTTGTACTTGGTTGTCTGAGTGTGTGGATAAGCACACACGGAAAGTACAGGTACAGCGAGGAGTGCTGCTTAGTGACTTGGAGAGACTCACAGCGATAGGGAGATGGACTCACTCACAGCGGAAGAGAGAAAGAGAGAGAGATGAGAGAAGAGTGACAGGGCCAGGTAAGGTAAGGTATTGACTGTGGTAACCTGGGGAGGTAGAGGTAGGGGGAGGAGAGGAGCTGGCACCGGCTGGTCTGGGTCCTGCAGCGGCAGGGCATCCGCCCCGGCATGCTGCTAACAACCTGGACAGTGGAAGTATCCGTGCCAGGAGCATCAGCCAGTAGCCGCAGCATGGGGGTACCGGTAGGCCAGTGACCTGTACGGAGTAGGGTACGTAGTACCTAGGGGCATGAGTATGGGGCAGGGCATGGAGCAGCAGCAGCAGGGGGAGCGTACACTAGATGCGGTCGATGGGGCTACATCTGTGATGGGCGGTGGACCAAGACACCACACCTGTGCATGCATGGTTCCGTTAGGTTGACTTGAATAGGATGAGATGGGACGGAACAGAGCTGGGGTTTGAGGTTGCTGTTGGCGTTGACGTTGTGAGTATTGGCATTATCGTGACTTGCTGAGTAGCTGCTGCTGGTTGCTGCAAGCTTCCTGCATCTCCTTCCATTGACTGATGATGAGCGTTGTGAGTGTCTATTTCCTCAGGCACGATCACAGGTACATAGTGACATTCAAGCACCCTGATGTCAAGGTACCGTGCCTTCCCTCTCCGTTGGACCAGTTACACAGGGAAGTTGGACCGTTCGTCAAGATGCATCGCACCGTCCTTTCCATCGTGTGACAGTGGCCGTGGGGTGAAGACTCCCATTCTTCCACTTTTCTCTCCTGAAATGAATGCTTTCTGCATGCATGCCTCTCATTTAATCACCGAGAGTCTTTGAATTGAATCCCTGGGACTAAATTGATGGACCCATTTGACCTGAGGCTATCATTCTATCGAGAAATGTCAACAAAGGGAATACCTACAGAAAAGAAGAAAGGAAAACGAAAAAGAAAGAGGAGAATGGATGACACGGATTGCCATCCGAGTCAGAGTCATCATCATTGTCCTCGAATCGACATGACTCCATCTCTGACTCCAATTCCAACTCCATCTCAATCTCCAACGGTTAATGGTCAACCCCAACCTCAACTTCGAGGCTCAACTTCTTCTTCTCGGCTAGGCTGCCACTCGCCCGCTTGAGCAAGCCTTCGCCAGTTGCATGTATCATGTATGGGGCGCCCGGGACTGCAACTCACAGTCATACAGACACTTGCCCCGATATGGAGTGGCCAGGCAATCAAATCCACCGGGATTGGCTCTCACATCTTGACTCTTGAGTCCTGGACGCGGTAAGACTGCTTGAGGTTACCGCCTCCAATATGCAGAAAAGTCCTGGATAGGGAATAGGCACCACCGCGACCATACTCCGTACCAAGCCCGGACCTTAGAATGGCCTCAACTCCACCCCATGCATGACCGCTGGGTTCTGGGGGAGAAATGACGGGGTAATAGGTAAGGGGTGCCGGGCGGCTCTGCTAGGTAAGTCACTTCCACTCTTCCCTCGCCTCTGCCGATTTGTGTCTCGTTGACTTTCTGTGGCTAGTCTCGCTCGTGTCTGCTCTGCCTTGCTTCAGGTCAGGGTAGGTTCTCTCGGCCGCAGCAGTGTTTGTTTGTTGATGCGTTGACTTTGTACCAGTATCGCAGACTTTATGTAAGCCCCTGCAATGCGGCAAGAATTGGGTTTGGATCCAAGTACATACAGGTGCCCGCTGACAGCTGGCATCCAGGCCAGGCCATCCAAGCACAATAATCAACCCTCGATTCATCGCCTCGCCACGTCCCTTGTCTTGTCTACTATTGTCAAGGCACTCTTAGTCTGTTAGCAACCACCCTCCTGCCCCCGGTGCGCCTCTGCGGCTGAGAGCCCAACCGACCCCCCTTGTGTCCATCAAGTGAACGTCCAGATCAACAAGGTACGCCAACGCTTCCCTCGTCCAAGTCCACGACGGGCAAAGACAACCTCGAAAAGGTGGATAGATGGCAAGGTCCAAGGCACGCAGACTTGTACGCCGGTAATCGACACTAATACTAGGCACTCAACTCGCCCGGTCCTCGGTTGATCCCGGGAATCCTTCTCCCGTCACCGTAGCGCCCAGCTCGTCTTCATTTCTTTTCTTTGGGAACCCCCAATCCTGTTTTGCAACAGACTGACAGACACGGCAAAGTACCCGCCTCTCTTATCGTCGTCTCTCTAGAGTCCACGGGCGGCAACTTTGTAATGCGCCGGATCCAGCCTCCAGCAGGTCCTATAAATGGCAACCGTCCGAGAAATCGATCTCTCGTCAAGATACCAAGGTAGGCAAAGCGTTGTCAAGGCAAACCCCGAACGACCTACTCCATCTGGCCTTGCCGCCTTGTTGCCTGTCACTTTTGTCGTGATGCCACCCCCTGGCGGCATGTGCGGCAATCCTCAAATCGAAGCGGCCAAGCAGCAAGCAACCTCTCCCCGGGCAAACGAGTCATCGTACCGATCGCCAATGAACTAGCAACCTGCACATCCATCAGCCAGCCTAGTAAGCCAGCCCCCTTATCAGCATCACCACCATCACCTTATAGTGAGGTGCTTCAGGTTGGTTGCCATTGCCATTATCAGTGCCTACCCCGACTCGTGATCCGAAGATAACGATAACACCATGCTCCGGCCCGGGCCCCACCGCCTCCTCCTCCTCCTTCCCCCGCACCCCGTCCAACGTAAGGCAAGTCAACCGCGCACCGCCCACGCATCACGCACCAACGCAACTCATGATGACTTTTGGTTCTGGCGTAGTGGCACGCTGCATCCGAACCGGCGTCTGCAGATCGGACCCATTCTCTCCAACAGTTAGTACTCGTCCTTCCACTTTTTTACACTTGCGTACAGATACACTCTGTGAGACTGTATACCTGAGGAGAGCACTGCTGGTCGTTTTGATCAAGGGAACACACTGCATCGTGGTAAAATCGCCGAGGGCGGGGGCTTGAAGTCCAGAGTACACCGTTCTTGGCAACGTTTCTCTCTCTCCACCCCGCCGGTCACATGGTATTAGTGTTACCGACCAACCGACTCAACGAGAAAGATCCAAAAGAAACAAGTCCATTACACGCCATTCTTTAGCGCCCAACGGTCATAAAAAAACTGAATCGTGCAAGCATCTCTTGGGAACCGGTGGCGGTGGAGGTGATGCAGCATGTTGGGAGTGAAGAAGTCTCTTTTCTCTCTCTCTCTCTCTCTCTCTCTCTCTCTCTCTCTCTCTCTCTCTCTCTGAATCTGTCTTCTCAATTCGTCTATGGGACCAAGCAGAAAAGCAATTTGGAGCCACAAGGTGTGTATGTGATGTTGTGTCCTCCAATGCCGTGTAAATCAAAAGAAAAGGGCCAATTCCCGTGCTTCCCAAAACGTAGAACCATGCCTGACCGCGTGCTTTGCCTCGAGGTTTGTTCGGGCTTCGTAACTCCTTTGAAACGCCCTAGAAATCACTTATCAAACAAGAAACCCAAAGAATCACATTGCAGATGCCGCTGCGGATGTCGATGCTTTTCCACCTCTCCCCCGTCCCCGATGACCCCGTCCTCGGGAGTTATTCGCCGGTCCGCCGGGCGCCTTGGCCGACGGATGTACTCCTCCGGCATCAACATTGCCCGCAGCGGCCGCAGTGCCGTGTTCTTGGCCCAGAGAAGCGCCACCGGCTGCTTTCCCCTTCGCGACACCCCGGCCCCGTCGTCCCCGTTTGCTGCTGCCGCTGCTGCCGCCGCCGCCACCACCGCCGTCCTTCTGCGCCCTGCCTTCCCTCGCCGCCTTATCCTTTGTCTCGCGCCTCGCCTCTTCCTCCTGCACTCGCCGCGTCTCCTGGTCCCACCACTCCTGGAACTCTTGCTCCTGCTGGATCTCCTGCATCGACCTCTTCGCCACAGCCTCCTTGACGATCTCCTGCTCCCGCTTCTGCTGGCCAATGATGTCTGCCATGCTCAATCCCAAAATGGGCTCGGCCTTGTTCGCGGGCGTGATGTAGGACTTGGAGTGCGGGACCAGCGGCTTTGACGTGGGTTGACTTGTCGAGGAGGCGCCTGCCATCGCAGAGGAGGAGTTGTTAACGCGAGATTGGCCTGGGAAGCGCGTGTCTGGTGACGCTGCCCTCCGCGGCGAAGATCTTGCGGAGCCCTCGACTGAGAGTAATTCCTTCGAGTTCGGGTTATCTGCCAGTGGTGACACAGGTTTGGCCGAGTCCTTGGCTAGGGTATCTTTCAACGACGTCTTGGGTCCACTCGCGACAGGCTTCCAGGGAGCAGGTTTATTGCCAGCTGCCTCCTTGTCCCAGGCCGCCTTAGGTTGTAGGACCTCGGCTTCGAGAGCCGCCTGAGCAGCGGCTTGGGCCATTTGTTGCTTCTTCCGTTCCTTCTGGGATACCTTGGGCTGCGCTGGCTTGGGCGACGCTTCTTTGGTCTTTTGCGCAGCGATGCCGGCGGACAAGGCAGACTTTGTTGGCGTCTCTGTCAAAACTCGGCGCAGGTCCATCTTCTGGGTTGGGAATGCCGCTGCTGCCCATGGGCTGCCTGATCTCTGGGCACTGGGTCCGCGGGAGTCTGTAGGTGAGGGACTCATGCCGAATTGAGCGGATGTACCCGTTGGGGGGCTCTGTACTGGGTATTGCGGTGAGCCTGCCTGAACCTTGGTGTCTTTCCAGGGACTAGATAGCGAGGGTATCCGGTCCATTTCAGATTGGCTCCTGGCCTCGGCAGCCCTATGCGTGGGTGACATTGTAGGGCTACCTAGAGCGGAAGGTCCCTCGTCGTCCATGTTGAACATCAGATCGGCATGGGATTCCTTGGGTCTGAGGCTGGGACTGAAAGGCTCGTTGCGACCAGTCTTGGATTTCCGCCGAGATTTGTCGACGCTGGGAGACGTTACGCCGGACAAGTCTTCAAGACTACCGAATTTAGTCTTGAAGGATGATGAAATCTTCTTCTCGTCGTCTCGTTGCGTGGTACGGAAAGCCATCTCCCGGACTCTTCGACGGCGTTCCTCGTCGATATCGAGAGCTAGATCGGGGTCTTTCTCAAATAAGAGCAGCTCGGCCCGTCCACTTCTAGCGAAAGGATAGCGAGCTAGCTGGTTTTCTCGGACAATATTATCCAGCTCTTCCAGAAGATCTTCCTCCAAATCATCCAAGAAGTGGTTTTCCAGCACAGCCTCCATTTGCAGACAGACGTACTCTAGCCCAGCGTCTTTGAACTCTGTGACGGCGCATGCGCTGATCTCATTCAGTAGCAGAGCAATGTTTCGAGTATTGGCGAAACGTGCAATGATGAATTGGCAGATCTGGGACAGCCGGTCCAGCATAAGCTCATTTGCAATACTCATGACGCCCATTACTAGATCAGAGAAGTCGTCAATATTGGCTGATGTGGTCTGGTTGAAAAGTTCCGTTCCGACGTCTGCGTAGAGGTATCGCAGGACATATTGGAATGCCTCAGGATCACAGTGACTCAAGTCCACCCGAATAAGCTCTTCCTCATCTAGTTCATCGCGACGTCCAGCGAGCCACATACCACCGGCTCGCCCATGGAACAGACCTTCGAAGAACTCGCATCGCTGGCGCAGCAGCTGGCTGTGAACTGGTACCTCTTCGCCGTCGAGCTCAACAAGAGCATCCGCGTCTTCAAAGTACCTGACGTCCTGGATGGCTTTGGAAAAGTCCTTGTCCAGTGACTTTTCCACAGTCGTCTGCAGACGTACAGCCGATTCTAACTTCACCATGTCAAGCTTCGTCGCAAGCTTCATGAGCTCGAGCCGAACCTGGCGGTACCTGTGGGCTAAAGCGGGTGCTTGACGGGTATGATTCCATGCCGGAACAACGGTGTCATCATAGAGGTAGACGGCCAAATTTACCAAAGAAAGCAAGTCGACCGAATCGAGGGTGATGATCGTCCTTCCGTCTTCCTCTTCTAGGCTCAACACTTGTGGGATCTCTCCTAGGCCACCGTTGCGGTAGTCGCTAAGTAGACTTCGCAGAACAGAACTTCGAGCCGTCAAAATCCATGAGTGCACCGGAATCTTGACATCAGGACATGTGGAGGTGCTGAGCTCCATGTCAACATCCGAATTCGGATACATCAGGAGAAATTGTTGTAAGTCGCGTTCCAGATCCACGGACTTGAGAAACTCGTACGGTAGCTCTCCTATCCGATACTTCAGATCTTCGGCCTTCCAGAAACCAATCGTGTCTTTATCGCCCGCACCAGGTGTCGATGCCTGGAAGTCTCGTAGTGCGAAGAGGGAGGCAAAGTCCTCCCAAAGCGACTGCTCGTTGATGCTGATCTGTTCCTTCATAACATCACAGTCCTTGCGGATTGCCGCGAATGCACCAAACGTGGAGCTTCGGACAGCAACGGCATTGGTGACACTCGGTACACGCTGGAACTTGAAGTCCTTCCTCTTGATGTCTGCTGATCCCGGGGTGGCAGCATCCTTTGCTTTGGCGCGCTTGATACGACGCCAAACAGCCCCAGACTCTGTGCAGATGATCACAGCGCCGTGTTCACCAACACTGGCAGATTTGACGCCATCCTTCCGAGCATTCCATACGCATTGCGGGGTCGTGACGGCACCCTTGATCTTGGCTGGATTTGTGGTGGAGGTGGCCGCCGTAGTCGCATCCGGTTTTTGAATCAGTGCCATAGTGAAAAGGTCGCCTCTTGTAGTGACAGCCGCAATCGTCTCTCCACCAGATGTGATACGGCTGACCTGGTTCCGTGCTGCACTGTACCTTGTCGACATGGACGTGGTGAATTGATGATTTACGAAGACGTCAGGGGAAGGAAACTTGACAAAATTGTATCCGTAGCTCGTGAAGACACAGACGGTGCTGTCGGCCAGCAAGACGGTGGTCGCTTTGTCAATAGCGGAGACTGCGGCGATGGGCGAAGAGAAGAGCGAAGCCGCGACTTTTCGGGGAGTTTGTTGGACTTCCAAGGATCTCGAATCCGCATCCATGAGTGCCAGCTGGCCGAGGTTCTTGCCCCAGCAGAACAGTGACGAAGAGGTGTGAGCGACTGAATGCACGGCTGATGCTGCTATGCCCAGGATAACCTCTTTCTTGAGTGTCCCAAACACTTGTCGTGGGGTGGTGCTCATCGGTTCCTCGTCTTGTCTGGCAGGCGGTGATAAGCTGTATCCCAGCTGGGAATTGCTGTTGGAGCCCCAGGTCCATAGCTCACCAGCGTCGGTGACTGCTAGGGTATGGTTCTGGCCGAGTGCAACTTGCACCACCTTCTTGTCAGCGAGTCCACCTTGCACCGGCACGAAGCGGTATTGGGTATTTTCGTCGCCCAGCCCAAGTCGCCCGCCTCGACCAACACCGCAAATGTACAAGTTTGAAACAGGGTCAGTTGTCAAGATGGCCGTATGCAACTTTGACAGGACAGCATCGTGAATCCGGAGAGGTCGGTTACGAATGAGAGCCGGAATCTCCTCCAAGTCCATATCTTCATCCGGAAGATTGGCGCCTTGGGGTCCAGATTTGGTCTTCTCCAGATACTCTTGGAAGAATCTGCGAACTAGTTGATCCGGCCGCTTCAGGTTGATCCTCTCGGGATACTGCCGATCGTCTTCGTCGCCCACACCAAGTGAGATGTTGCGGTTGCTTCCGAAAACGAAGATTTCCTCGCCTTCCGCACCGCCGTCAAGCGCAGCAACCGATCGCATCAACGCCTGGCCTCCATCCGAGCTGCTGTCTGTATCCGAGTCCACATCGGAGTCGTCGGGGTTCCCAGAGTCTCCTAGGGTTCGCACAGCAATGGTTGAGTTATAGAGATCGAAAGGGCTGTTGCCCTCGCGGTCTTTTGTCTTGATCAACTGCCCAACCTTGGCAACCGAGATTCCGAGGGTCTGTTCCGTGAGGATCTTGCGCTCTCGTTCAAGCAGCAGACGTGCAATGGCGATATTTCCACAGTAGAGCGCTCGGTGAAGAGCGTTCCAGCCACTTTCGGGGTCTTGCACATATAGATCGATCGAGGGGTGGTCGAGCAGGGCCTGGACGAAAAGGATAGCGGCCGAGTCTGTCGAGGAAGCAGCGCGGAGTAGTACCGTGAGACCAGCGTGGTCGCGACTGTTAATCTCGGCCCTTCCGAGAGCGTTATTGGCATTCTTTGATCCAGTTGTACCGAAACCGACGGCGGAGGATTTGCGTTGTTTAACGTTCCGGGGAGAGGTTCCGTATTGTCCGGGACTGCCCCCAAGGGGTCCAGCACCTATGCCCGGGCTCCTTGTGACGGTTTGCGCCGTGTGGCCGGCCGGGACCAGTAGACGCCGAAACCTGTCGACATCGTTTTCCCAGTAAAATTTCCACAGTAGGTGACTCATGGGCAGATGGTGAGCAAGGAACCCTTCCAGCACTTGGATAGCACCTCGCTGTGAGTCTCTAGGATCACGGCTTGTTTAAAGGTGCGATTCCGAGCGCGAGAAGAGCGGAATCGTGGGTATTGAATCGATACGGTTCGAGGACGACCAGAGGATGCGCGGGGGATGTTGCGAGGTTACGAAGCCCTAAAGTTGAGAGAGAGGGGTTTATCGAAGTTGCCACTTGGTCGTTAAGCTTGTGACTCTTAGATACGATGAAGCAGTAGTAGTCGAGGGTGGCGATAGTATCTGGTGTGATGGACGGTGTCGCGGGTGTGCGAGCTTCGTGTTCGATGGCTGAAAGGGTCGGTTTGGACGGAAGATGAGATGAGGACGAAGGTTGCAGGAGAGTCGTTGCTGGCGAAGAGAGGTGAGTCGGGGTGGGGGTTTGGCGATGGAAATTGAAGGTATTCACCTCAGGGCAGGGCAGTCGCCAGTTGTGCGCGTCAGAGCCCGCCGCGCCGCGAATTCCCGGCTCCACGGGGGGCATGCAGCGTGGGTGACATAACGCACAGCCAATCGGACTCGTAGCTGGGAGCTTGTGCTCTGGTTGCAGGCCAGACAAGCTTCCAGTTTGTCGCTCCAGGTGGGGTTTGCTAGCGGTCTTTACAGGTGCGAGACATGCTGGTCCTGGTACGCCGAGCGAGTCACAAGAAATCTGTTTGAACATGAAGTCCGTAAGAAGTGACGAGGATGGCAAGGTGAATACACTACTTTCCTACCCATACTTGGTTATTCCAAGTCGTAGTTGGAGATCCAGAATGAGGCGGTTACGATTCTCAACACCTATAGGGCCAACCTGGGTTTAAGGTATGTCACTCTCTGTCATCTCATCTATTCGTGATCTGACGTGAATTGGCATTTCCCACATGCATAGTATGCATATATCTCAAGCAAGGTCGGCTTTTTTTCGTTATGCTCATATGCTTCTTCAGTCAGAATCAATGATTAATTTAATCAGCCTTCACTCGAGCAAAGGGTTGAAACAAGTCTGTGGACACTTGCCCCAGTTCACAGCAGTCGTGGAAACGAAACAGTTGCTACTCCCGTTTTACAGATACACGTTGTGTGCTTATCTAAGACCGTTATTAGGTGAGGTGGGGAGCTACCCCCCGCCAGCTGCTGCACCCCGCCTGCGGCTTCGCTGCTGTCCCTCGAAGCGCCGGGATCGCATTCGGGCTGCCACACGATGTGCCGCTTGCCAATGCTTCATTCGGCGGGCTTGCATATCGCCGACTGTGGACTATTTCCATCGGGTGTACCGGTACCGAAGACACAAAGTAAGATCCCGGGGCACCTAGGTAAGGCAGGCTGAGCTTTCTCTCAACTGTTGGCAACCTACGCCGGTGATGTAGACAACTCTCCAGTTTTGAATATGTCATTCAGTGAAAGCACCAATTCTCGTCGTCTTGACTTGCCTCATTCGGGTCTGGCCCTCAAAATGGGAATTTCTACTATGAGCTGGGTAATGTGGGCAGGCAACTTGGTGACATGATTGACTCTGGGGTCCATGATCAATGATGATCTTCAATGTCAGTCTCAAGCTTATGATGCCTACTAGGTAGCGAAAGATATGGTAGTGAACATTGAAGAAACAGATGTGAGGATCGTCGCATTTGAGTCGGAATTGTCGCCCGAATCTCGGCAATAGACGGCACATGAAATGTGTCTCACAGTCGCATCGCAGTCGCAGTCACAGATTCATCTCGGCACAGATGATGGAACTGCCCAAAATGAGTACCTACAGGCTACAGACTACAAGCTACGCGGTATGAGGTGGCCCGGGCCCTGGGGTAAAGAAAGATCCCCCCCAGGTCCCTGGAACGTCCCAAAAAGCCACCTGCCCACGCTGCCACAGTGCCACCATGCTACCAAAGCGAGATGCCAATACGTAATCCCGCTGCTCCCAGGAGAGCGCACCAATCATGAGCCTCGCAAGTGTCAGGGACGATGAGCAAAAACGCTGCAAGCCTGCAACAGCCCGTCCCCGGTGGAGTCCGGCGCCGCTCGGTAACTTGGAAACTTGCTGCTTCAGTGCGAGTCGCACACAAAAAAGAGAGGCCGATAAGGGACCTCCGCCCGGGGTCCTGGCGATAAGAGCCCAGTTCCCGCTAAAGCTAAGACTCCGTACCTCGTTCGATTTTCCGCTCCATCCAATTCACTCCAGTCTCCCAGCGCTTCTTCAAACTCTCCCACCTACGCACCTCATCCCGCCCGATTGATCTTGCTCCTCGGTGAGTTCCCAATTGCACGCGCCATTGCCCTCTTCTGGTAGCTGACCACCGTCTTTTCAGCTGTCTACCGCCAAGATGTCGACCGACAAGCCCCTTCCTTTCCAGTACCAGTTCGCCGCAGGTTCGTTGCCCAAAATCCCCCCATCGCCGCGATATCGGACCCGAAATACTGACCACTACATTCAGGCGCCATTGCCGGTGTCTCGGAGGTCAGTACACAACGATGCCACATGGTAATGGAACGATGAGATATGCTTACGCCTTCTGTTCCTCTAGATTCTGGTCATGTAAGTCTAGAATCCTCTTGCGACAAGCTCACGTGGCCATTCTGCTAACCCGCACAACAGGTACCCTTTGGACGTCGTCAAGACACGAGTGTAAGCTCTGCTTGATAGCCAGCCGCTCACGCACACCCCGACTGACACGAACATCCAGGCAACTCCAAACCGGCAAGGGTGTAGGTGCCGACCACTACAATGGCATGGTTGACTGCTTCCGCAAGATTGTCCGCAACGAGGGGTATGCGAAACCACTCCTTCAGAAACCGCAAGTGTATCCGCCATACTTACAAACCGCAGTTTCTCAACGCTCTACCGCGGAATCACCGCTCCCATCCTCATGGAGGCTCCTAAGCGTGCTACCAAGTTCGCCGCCAACGACGAGTGGGGAAAGATTTACCGCAACCTGTTCGGTGCGGCCAAGATGAACCAGTCCCTCTCCATCTTGACCGGAGCCAGCGCCGGTGCCACCGAGGCCTTCGTCGTCGTCCCCTTCGAGCTCGTCAAAATTAGACTCCAGGACAAGGCCTCTGCCGGCAAGTACACTGGCATGCTCGATGTCATCCGCAAGACTGTTGCCGCCGAGGGTGTCCTGGCCATGTACAACGGCCTCGAGAGCACCATGTGGCGCCACATTGTCTGGAACGCTGGTTACTTTGGCTGCATTTTCCAGGTCCGCGAGCTCCTCCCCAAGGCCGAGAACAAGGCCGGCCAGGTCACCAACGACCTGATCTCCGGTGCCGTTGGTGGTACCGTCGGTACCATCCTCAACACCCCCATGGACGTCGTCAAGTCCCGCATCCAGAACAGCCCCAAGGTCCCCGGACAGACCCCCAAGTACAACTGGGCTTGGCCCGCCGTTGCAACAGTCGCCAAGGAGGAGGGTTTCGGCGCGCTGTACAAGGGTTTCCTGCCCAAGGTGCTCCGTCTCGGCCCCGGAGGTGGTATCCTCCTTGTCGTCTTCACCGGCGTCATGGATTTCTTCCGCACCCTCAAGACCAACGCTTAAATCCGCACCTAGAATGGGAAAGAATAGAAATACTAGAGAAGGAGAGAGAGAACACCGGAATTGTACATCTTGTACAGGCAGATACCAACACCGGGGCTTTTTGGATTCTGGCGCTCAGCAATGCAATCATTTTCAAGACTTTGAGATTGACTTTCCCTTATTATGGCTCAAGCTATATTGCTTGCCATGGTGACATCGACTTGTGATCGGATACCTACTACTTGCCTTTATTAGCAACAGCATTAGTTGCCACGAATTCTGTGTGTTCGAAGACCGAACCTCGCCCTAGATTCAACCGTCTCTCTTCACATTCTGACCCAATATACAGCTTACCCTCAGCACAGTTACCTCAAACAAACCCGCAGTTTCTTCTTATCGTTCAAGAAGCGACGACTGCCTGCCTCCACAGAGGCTTCCTTCCTTTTCTACATTACTCCTATTTATACGGTTCTAGTTACCGCGTACGCATGAGCTCGCTTCTTCCTCCACACACACACGCACACAGACACCATCGACTTTGGACTCATTTGCCCAAACGCATCTTTTCAGCAACGGATCTTCAACAGTCTTTTCGGCGCTCACTCTTTCGACAAATCAACTTTTGGCCTCATACTTCACACACCGGCTACCACTACTTCATGAGCAGTCTCGTACGGCCTCCGGCAAGAGATTGGACGTTCTTTCCGCAAATCGTGACGCCTTCCGTGTGTAGGCAAATCGCTCCTGCCCCTTTCTATACGGACTGATTCTCAACTGCTCTCTGCGCCTTCGCTTCTTTGCCTCTATTTCAATAATAACCTTACCTTCACAATACTACTTCTCACATCCCACAGCAACGTTTACCATCCGCGTAGCTGAGTCTAGCGCGTTCTCTGATCTCATGGTTTCTCTCCTCAACACATATACTTGACAGCTATCCAGGAGCAACTTCAACTCGTAAATATTTCAATTTCGACAAATCACTTTCAACATATCGCCAGGAATTGCGACAATGGAAAGTCACTCACGCTCTATTTCCCGAGCTATCCCGACGGCTCGCGCAAGTGCAACGCCAGGGGGCCTTCCCACTCCTTCTCTTCCTTTGGCTTCAGGTTCATCTGTAAGCCAAAGCTCGGTCAGCTGTCAACGACCGGTCTTCACGGCTGAATCCACCTCTGGCGATCAGCAGTCACCAGATATCGATGATCAACTGTCTACCCTGCAAGTCTCGGCTCGCTCAGAGTCCTCTTCTCAAGCCGCTGCCGCCGAGGGACGTAATAGTACTTCAATCCATGCAAGCACTAGCCCGTATATCCTGCGAGCACTGGGCCAGAAAGAAGAGCTGGATCGAAACGGACTTGTCATCTTGGATTCCAACGAGGCTGATGGGCCACTGCATCACTATGACCCAAAGGAAGATGAAGTCGAGTCCGAGGACGATGAAGTGAGTTCCGAGGATGAAGTAGAGCTTGATCGGGAAGAGACCATGGAGTCTGATGAGGGAGCTGATACCGTACGGGATGAAGACCAGAATACTGAGGAAGTCGACGACGAAGAAGCCGAAGAGCTCAACGATGAGCCTGAATCTCTCGATGACAACGATGAGGGACTGACTTCGCCACTTCCCATCGAGCTCAGTAGTTTTGGCTGCAGCGATGCGTGCCGATCGGGGCTCCAGCAGGGCATCGAAGTCTACGATGAACAAATCAGAAATCTCGTGAGCAAGGTCCATGAGCTCAGTCTTGACAAACAGAAGTTGAGATCAGATATCCACAAGTTGAAATCAGATATCGACAAGTTGGAGAAAAAACGAAGCAGCCAGAAGAAGCACGAGCCGACGTGGCATAAGAAACTCGACTTATATTTGACTAACCCCGGTCACAGACAAGCACTGGGTTACAACCAGATCTATAAGCTATGCTGTAAGGAAGAGAATATGAGCACCAAGACCGACAATGTCCATCCCAACTTGCGACTCAGGGGCCCAACTAACCAAGAACTCCAGGCCTATGCGCTCGAAGGCCTCGATGATAATTCGGTTAGTCAGGATGATGAATCTGAAGACAGCCGCGACGGTCCTGAGGAACTCTTCGTCCAGGACGATGAGCATCCCGAGGAAGTCCAGGGCTCAGAGGGTGAACAAACACAGGCGGATCCCTATCTCAAGGATTTTCCTTTTGACCGACTGCCTGCCAAGGTACAGGCCAACATCCTCAAACTCGTCTTTGTTGAAGAAAACAAGCTGATTCACTGCATCTCGCGTCTCGATTCCTTCATGCCTCCAGAGCAGCCCACACAGACTGACACGAAAAGAAGTGGTCTGCCCCATCGCTTCCACGTTTCCGGAACATCTTGCAACATCACCTATAGCATGAAGCCGAATACCCGCCTCGCCCTGCTGACTGTCAGCAAGCGTTGGTACTACCTTGGGGTCCACGCTTTCTACGGCCTAAACACTTTCGCCTTCTCGAGCCTTGGAGAATTTGGCCGGTTCTGCACCGGTATTGGAGATGCCAGGAGAGAGAGGATTCAGCATGTCGAGTTACTCTGGCTGGGCAATCAACACCTCACTCACAGGCCTGTCAAGGAAGGCACAGAGGGCGGACTCAAATATGTCTCCAAAAGAACATGGGATGTTTCTTGGCTATGTCAGCTGCCTCGTCTGAGAACTCTCATTGTCCATGTCGACGAGAGTGGCCCACAGTACACGGCTCGCCGTCATGAGCCCAAAGCCTACGTCAACTGGATGGCGTCTGTCACGGCTGGTCAGCCCAACTTCCGCGCGATGAGATCGCTTCGAACCCTCCAGGGACTGCATTTCCTCCACGCTCTTCGTGGAATGGAGCTCATTCAGTTTTACGACTACAACATCTTTCGCGAGCACGGTGTCCTTCATCCCATTCGCGACTGGTCCTTCTTCATGGACATCGAGAACGTCACGGCTATGCCGAAAAATGACGACAAGGCAGACGCCGCTAAGTTGATCAACCTGATGCCAGTTCTTCCAGGATACGAGGCTTCTCTAGAGGAGATTGATGCAATCAAGGGCCTCTATCACAACAGTAAGGCCTTTGACGCCGTGTATGTGTCGCCACCAGCTGTTGAAAGAGACGAAGACGGCGATATCGAGATGGCTAATGCCGAAAGCCCAGAACCGATCCAGCAGGGTACTGCAGTGGCATCTCAAGGGGGATCACGTCCCAGCCAAGTACCGGCTGACCCACGTGCCAGGGATGGATCGAGACAGTCCAACTCCAATAGGCAAGCGAGGGGGTCACGTCTTGGCAAGGCAAAGAAGGTCGCTCGAGCTAGGAACAAAACGCCCGATGAGGATACAGACGGAAGTGAGTCCGAGGCTTCTAGCCAAGCAACCCCAAAGGCGCCCGTCTGTCACGCCCGGGCAGTCACTGAACTCAGCAATTCAACGATTATGGAAGATAGCGTTGCAAATGACTACGACGATGAAATCTCGCTGGCAGGATCGAACGCTACCAATCCCATCGACTTGGACAGCATGGAGCCACCGAAGTTGCCTTTACGCCTATGGCGCCTTCAAGAGGAGGATCGACTAGAGCGCGTCAAGCGCGAGCAATCCGACGCAATGTCCATTGGCCGCATATCATCAGCCGGAAGCGAGAGGTCCCACGACAGTGGAAACGGCCTCTTCGTCGGTGGCTCGTCGCCATCAATGTCTCATTATCAATCACGCCGCGAGTCAACCGACCTGACGGATAACTCGCGCAAGAGAGGATGGGGCGAGACAGATATCCGAAGCGCCATCGATCTGACGACAGAGGAAGACGATGCCCACACAATTAGCACTGGGTTCCCAAGCTCTTCCATGCCCAACTCCTCGCACCGTACCGGCAATGAGGGGGTTTGGGGCTTCGTTCCCCCTGTCATAGATCCGAGTACGTCTCACTCTACTCCTAGACTGGAGCGTCTTGCAAGCGTGGACGACTGTCCCTTTGGGAAAAGGCGAAGACATTAACTCGAGTTCTCCATCTTGCAAGCTTTCGACTTCTTACAGATTTTGCGGGTTTTTCGATATCTTGCGGCATTTTTACGGACCTCAAGCGATTCGGAGCACTTGCGGTGCTTAAACACGGCGGATTAAGGAGCCGATATGCGTTTTGCTTTGGTTGAATCAGGGGGCACAGGAGATAGCTACCTCATTTTTTACTAGCCATATAGGCAGATAGCGAATGATTATTCACAGTTAACTTAAATTACCACTGGTATCCCCTACATCACAAACCTAGAAGGTGATCTTAGTACCCGCAAACGCAGCCGTAGTCTGCGCCTCCTTAGCCTTCTTCCTCGCCTCCCAACTCGGATGCAAAATCCCCTCATCATCCTTCTTAGGCGGCACCCTCGCCTTCTTCTTCTCCTCCACTCCTCTGCCGCCGCGATCTCTACCCTTACCGCCGGCCAACGGGTTCGAAACGCCCTTCTTCCACGGCTTCCTCCCACCATCCTCGTCACCGCCCACAGCACCCCTCTTCATATCCCACCCACTATCCCTCGCGCCCGCCCTCTGCCCGTTGACCTGGCTCTTGACGTGGTTCGCCGACGCGCCGTACTTTTTCTCCCAAATCGCCTGGCGCTGTTTCTGCCCCAGCCGCTTCTTGGGCGGCGCGAGGTCGAGGTCTGAAGCCTCGGACTCGGAGTTTGATATGTACCCGCCCATCAGCGAAGGTAAGAACGTCGTCTCGCCGGGTCGGCCTGTGGGTTTCTTGGCGCGCTTCACTTTCTTCTCTTGTTTGCTTGGTTTCGGTTCCGGTTCGGGGGAGAGGGAGACGTTGGCGGCGTTGATGCGGCGTTGGCGGTCTGATTCGTTGCCGCTGTCTTCCGCGTCGTCGTCCGCTGGGTCCGCCATCTCTTCGTCCTCATCATCTTCGTCTTCGTCGTCGCTGTTACTCTCGTCGTCGGCGGTATCCCCTTCGTCGGCGACTTCGCCCAGCAGAGCCTTGTATCTGGCCTTGAGATCCTCGTCGGGGCTCTCTTCTTCCGAGTCGGAGCCGCCGAGCATAGCCTCCATCTTGGACAGAGCCTTTTCCTCTTCTTCCTCATCTGAGTCAACTTCCTCCTCCGCGGCGTCTGCATTCCTTCCGCCGTCCTCGGCGTCGCTGTCGGTCGGGATCTCGTCGTCCATCTCGTCAAACGGGTTCGGTTCCTCCTCTGCCTCTACTTCCGCCTCCTTGGCTTTAGAATCGGTCTTGGGCTTGGCGGATACATCCTTTGCATCCACCAACTTCGCCTTCTTCGATTCCCTAGGTTCGTCGTCGACGTCCTCCTCCTTCTTTGCTTGCTTCTTGCTCTCAGCGGCAGCGGGAGCAGCAGCATCTTTCTTTCCCCTCTTCTTCTTGTCCGGTATAGGCACGTTGAGAACCAGACACACGCCCCGCACCGCCTTCTCAACGGCCTCCCGGACAGACGGGCGGTTAAACAGGCCGCTGGTGACATTATGCAGCGCCACCTTCTCCTCCTCTGAGAGTTCCGGCTTCGGCACGCCCTGCTTGATCGCTTCGGGGAGGGCAGGGCTTTCGGCGATCTGCTTGACCTTGAGGAGCGAGGAGTGCAGGTGGGCGTCGGCGGTTTGCAGGAGGTCGAGGGACTGTAGGGGCAATCGTCAGCGGGCGCAAATCTATGAATACGACCCTTAGATGAAGAATAAACTCGTACCTTCAACACCAAAACCTCCCTTTCCAACCGCTTAACCTTGTCGGGCGTCGACTTGTCATCGCGCAAGCGTTTGCTGTACCGTTGACGCTCGAGTCCCTTTGCGCCTTTGATTGCCCGGAAAATCTCCTTCTTGTAGTCGGCAAGCTTCGCCTCGATGTCGTCCTCGCGCGACCTCTTTCTTTTGACCATCTTAACAGGTTGTCCTTGGCGGTTTGTCCCAGAATCGAATCGTGTGTGTTCAATCGTATTCCCTATCGCGGGTGTAAGATTATGCGCGGGCAATCATCAAACCTCAAAAGTTGGATCACGACAAAAAAAATGTGGTTCAGCGACCTTGCTAGTAAAGATCTAATCGATAAGAGCGTAACGCTTGCCGAGGAAATACCCACTATGGGGCCGTGTTTTGTACAATACGATTGGTCATACTTGATGGCTGCTATTGTTCATGGCTTTGATTGGTCACAGCTGTTCCTCCAGCGCTCATGGATGACGTTCCTTCTTGGAGGGGCACTCGAAGCACCCCGCCGTTGCAGATAGCCCGTGGACCTGTGCCATTACAAATGAGTCTGTCCGACAGATCGTATAAGTCTCGTGTCCCGCAACCATTTTTTAGCTAGAACAATCTGACAAATCTCTGCACTTGGAAAATTCGCAAGGTGTAAAATGGCTGATAGCAAGGAAGACCTCGCTGCTCTCGGAGCTGGCAACCTCTTTGGTGTCAAGGGTATGGTTGCCGTTATCACTGGTGGTGGCTCAGGTGAGTCAATCTGACGATAGCTTCATGGCTATTTTTTCTACCTCTTAAAAGTGCTGACAAGTGGCAGGAATCGGTCTCATGATGGCCAAAGCCTTGGCAGCCAATGGCGCCGAAAAGGTCTACATCCTCGGTCGGCGCAAGGAGGTCCTAGAAGAAGCCGCCTCGTCTGTGGGGCCCAGCCTCATCCCTCTGGTCTGCGATGTTAGTGACAAGGATAGTCTGAAGGAGGCAACCGCAGCCATCGAGAAGGGAGCCGGTTTTGTCAATCTTCTCGTCTGCAACGCTGGTGTCGGAGGACCCCAGGTCAAGGCTCCTACTCCCGAGACAACGGCTGAGGAATGGGCTGAGCAGCACCTTGCCCATGACATGGCCGACTACACGCGAGTTTTCGATATCAATGTCACCTCTGTGTGGTACACCGCCATGGCTTTCGTGAAGCTTCTTGACCTCGGTAACAAAAAGGGAAACCTATCACAAAGCTCTCAGGTTGTGTCGACAAGCTCCATTGCCGCCTTCAACAAGATCGCTCCCGGCGGCTGGGCGTACGGTCAGTCCAAGGCGGCCGCGACGTTGGTTATCAAGCAACTGTCAAGTAACCTGCCCCGTTGGAACATTAGGGCTAATTGCATTGCCCCTGGCTGTAAGTCTTCCTGCACCAACAACATGCAGATCCAGACTGACCCTCCTTCAGTATTCCCGAGCGAAATGTCGGCTCCCATTGCCAAGCTTTACGCCGAGGACGGAAGTGTCCCCAAGGAAATGGTGCCTCTTCAGAGGATGGGTGATTCGCAAGACATGGCAGGCGTCATGTTGTACCTTGCTTCGAGAGCTGGCGCGTATTGTAACGGTGCAGTGATTACCGTGGACGGGGGTAGACTTGGAAACTTCCCTACGACTTGGCATGCTTAGACATCCCGCCATTTCTACGCGCGGTTCAGCTTGGAGCTTTGCTATGCGTATTCTGAGAAAGCATTGATGTTGAGCTAAGCAGGTTGTCTGCGCTTCTATTTGAGCGCTGCTGAGGATTTATTCTCTGCTTCTGCTTTTGAACGCAGCTTGTGGCGCTATGTTGTAGGGCGCTTTATTGTAGGGAACAGAGATGGCGAAACTTATAAAATGTAAAGGAGTATATACCTTGGCACAAAATAATTAAAGTACGAACCAAGCTTAACCCCCTGACAGCGAGGACCCACGACTCGGTGAACATCGGTGAGAGTTGGAGTGAGGTGTGTCTCACCTGGACCCAGTTCCGGAAATACGCCGGCTAGCGTCGTCACCTCAAGAGCCCAGAAGCTAAGGAGGGGAGGGGAAGAGAAAGCGCAGAGAAGTCGGAAAAGAAGCCCAACCAGCATCCCCCACATTCTCTTCCCTGCCCTGTCCGGCTCATGCAAGTGGCTTAGCTTTCGGGCGCGCGGCACCTTGTCTCTGCCCACTTGCCCCAAGGCTCAAGCTGCGCGAAGCTCCGGCGTCGTCGCGATCCGAGTCCTGTGAGGTGCTCTACCCTTTTTGTGCGACAAACATTTGTTGTTCTGAACCACTCGACTGCGACCTATTTGTCGCCCATCCTCTGTCGTCGTTCCTTTTGTTCCCATTACTATGGTCATTTGGGCAAGGAAACGCAGACCAAAATGGACGGAGACTGGGACGAGGTAAGTCGAAGTCCATAGTCACCCCTCAGCGCTCATGGCGACGCAGCTTCGTCGCAGTTATGCGCTCTGCCTCACCTTGCGGTCAGCTGAGTCTGCGAAGCTCGCACGTCGCTTCTGATAGCCATGCCCTTGACTAACCGTTCTCATGGTCGATAGGTCGCTCGCATCCCCTTTCCGCCTCCGGGCATCCACGCCGCAGCGACGCCCGTGTCGACCATGACCTTTGACACGGCGCAAGAGCTGCTGTGGACCGGAAACGACTATGTACGAGCCATTGGATCCGACTACCACCGTGGGAAAAGACTGACAATGTTCTAGGGCCGCGTCACGTCGTTCTACCGCAGCGAGCTTCAACGCTATACGTCCTTCAAGGCTCATACCTCATCCGATGGCCCAGTTAGACAAATACTCGTCAACGACAAGGGCGTTGTGGTATTGGGATCCCGAGATATCCATATGGCGTCGCGGAAAGGCCCGCCGATATGGCATATAAGGTGCGGAAGCACAAACCCGGACCATTGGAAATCTGCCTGACATTAGAAACGCAGACACGATGATATGAAAGACTTACGATGCATGAGCTTTACGTCCAAAGGGACGTCTGAAATTCTGGTTGCCGGATTCCAGGACACCATGTTTGTGATCGACCTCGCTAAGGGAGAGGTGGTCAAACAGGTCCGTTTGATGGCGATGGTATGATGAGGACGCCTTGCTGATGAACCCAGGTTCCGACCGCGTACTCCTACAAAGTTATGAAAAAGAGCAGATACATCTGCGCTGCCACAGAAACCGGCACAGTCAACCTGATCGATGCGGCCAACTTCTCCGTCGTTAAGAGCTGGAACGCCCACTCCGCCTTGATCAGCGATATGGATGCCCAACACGACTTCATCGTCACTTGCGGTTACTCACTGCGGCAGGGGCGAGATTACATGCTTGACCCATTCTTGAATGTGTTTGACATCAAGAAAATGTCGTCCATGTCGCCGATTCCGTTTCCTGCGGGGGCTGCCTTTGTCAGAATGCACCCAAGAATGTCGACGACTAGTATTGTCATGTCCACGAGCGGTCAGATGCACGTTGTTGACCTGATGAATCCGAACACCAGTAATGTGCGGCAAACAAACACAATGAACTACTTGACCATGTTCGAAATCGCCCCATCCGGCGAAGCCGTGGCTCTGGTAGATGCGGATCACAACATACACATCTGGGGTTCCCCTTCGAAACTCCGCTTCGTTGACTTCGCGTCGCAGACTGAGTTCGCAACTCCGGAAGAGCCTCTGCCTACGATAGAGTGGACTGCTGATACGTTAGTCACGCCCTTCTCTGCTTCCTCTGTGACAAGTATCAGGATCACTGACCTATTCCTAGTCCTCTCAACTCTATTGGTATGCCACATTACCGTGAGGCGTTGCTGTCCGCTTGGCCAGATCTTCTTTCTGATGTTGGGGCTCCTCCGACCAAGCTTGAACCACAATTTGTTGCGGGCCTCAAACAATCCGAATTCGGCCATTATGGACGGAATACACGGGGTCTGCGAAGGAACCAAGTTGAGGATACTCGCAATTTGGACAGAGGAAACGCTTCGGGAATCCTTGCGCCAAAATTCCTCAGCGAAAAGGCTAGAGAGTTTGCTATGACTCCAGTTGGCAATGCAAGTGGCGACGAAAAGGTTGACGATGTTGCCCACTCCCTAATGCAAATGGAAATCGACCCCACCAAACAGGAGTGCCATCCGATGTACCGCAATGTTGAGATCAAGTACAGCAAGTTTGGTGTTGACGACTTTGACTTTGGGTATGTCAGTTTATTTCGCAGAGACTGGTTTGCTTGCTAACCTTGTCCAGATTCTACAACAGAACACAGTACTCTGGACTGGAGATCCATATCGCCAACTCTTACGCCAACTCTTTGCTGCAAGTCATGAACTTCACGCCTCTAATTCGAAACATGGCTCTCCAACATGCGGCCACTGCGTGTGTTGCTGATACCTGTCTGTTGTGCGAATTGGGTTTCTTGTTCGACATGCTCCAGAAGGCCGAAGGTTCCATCTGTCAAGCGACCAACATGCTGAAGACTCTCAGCCACCATCCCCAAGGTCTGTGGTCCAAATGCTTGAATTTGCAGCGAAGACTGACTGCTACGTAGCCCCATCTCTTGGACTCCTTGAAGAAGATCCACATGGCTCTACTTTGACGGTGATGCTGCAGGGACTGACGAGATTCCTTTTGGAGAAGATTGTCCAGGACTATCGTTCCATCCCGCCTGGCTCGAATATGATGGAGCAGGTTCGTCAAGGACACGTTGGACAATGTTGCAACGAGCTGACCGTCTCTAGATGCTCGCGACTTCCGCAACAAGTTCAATTAGGTGCATTAACTGCAGATCCGAGTATACTCGCCCTGGATCGACTTTTGTGAACGATCTGATGTACCCGCAACCAGCAGGGACAGGGGTAAGTCCAAGCTAGTGTGAACACCGTTCGTGTTCTCGAACCTTTGGTTGTCGTGATTCGCAGATGGCTAGCGTCGCCAACTCCTTCGCTCCTAGTTCTTGACTAAGACATTTCCTTCCTGTTCAAATGCTAATTGCTCACAGAAGAACGCCAACCGGACTCAGAAAGCGTCGAAAGTGACATTTTCACAAATACTAAAGTCAAGTGTCGAAAGGGAAACGACGTCAAAGGGTTGGTGTAGTCGATGCCAGCGATATCAGACTATCGCAACTCGCAAGACCATTCACAATATCCCCGCCGTCTTCATGCTGAATACGGCAATCGGAAACTCGGAGCAAAGGCGTTACTGGTCGACGCCTGGATTCCTCCCGGAAGAAATTGGCGTCATAGTAGACCACGGCCAATTCTTCTGTTACGAAGGAGAGGATCTGAAGCTCCACCTGCAGCGCGGTATCCACAACATAACTGTGTATTCGCTGGTGGGTATGGCCATGAACATCGACCCAGGTCCGGGTCAAAAACCTCATCTGGTTGCAATGGCCAACGGTATGTGATCCTGGCTGTTTCTAGAGTGACGCTGCTGACAAAATCAAAGTCGCCCATGCGCAGCCAACCGCCCCGGCTACTAGTCAGTGGCATCTGTTCAATGACTTCCTAGTCCGGTCTGTGAGCACCGAAGAAGCCCTTTCGTTCCACCCGCCTTGGAAGACGCCTTCGGTAATCGCTTTTCAAGTCAAGGAGGCGAATAACAAGATCGATATGGACTGGAAGAAGAACATTGATACCTCTCTTCTCTATGAAGATAACAAGTTGGTTCCCTTCTCGAAAATGCCGTTACAGATGACTTGCTGACCCATTAAGCCCTCACAATGATGGAAAGACATATCAAGCGCTCGATTCGGCGAGTGAAAGGCCCGGGCCGGAGAGCATCGTCGCTTTAGACACAGAGTTCGTCGCCGTCCGTCAGCCTGAAATCGAGATGAACTCCGATGGCGAAAGAGAGACGATTCGGCCAATCGTGTACGCCCTCGCAAGAGCCTCCGTCGTTCGCGGACAAGGAGAAGACGAAGGCCTACCGTTCATCGACGACTATATCTCGATTAGAGAACCCATTGTTGATTACCTGACATCATACTCGGGTATTACTCATGATGATCTGGACCCCCGCATTTCCAAGCATAATCTCGTGCCCCTGAAGGTTGCCTACAAGAAGCTTTGGATTTTGCTGAACCTGGGCTGCAAGTTCCTCGGTCACGGCCTCAAGCAGGATTTCAGAGTGATCAACATCCACATACCGAAGTCCCAAGTCATCGACACAATCGATTTGTTCTTCTTGAAGTCTCGCCTGCGGAAGCTCTCGCTGGCTTTCTTGGCGTGGTACTTGCTGAAGGAAGATATCCAGCTGGAGACTCACGACTCGATCGAGGATGCCCGGACAGCACTGAAGCTATATCGGAAGTATTTGGAGTTCGAGGATGCAGGTATCCTGGAACCGATGCTTCAAGATATCTATCGGGGCGGACGAGACGTCAACTTCCGGCCGCCTGCTAGGAGCGGGCAGGCCGCTGATGTCCAAAGAACAGATACGCCTCCTCCCCTACCCAAAGAGGCTCCCACTACACCCGGCGCTCCGGGAGCTGGGACTTCGGCGAGTGGCGGTTTCGGGGCGGGCTCGACGTGGACGCCGGGTAAGGGCTCGCCGCTTCGATGAGGTGGTTGGCACAACGCCGGGGGCTCGTTGGTGGTAGAGTCCAGACGATGCTTCTTTTAATTGAGTTAGAGAGTAGTATCATTAGAACAGCAGGTCTTCTTACTCATCGATAATCTTCCCGTTGATTGTGCTTCCCGTCCTGTCTGGCGGTGTTCTGCTTACGTTCGTCAACCTTGTACCACACTTGACCGTTCATCGATTCCAGGTGACGGTTTATTGTTTACAGAGAATCGAGAACCAATCTTACCAAACTTGAAGCCAAAGGAGCCACGCGCTGTGCCAGGAGATGGTAGGCGGCAGGCTCGATCCGAATGCTGGGGAAGGCGTCACCGCTATGATGAGCAACCGCGAGGCCACGGAGCAAGGTAATGAGCTCAGATTACATCGAAGGGAGGCAGGCAGTCTCAAGAGTACTTTGCGGCAAATTTGGTGTGCATCTTGATGCGCGCTGCGAAATCTCACGATGATTTATCCCGACGAACGATGGCAATCCCTGGCCGAATTCGACCCATTCCTTCGGCCCCCTCGACCGCACGGCATTGCGCGAGTATACCCAGCTATCAAAATGATCTACTCGGCCTGCTTCATCATTTGAAACTATTTTTACGACGGTAACTCGTCTGTGTGGCGAGCATTCGATGCCAGAAGCCAGAAATCAACGATTCTCGGCCAGCCCTTGACGTTCCTCGACTTACAACCGTCAACTACACCCTCGACGCGGTATTCCTCGCCACAACACATCCATATCACCGGGAAAATTGTCAAATAGGTTCAAATAACTATAATAAACACGATTATATGGTTTTAATCTCTTCATATTGGATTGCGCCTCCGTCATCCCATCTATTGTACGATTCCCCTTCCATCTGGATGTCCAGACGTGCCACCCCGATTAGGCTTAGCGGTCACTAGAGATCGTGCGCTACACTTGATTAGGCCTAGCTTTCAGCCCTACCATCGCTTTTTGCGTCCACCCCCTTTGGGGGTGAGCCATTTCAGCCAATGAGGTGTTACTGATCTGGGCGCACCATCCGTCTACTTCTACCCTTCCTCCTCGAACCGCCCCCAATCTTCCTTCTTCCTTTCTTCTCTTCACGGTTTGATCGTTTGATGCTCTAGCTTGCTAAGATGTCTTCTCTCTGCTTCTCTCCTGCTTCGGCTGCCGCCCGCCCGTCTGAGACCGGTCCGCAGTCCAGGGTTCAAGTCCCTGCCCCCGTCAACGCCAGCACCCTCGTGGCCTCGCTCAGTTCCTTCCTCCGCCGTGTCCCCAGCCTCCTCGCAGCCGCCGTCACAAGCGCTGTCTGCCCGATCCTGTGAGTTATTTCATCCTCCGCTCTACAGCTTGAGCCTCACTGGCCTATCTGTCTTCATTTTAGCTAAGCAGTCTTTTCTAGCCGGTACATCGGTACCCCGACACCACCCGCGATGCTTGCCTGTAGCTCGTCTCCTCGTCAACTCCAGACTGGAGCTACTCGATCCTCGATCACGGTGTCGTCCTCTCTTAGTAAGTCCTCTTCTGGGGGCTTTTGTTCTCTGTTTACGCAGCCCGTTGTGCACGTTTGCACTCCTCCTCCCCGTGGCGATCCGCATGGTTGGACCCTGAGTATGTCCCATTACTTAGGGCCGGAATCCCGGATCAGTACTTCTTCGGTCGGTTCTCCTTTGGTCAGGACTCCTTCGCCTTCGGTTGCTTCTGCGGTTTCGGCTCCTGTTGGACGTGTCTGCACTCCTCCAGGTCGGTCCCCGCATGGCTTCACTCTGACAATGTCCCATTACTTGGGTCCAGAGTCCAGGGTCAGTCCTCTGCCTTTGGATGGTTCCCTGTCTTTGGATAGGTCTTCCTCGCCTTCGGTTGGATCTGTGGTTACGGCGCCTGTTGGTCCTGTTTGCACCCCTCCCCGTTTGTCCCCGCGTGCCTTTACTCTCAGTATGTCCCATTACTTTGAGTCGGTTCCCCGGGTTAGTCCTTCGTCTTCGGTACGCTCTGCTTCTTCTGGTTCTCCAGGACGGTCGGTTTCCGTTTCCAACCTGGAGGATCCGTTTGTGGACGCCTCTTCCCCTGCTGTGGATTCGCTAATCCATCCATTGGTTTCGCCTGTTCCTCGTCCTAACTTTGAACAGTTGATGGCCCTTGCCGACTGGCAGATTGAAAAGGCCCGCGCCTACACTGCCACTTACACCGCTAAGCGTCAAGCTGCCTCCGTCGCTGCTAACACTCCCAGGACCCCGGAGCCAAGGACCCCAGAGTTGAGGATCCTGAAGCCTGAGAACCTAGAGCCCCCGACGCTTTCTCCCATGACTTGCTCGCCTTCCGCGGATGCCTCTCCTGAAGAACATGGCTCGCTGTTCCGTAACCCGGTTGAACCGCCTTGTACTCCGCCGCCGTGTACTCCTCCTCCTCGTGAGATGGACACTCTCGACCGCAGCGTTGAACGGCAACGGATCCGGGCCCGTGAGCTCAGCGCAGAGGCCAAGGTCAAGTTTGCGCAGCTCCGGTCTCTCCTGGCGGACTGGCCTGCTCCCAAAAGGCGGTACGCGCCCTCTTACGACTACAGCACGGAATCGCCTACGCCGCACACCATTTCCAACTGGGACTCGACCCTGGAAGAGGATCGGATATCGGAATACTCCTGGACCAAAGGCGCGTTCCCTGTCGCCTCTCCTCAGCCCCTTGGGGCTCTGGCAGAGTGGGATTCGCCGGCCGTTTCTCCTGGATACTCTAGGTCTCCTGTCGCATCGTCCTCTGGTTCCGTTGGCTCATCTGGTTCCCCTGGATCGTCTGGTTCTTCCGGCACTCATGGTTCCACTGGATCCTCTGGATCTGGTGGCTCTTCTGGATACTGTGCGTCTCCCGGATCTACTGGATCTTTCGGAACCTCCAGCTTTTTTGGGTCTCCCGGATGCCCTGGTCCCCCCGAGGAGTCTGGATCGATCTCTTCCTTGCTGGAGCTTTATGGTCCCCGATCACCTGCGCCTGTTCCTGTGCCTGTTCCCGTACCCGCTCCTGAGCTTGAGTTTGACCTGGTCACGACCAAAATCAAGGGTGCCAAGGGAATCACCCTCAGGATCACCCGCCGAGTTCCTCGGGTTAGGTCTTGAGCCATATATCCTTTCTAGTTCCTGATTCCTGATTTTCGTTCTGGTCTTGGTTTGGTTTGTTGTTTCTGCTTCTTCCCTTTGGCTCTTGGAGCCGTTCAGGGATCTTGTTTTGTACTTTGTTCTACTTTCTGTTTTTGCTCAATCCCCCACTCTCGTTTCCCCCCTTTTTGGTCAGCTAACTGTGATAGGTCCCCCGTCCGGGAAGGTCATCGTACTCCCGCTCTCATGATTTAACTTCCTATTTATCTATTTACCTATCTGCTATATATCTGAATATGCTTGCCACACAGAACATGCTAACGATATCAGTAAGTCCTCCCTAACCCCAAACTGTGTCAGTCGACTAACTTTGAGTACACAATGACAGATCCAAACAATAAATCGGGTAACCTGGTAAGCTATTATTTCTCCTCTTTCACCATTAGCTTGAAATGACTTCCCTTCGTCGGCACACTGCCGTACTGGTCAGAGTAACCTCGGTCAGCATGTTAAGCCTTTGATTCTTTTCTGTTCCTATTAGCCTTGACTAAATCCCAACAATCTTCTACAGGTACCATCGGACTCGTCCAAATGAAGTCGGACAACATGGTAAGTTGTTCATTCCTTTCTATTTCTGTAACTGTGACTGACTTCCAGTAAACTCCGACACTTTTCGCGGTATGAGCCAAACACATAATGTAAGCAAACCCCTTATCATCAAGCCTTGATATCATTGTCTAATGTAAACAATCTGTCCAAGGTACTCTTTTGGGCAAGAGCCTTTGGTATCTCTACGTGTACTAACCAAGGTATGTGATAGATTATCCGCTGCGTGCTGAGGTGATTCTTTTGCCGACTGCTTTTACCTCTTATTGTCTGCTCCTGCTGCACTGTCACTTCCAAGCTACTCTCGTGGCGCGTTCTAGCCAGACCTGTTAGTGCAACTTGATATTTGAAATCGCAGAGATCACCACAATCCATGGCTATGCTTTTTGGTAACAACACTAGGTCTACCTGTCCTCGCTGGTCCTTGAAGTATGAAGTAAGGCTACTGACCTCGGGCTTGATTCGTGACTATGCAGTGGCGCTGACCTCGAGTGCAAACAAACTGTGAATCACATTTTTATCGCCAGAGATATTCTTCTCGCCAGCCCTACGAACTGCTTCTGTCGGATCGCATCGTCGGCGCCATTATGACCTTCGATCATGTCGTAGAATTACGGTGTGAATAGTACTCTCCGCGCCGTCATAGCCGGCGGCGGATAGTATTGAGGTCCATGCTACATACAGACAGGCCATTCTAGTGGGATCTGGTGTCTATGATAGTATAGAATCGAGCGAGTCGGAGATGAGATACATTGCTACTGGCGCTCGTCACCTGGCAGGCTTTAAGCTTCACTGGCTTCAGGTTGCGAAGAAGTAGAGCGGTGATTACCAGATGACATCTCGGCCCGCTCGTTCTCCTGTCTTCCGTGACGTGTAGTCTGTCCTTGGGCTTTTCGAGACAGAGATTGCGCGTTGCGGGTTATAAATTCCCCCATGTTCGTTGTGTTAGAGCCTTGGGGAACAATTTCTCACTCCTTTTCCAGGCTAGCCATGCGCCAATTTGGATAGACATCGTGCGGTATCTACGTTAAGCATGTGAGAGTGCGAAGATGAAAGTCTTCCGATCCATCGATCATCGTGAATGGTAGCGCCATGCTGCATCTCTTTGAATGGATTTCATTTTCCTTGAACGACGAGCTATACATTGGTATGCCTAGTACTTGGGAAACCTCCGGTATTCCTTGGAACCAGCTCTGCACCATTCATACGTACGTGGCCATGCCAAAGATTACGAGATGTATGATCATGATAGCTACTCTGTGTGACTTGAGTCGATCTATTGAAACACAGTGCTGTAAGTGATGCAGTGCCTGGCACTTCACTTTTGGGCAAATGTGGAAACCCACACGTACGGTAATCCCGAAATTGCCCAAATCAGAGCAGTACAGTCGAATAGGTAGATTCAAAATGATTATGATGTAAGAAATGCATATCATCGACCTTGGTCATCAACTGTTGTCATAAGGTCTAATCGACACTTTGCCGAGCCAAGTTACCGTGAGAGACGGAAATACCTCAACATCATTATGGCCATTCCGGGCTGCCTCCCAATCGAAGGAAGCAATGAGCAGCGAGCCGCAAGAAGCGATGACATCGCAACATAGCCGAGCCATGAACCGTGAATGATGAGGCCCGGGGGCTAGGCTATGGTCTATTTCACATTTGAGGCCCTCCACTTCCCTTTCCGGGTCTGGAAAAGCCCGCATCTCTCGAGGACCTGGATCATGGATAGGTTCAAGAGCTAGAAGTGTCAAGCCGAGATGGTGAGGATGAGCGAGGGTTTTCGGCTCAAGGTACGGGAGCGGCCGGGTTGTGACGGGTGTGGGGTCCATCTATTGGGTAAGACTCTGAGCACGACAGGCATCATGGTGACTGGTCTAGGTAGAGTAGCAAACAAGGGAGAGAGAGGAAGTCCAGGTTGGTTTCGATTGGCGATGCCTGAGCTGGGCGTCAGTGTGTCATCCCACGTTTCCAAGAAGCTGATTTGCCAGGGGGTTAGTTGACGATACTGTGATTCCATGAGTGTGAGCTCTGCTGAAATGCTACCCCGGCTTCTCAGGGTCGAGTAGCCGGAAAACGGAACATCTCTTTTGGGACGTTTTGAGCTATTGGTGTATGGATACGTAGTGCGGCTCATCAAATCTGCAGTTTAATCATGTCAAACCAGGGGTCCGAGACAGGTTGTGTACGAATAGACAAGCAAGCGGTCAGCAGTATCGGAACCACGCCCGGTGGATGGGTCATATCGTGCATCCCATCCCTCTTCTTCTTGGGACGGACAAGCGTCATCCCGCGGGATGGAGGGGCGCGCATGGAAGTGAGCGCTAGGATGTTTGCTCGGTTGGAAACTGGGCGGTATCTGAGGTTCCTGACATTTCCGCCTAGGGGAATAGAAGGCCGAGGTGCATATTCCATGTTTTGGGTTCCTTTTTGGAAAAGCAGATTGACTCATTGAGAGAGATGCCGTTTGGCGTTTCCGGACCGGGGATGGTGAGCTCGGATTCACTCGGGACGAATTTCCGGCAAATGGATGGAATTGCTGGTAACGAGCAGAGAGGAACTGAGAGAGAGTGGGATAGGTTTGTTTTTCCACCAGTGCCGTGGCGGGTTACCGAGCTTTCGGGAATAACACCAGGATGGCGCACGGGCGTCTGGCAACCAAATTAGACCTTGGAAGACCAAGGATACGCAAGTGAGGATGTGAAGCTATCTCGCGTCTTCGCCTTTACGGCGAAAATGTTGAAGACGCCGATATGAGCCAAGAGAGAGGCTTTTTTTTTTTTTTTTTTGCGTTGTTTTCTTGTCAACAATGCAATCTGATTCGTGTTTGTCTTGGGGATCTTCCCTCATGTCTTGAACCGCGACTTTCCGTTGCGGCATCGGCACATTTTGATCAACGTTGTTGGACAGACATAACCGAATTATCGTGGATGGACACGATAGGCAGATTAGAGTTTGGAGGTTCTGCCAGCTTGCAAGGGATGGCTGGGCCAGGGAGCTGGCATGGCTGCGTCGTCCGTATCGTCCGGCGGTTGAGGGCCGAGGGTGGCTCGCCGACGCGGACGATCCCGCTTCGTTGGGACCAGATTGGATGCTGCAGGGCTGCGGTGACTCAACAGCTTCACATGTCTTCAACTCGAGCTCGAGCAGGTAGATGTGGGAGATGATACGGGAATAAGGCCTTTGGGGTCGAAGCAGCCTAGCAGAGTTAGCATTACCCTGAGCTGAGTGCCTGACCGCCAAAGAGACAACAAGTGCAATGTTTGAGCGAGCTCAATGGTTCCCAATTCCAACAAGATGCCTCTCGGTGAGACATGGCGGGCTGAAGGGGAGTCGGCGTGGCCCCAACGGACGGATCCAACGAGGCGCATAGTATTTGGACCTCGTTTCGGTGAGGCAAGGTGAGTCGAGGGGCAGTGGCTGAGGTGTCAGACGAATCATGTTGCTCGACCAAGCTGTGACGAAAATAGACGATCTGAGTGGATAGCTGTGGTGCATAAGATACGGGGGCAGCATATCCATATCCATACTCCGTAGAGGCTATTCGAGGTCAGCCAGTCCTGAGAGCTGGAATTAAAATCATTCGCGGGACAGCTCCCTCCTCACACGAGAATCCCGGCGCCAAGTGCGCTTGTTTGGCGAGCACAGGGGAGCGAAACCAGCTACGTCACCCAAGGTGTCTGTCTGTCTCCCGGGGGAAGAACCCCAACTTGCTTCCGTTCCTGGAAGTAAGGTAAAGCATCATCATAGCAAGAGAGAACAAGGTGACATTAAGGAAACCACGACTGTATGGTCCTGACGAGAGTTGAGAACGTGACTGCTGCTTGCTCTGGCCGTTTGAAGATGCCCGAGCAGGAGTTCATCAAGTGACCCAGGCAAGTGCCAGGCTCTTATCGATACCCAGCACGTGTGCACTTACATAAGCATCCGCTAAAGTGGACCATCAAGGTCATTGAGCGTAGGGAGGCCCGTGCTTAGACGCTACCCCGCATTCCTGCAGCAGGTGGCAGCAAGCAGTTCGCAGGCCAGTCCCAGACGAGAACAGCGCTTTCTCGCAAAGCTGCAAATCCATCCCATCTGCCAGACGTCTTTATGCCCTTTTCTGAATTCACTGCTCGATGCGATGGCGAGTGACCTTTACCCCAACTTTGAACAAGTACCTCGACTAAACGCAACGGATTCATCGGCATCGTCGGGGCTTTCTCGTCTGCCCTCGGGAGGACGAAGGGAAAGCAAAACGAGCAGCCAAGGAGCAAGGGATCTGTGTCGTCTATTGTCTTGATGCTAAAATAAATCGATACTAAAGACAGGGAACGGTATCAACATAGTACACAGCAGGAATCAGATTACGGCTACGAAACGCATGGCAAGCCGTTCAAATCCCATTTGGCCTGTTTCTTCCACCGCTTCCATTCTCCGCAAGAGCAATCGCCTCGGCCGCGACGCGCTACATTATTTGCACGCCATCTACCAGCCGTCTCTTCTTCATCCGCGGCATTACCCTTGTCCGTGTTGACGCGGAGCAATTCAAGCCATCTCGAGAGGGACAACCAGCCTTCTCCGTCTCTGTCTGAGCACTCGGACATGGCTGTTGCTATCAATTTCACCTCACTCACACCGGCAAACCCCCACCAGCCTGGTGACCCGAGGTCACCCAACGATCGACACCCGTTTCATTGCTGTCGTGCCGTCATCCAAGCCCAGTCGAAGCCAGGCACCGTCTCACCCAGTCTTTGCCGCCGATAGGTATTACTCTGTGCAAGCAAGGCCAGCCATGTCACAACTCGCAGACAGACACGGTCCAAGAACACTCGACTGCGCAAGGGGTTGCATTCTCCCACGGCGCGAACATAGCCGCCGCCTACCTTGAGCAGCTCGCTGTCGCAGTCGTTCGTTCCGCTCCAATCTGTTCAGATTGTCAGGAGATTTCCTCCCCTGATGGCGCCCATGGTGACGTTTTCCATGCCGGACCTCAACGTTCCCCTCTACACCAAACATCCACCGATGTGCATGTCGTCCCGATGTCTCCATTCAAATTGCTCAGCTTTACAAGTTGCTGCAAGCACAAGGCAGGTCGCAGGATGTTCCCGAGATTCGAGCGATTCCCCAGGTATCCATCCATTCCACCCTGTAACCCGTCCCATCCATCCATCCATCCACCCATCCATCTACAACTACACAGTACTTGGACAAGAACGGGCCAGCCACGCCCCCTCACTGCCTTCGACACGTTGATGGATGAGGTGTGCCGAAACCATTTAACCCCGCATCCGGACGGCACCAGACAGACGCGACAGACAATGCGCCTGGCTTCGCAATCACGGCCTCCCGTTGGTGAAATCCCCAAATCCTCATTGGCGCGTTACCTTCCCCAGCCAGGGACAACGCCGCTTGGATGGGAGGGTGGGAAGCTTTTTAGTCGTCCTCCTCGTCTTTGGGGCTTGGGGGGCTGGCATGTCTCTCTCTGCTGGCTGATACGTCGTAGTCCAATGGTCGACTGACCGACCGACCGACTGTGACCCTGTGTGTGAACTGGCATACCGACAATGCCTTCGATGTACTGTAGAGAGGTACTTGTCTGGTCATCAACACCAAGTATCTCTCCTCCATGTCGTCTCGGACACCAGGATCAGCCAAGGTACTATGTGGCACAAGGCATGTGTCTCTCTCATAAATATATCGACACCACTGCCTCGACTCCGCACGAGATGCCCATCTCTCACACCATCCATACTTTTTTGTCTGTCCCGTACCAAGGTACTGCAATTATTGTCCTCGTCCATCCGTCCATCCGTCTCGTTTGAGACGCCAAAGCTACATCTCGATCAAATTGGAAGCCTCGGTCCTCCTCCAAAACCACACACAGAAGCTACCGCTAAAACTGATCAACGGCTTCCAATCCGTCTTCCTCTACTAGCCCAGCTGGGAGCAGCTACCGCCGAACCTTGATTGTACCGAGAAGCACCTGACATCTTGAACCAAGCTACCGTCAACTCCCGAAGGAGCCATCCACGAACAGAGAAGGAATTACTTGGTCTCGTCTCTACCGGCCACCGCATCTTCACAAGCTTTGTGAACACCATACCATCTACCTCTCTTACCACAACTTGCTTATTTGCTTGCTTGTCCGGCTCGTCTTTCTCTCGACTTTGGCTCTTTCCATCTCTCCTCTGATCCCTCCAAAGCAAGCCATAAACCCAACCCCGCCCCGCTCTCCTCTTATTACAGCTTCAGCGTTTCCCCAACGGTACGCGATCTCGAATCAAACATTAGTCTTTGTGCAGAGTCATTGCAACGCTTATTCCGGCACTCTTATACCCTGTATCGACCGAAAGACGTCAAATCTTTGGCCGTAACGATAACCCATCCAACAAGACATCTCTTCTTCGTGTAAGTCAAAACGTTCGAGCCAACGTCTGTCCCTCTCAATGTGTCTCGAAAGCTTTCATTGGGGACGCGAGGCGTTCAACAAGGGCGTTCGAGCTAATCCCATCTCTCTTCTCCCACCCCCGCTGCGGCTTTGCTCTATGCAGTCGACCCCGGCATTCTTCTACCAATCTGTCCTACCTGGCTCTGCATAGTGTGCAAGTCCGAGACCCTTGCACATCTCCAGCCTGGAGCTCTACTAGGTAGCTCCAGCTCCAGCCAAAGTCGGCACCTTTCTCTTGCGACCCACCTCATTCCGCCTTACACCAAGTCTACCATACGTCGTACACTCCTCCGTCTTCCCCTCCTCCACTGGTCCAAATTATCTCCGGTCTAGTGCGGAACCTTCCTCTTGACATTCACCGTCGTTGAACCTCTCTTCCACTTACATGGGAAGCGGAACACCTTAACCACGGCTGCATCCACCCGGAGCTACCCCCCGTCCCTATCTTTTCCGATGACATACCCCCGCCCCCACCGCCTCACCATCCAGGCCGATGAGACCCGGGACCGTCACCTCGGTCACTGCCTCTAGTTCCGCCGGATGCCCAGCCCTTGTCTCGTTCTGCATCTACACCTACGCACTTGCACTACACCACTCATCTGCATACCCTGTCCAACGTGCGCCCGTTTCTACATGTGGGACTTACCATAGCCCAAATGTGGAATTGCGTCTTTGCGTCCGTCTCATGCTTTTGTTGGACCCCCACCGGATCTGGTTCTCGTTCGAACTGACCGGGGGTGTGTCTTAACATTGGTATTTGACAGGCACGGAAGAATGAGGGAGCTCTCGCTCATGCTATAAAGCTACCTGTGAAACCTCTTGGATCGAACGTTGGCTAACTAGTGTGCTCTCTCCTTTTCTTCGACAGCTTCCCTACCTCTCAACCTAGTCTCTTCGACTATCTATCTACCCGAAGCGACCATCATACTCGACGACCGCTCCAACTTACTCCGAGTTGGAACTGTAGCATACTGTAATTCAGTCTCACTCGTACACCCAGCATCATGAGCTCTTCATCTATCAAGCAGGCAGCTGAGGCCGCACGAACTCGCACTTCAGAAGTTCTGAAGGGAGATGGTGCTGCTGTCGCCAATGACTTCCTCCACACTCCTATCATGAGGGCAGCGCTGCCCTTCATCAATGGCGGTATCAGCGGCATGGTAGCCACCTCTGTCATTCAACCCGTCGACATGATCAAGGTCCGCATCCAGCTCGCAGGCGAGGGTGTTGCCGGAGGACCCAAGCCCACACCATTGTCAGTTACCAGAGAAATTCTTGCCAGCGGAAAGGCCCTCGATCTCTATACCGGTCTGTCGGCCGGTCTCCTGCGCCAAGCTGTCTACACAACGGCCCGCTTGGGCTTCTTTGACACCTTCATGGGCAAGCTCGGCCAACGGGCCAAGGAACAAGGAAACGCGATTGGCTTCAAGGAACGTGCCACCGCAGGTCTCACAGCTGGAGGTCTCGCCGCCATGATTGGAAATCCTGCCGACCTTGCTCTCATCCGCATGCAGAGTGACGGACTGAAGCCCCTGGCTGAGCGCAAGAACTACAAGAGTGTCATCGACGCTCTCTCAAGCATCGCAAAGTCTGAAGGTGTTGCCGCTCTCTGGGCCGGTGCCGCTCCCACGGTTGTCCGTGCGATGGCTCTCAACTTTGGTCAGCTCGCCTTCTTCAGCGAGGCCAAGGTGCAGCTCAAGGAAAACACGCAGCTGTCCTCTCAAGTACAGACTCTCACCGCCAGCGCTATTGCCGGATTTTTCGCCAGTTTCTTCTCTCTGCCCTTTGACTTCGTCAAGACCCGTCTACAGAAGCAGTCCAAGGGTCCCGATGGCAAGCTTCCGTACAAGTCAATGGCCGACTGCTTCGCAAAGGTGGCTAAGCAGGAGGGCGTAATGCGCTTCTACCGCGGTTTCGGTACTTACTACGTCCGCATTGCTCCCCATGCGTAAGTGGACCATCTCAACCCCGTATATCCGTGCTTTAGGTACCTTATTTGTATGCTAACAATAGTGCGTTTCCAACAGAATGGTAACACTCATCGTTGCCGACTACCTGGGCTTCATCACCAAATAGACGGACTACGAGCAGCACGAACATGACTTTCAGTCAACCAATGGCGCCCTCGAGTCGTTTCGGATACTTCTTCTGGTCGGGGTGTAGAAGCGCAGTAGAGCAAGCCTCCCTCCGAACCAATTGGACATCGCATTCATTTGATTAGTCATTCCTAATGACCCGGCGCTCTCGGTGTTATTGCAAGTTGGGTTTTCCAGGAGGTAAATAGTATTGCGTTTTGGGTTTATATCAATTTCTTGGACAGGAACACAAGACGAAGGAGAGGCATACAGACAGACGTACATAGCTTCGTCCGGCCGTTGTAAGGACATTGACGGGTGTATGACCCCCCACGCTTTTTGGGGAATCGAACAAAGAAGAATTTCAGCCATACCTCCACTTCCTGCGTGTCTCTTATGAATCTGCATGTGTGTCTGCGCATGTGAAACTTTTTTTTTTGGGGGGGAGGAAGGGGGTGGGGGTGAGGTCTGATGGTGGTGGTGCTTGTGTGTTCCTCAACAGTGTCTGTGTGAGCCATTGGCATGCTTTTGGTGAGATTTTGGTCTGAGCGGATCAGTCGGTTGTTGATCTGAGCTAAGCTACCTCAGTGCCCATACGTGCCTTAGTAGGGTAGAACAAGGTGCCAGGGGAGACCTTCTTGCTGGTACTGAGAGCCCAAACAGAGGCTGAGCCGCTGAGGTGTGCAAATTGTCTCTGGTCCATATGGTTTCAGCGAGTTCATCAGTTGAGGTGTGTGTACGTAGGTACATAAGGTATGTATGTGGTCGGTTCCAACTCAACGCTCCTGTCTGGGATACAGCCATTCATATATGGCCGTTGAAGGATGCAAGTCAATTACAAATTAAGGAGTTCGGTTGAACCCTGAATAGAAGCCAAGGGGGAGGAACAAAATGTCTTTTGAAAATCAAAGCTTGGTGAATTATTAGGTCTTTGTTTGTGAAGGTGTGTGTCTACCGCCATTCCCATGATTTCCATTTTCGCCTGTCCCCTTTTTTCTCTTTTCCGCAAAGAAGGGAGCTGATTTGCAGCGAACCAAATGCTTTTCAATGAAGCCACACCCCATCACAAATCCTCCCAACACATGGTCCTGTCCAGGCCCCGTTGAAGACCGTTTGTAGTACGCCTTTGTCCGTCGTTAAAACACGCAACACTCCTTCTCGTTTCCAATTGCTACCCGTCTGCTTAGCAACAATGGGGAGGTATGGTCTGTTGGCCTCCTCAATGTTTACAAGTCGTTCGGGATGAGATCCATATCCACGTAGTCAGCCCGGTCAACCTACTCCTGGCTGGCACTAAGGTCCGGATTCTTCTCCCACAGGTTGCGGAGGATCGCCGTGATACCCTCGTCTTCCTCTCCACCCACGAGACTCGACCCACTGAGGCCCTGGACGCCCGTTCCCTCGTGCAAGGCCCGGCTGCTCTGATGGTCGTCGCCGTCAGCCTCGTAGCTAGATCCGGCTCCGTTGGTTCGGATAGAGTAAGCGCGCGGGGTGACGGGTCTCCGAGTGGAGCCGGTGCCGCCCGATGCCGCAGCCAAAGCCGCCTCATTCAAGCTCGAGTTGCGCATATGTTGCCCTCCCGGAGTGACGCCTCCCCGCACCGACGCGGCTTTACCGTTGCCATTGGCGATCCCGTTGCGCGGTATCCGCTGAGTCTTGTTCGCGCGGTTGACCTGCGCAAGGCGATCGAGCGAACGCACCACGGGGTTCTGGAAGCGGCGGACGCTGAGGTACTCCATCCCTGTCCGTTCCAGCTGCTTCGCAACGCGTGGGTCGCGGCTCGCGCCGCCGTCGTAGCCCGGCCCGCCAATGCCGACCAGAGGACTCGCGCCCACTGCGCCCACGCCTCCTCCCCCCGTCTGGCCTGGCTCGATGACGGAGCTTGCGCGCTGCAGGTTGAGCTTCTGCTGGGTTCGCGACTTCTCGGCCGGCTGGGCGGAACGCCTTGCTGATCGCGGCGCGAGCGCTGTACCGTCGGTATCGCGGCTTTTGCGACTCTCGAGGGCACTGTCGCCATCTTCATCGTCTGATAATGGCAGATCGCGGTGTCTTCCTTGGCGTCCGGATCCCGAGGACTGCGGTCGCCCTCGAGGGGGGTTTTCCTCCGACCGCAAGCTCGCCGGCCCAGGGGTTGGGAGCTGGTAGAAGGATCCTTCGCGCGCTGCGCCGGAGCTTCCCGCGTTGACGAACCGTGAAATAAGCTCGTCGCCAGCGCTACCCGGTAAGGTGCTGACATTGTGAGAGTCGCCTAGGGTCGAGCCGCGGCCGATGGAATCGGGGGATGAGGAGTTGCCCCGCCGTGAGACGGACACTGTGTCTGCCGTCATCTTGGGAGGTGCGCCGTGGGAAGGGGTGCGTTGAAGTAATCTCGATGTCAGATAGGCCTTATGCTGTACGGTCTCGCGATCGGGTGTCGCTGGGACCAGAGGCGATGATTGCGCTGCGGGAGTTTCTGCTCTGGAGTTATTCGCCGAGTTGCTGGCAGAGTTATTTGCGCTGCTGCTGCCGTCGTCGGGCTTCGCAGAAGCTTGTGTACTAGCTAGCGATCCTCGTCTCGATAGGTATGGTGAAGCGGATGTGCTGGCGTCAACCCATTCGTCGTCTTGGCCGTCGTTACCCAAGTCAAAATGTACCTGTGACTTTTGCGACTTGACCTTGTTCACGGCTGGATTCGAGCTGGTTCTCTTGAGTTTCTCCACCGACTTGATCTTTGCGGGCCTGTTGACTTCGCCGTGGGATTTATTCCGCCGTAAGCTCGTCGCGGAGGCGGTTTTGCTGAGGTTGGCAGAGGAGCTGTCGCGAGAAAGCTTCGCTTCGGATTGGACTCGGCGATGGCCAGCTGCGGAGGCGCGATTTCGATCGGGCGAAGGGGATGCTTGTCGGCGGTTATTGTTCAGTTTTGAGGCAGTCGAGCCATGATGTTTGTGTAGTGCTTTGGAGGAAGGAACGCGTGCATGTAGCCGACCGCCGCCGACAACGTGCTTCTGGGATTTCGACCGGTGCTGCTGATGGTGGTCTCGGTGAGCCTGGTCGCTGTTTGTCGAATCGCTCTCCTGATGATTGAGAGGAGGGCGTCTTGATTGGCTGGGCGCCGAAGATTCATCACCGTCTCTGTCTTTGTCTCGAACCATGGTTGCTTATTCGACCCCCCTGGGGATACTTGACGAGTAGGTACTATGTGGTGCCGTTGCAGCCAAGGTACAATGTCAAGGGTGTCGACAGGTTTTCGGGGGTGGTAGCAAGGCTTGTTCTCTGATGCGCGGGTGCGGTGCGGTGCGTTGCGTGGGCGTTCGGAGGACCGATGGATTGCGGTGGTGGCTGCCCGCGCTGCTGTTTCAATGAGGTAATGCCTCGAAAGCTACAGGGTGGGAGGGCGCTGGAAGTCTGGGAGAGCGCGGGATACAATTGGGGGCCGATTGCGGCGAGGGAATGCGCAGTGAAAGGAATGACAATAGGCACCGCAGACGAGGATAGCTGGAGAAGAGCCGTCTTACAATCGAGGTGTGTTCGGAGTTCGGGTATCTGCGTCTGGATAGGAAAGATTGAAAGATGCTGCGCTGTTCTCTCTGGACAGGTTGCGAGGAGAAATAGTGTACTGGAGAAGAGAGTGAAGAAGAGGAAAAGAGTCAGGTCGAAGTCCTCGTCCGGTTGTCTAAGGTACCCTTTGGCTAAATAACCTTAGACAAGGTACCCGAGACCATGGAAGGCACCACGATTGCCTCTCCACCGCTGGCTCCGGCGCCATTCAGGTCCATTATCGGCATGCGACGCCCGCTAACGTCCATCGTCAGCACCTGTGCGTGCTGCTTTTGGGTGCGCCTAGACCCGACTTCAACCGCTTCCCACCCCTGCATTCCACGATTCCTAAAAAATCCCACACTCGAGTCTGGGGGGCTGCACGAATCAGACGCTTTGTGATTGGCCAAAATCTGGGATGACGCTGCAGTTGGTTCGCCCAGGATTCCCCATTATCTGCACGTGATTCCACCGGATAAGCTTCTTGCCGCAAATGGACGGCATTCGTCACAGATCAACGATTCGCATGCCTCACCACTACGCTGTCTACACCCGACCATCGCATTAATTCAACACCGCGACACCTTCAGTCACGTCCGACTGTACTTTGAATAACCCAAACATCTGTCAACCACTTAATACTCGCAACCCGCGATAGACCTCTGCAGCAGCTACCATCATGTCTGGCCAAATTGCAGCCTTGGAAGAGGACCGCAAACAGTATCAAGAACAGGTACGCAGTACCCTTCTCCTTCAGAGCTAATGTCTGTTTCTCTTCTAACATTTTCCTTTACAGCTCGATGTTGTTCTCGCCGGCCTCAAAGATGATCCCGAAAATGCCGAACTCAAGAATCTTCAGGCGGAGTTGAATGACATGATTTCCCTCCTAGACGAGTCTCTTGCTGAGCTGCAGCCGAAGCAGGCGCCCAAGCCCGTACCTCAGAAAGCCCCCAGCCCACCGGAGCCCGAGAAGTGGTCCAAGGAGAACCATCCAGCCTTCAAGAAGGCTGCTCCAGCCTCCGAAGAGAAGGAGGAACCGCCCGTCACGTACCAGGTGAACGACACTGTCTCGGCGAAATGGGCATCGGGCGACAGAGGCTTCTACCCTGCTCGAATCACATCCATCACCGGCTCTTCAACAGACCCCGTCTACATTGTCAAGTTCAAGAGCTACGACAACACAGAAACGCTGCGAGCCAAGGACATCCGCCCCATCTCCAACAAGCGCAAGGCTGACGGAGCATCAGCGCCCGCATCTAACGCTACACAACCGACCGCACGTCCGCCGGGCCCATCCAATGGTGTTGTTACATCTGCAGCAGCTAGCTTGTATCCAGAGCAACAAGCCAAGATTGAAGCAGAGAAGAATGCTGCCGATGGCGCCGCAAAGCCACCTAAAGCCAAGAAGATCAAGGCCACGAAGGAGTTGGAAAAGGGCAAATCCAAGTGGCAAGAGTTCAACACTAAGTCCAAGTTCGGAAAACACAAGAAGGACAGCATGTTCCGTACACCCGACGGCGTAGGCGGCCGAGGTATGTTGCTCTCGCCAAGCCAAATGTGAGGATGATGCTAACGTGGTCGCAGTCGGTTTCACAGGCTCCGGACAAGCTATGCGGAAAGACACTGCTCGCAGTCGACACGTTTACCAACAGAACGACGAGCTTGACTAACTGCTGCTAGGGCGTAGGAATGCGGGAGGATCGTAAAGAAAGGAGGTTCAAGGCTTTGGCGTTCATGGTTCATGGGTGATTTGGCACTCTCGTTCCCTTCATGGTAAAGTGTCTTGTTTCGGCGTTACATAGGCTAACAGTTTGTACACATGTGTTTAACTCCCTCCAGACGACCATGGGGTCATGATCCCATCTGGACTCTGCGCATAATGCGTGGAGGGGTCCTTGTTACAAATACATGAGATGCCCAACTTCCCCAGCTTCTTGGCCACCTTGACTAAACATCTGGCTGTACAGGATATCCTACACTATTACTTCGGCCTCAACACACGTAGCTTCCTGGCCGCCACAGACCATTCGCGGGTTACGGTGAGCGGAGGTCAATCTTTGGGGCAATATCTTTCGCGATATTGAGGAAGATTTCTGCCCTGGCACTAGATGGCTCTGATACGACGGTGGGCTTACCTAGATCCGCGTCATCGCCGATGGACGGGTGCAGGGGGATGTCGCCTAGGAAGTCGATCTTGTGATCTTTGCACATGCGCTCGACTCTTGCGTTGGACCCAAAAACGTGTGTGTCGCCGTGACAGTGTGGACAGTTGAAGAGTGACATGTTTTGCACCAAGCCCAAAATGTTTACATTGACCTTGTTGAACATGTTGACGCCCTTGACCGCGTCCTTGACTGCGAGTGTGTGGGGTGTGGTGACAATGATGGATCCTGAATTTTATGAGTGGTTGCCGACAATCATGTGCCCAGTGCTGCGACGTTGAATATGACTTACCATCAAGAATGATTTGCTGTGTAATGGTGAGCTGCGTATCGCCTGTGCCTGGAGGCAGGTCGAGCACGAGGACATCTAATCCACCCCAGTCCACCTCGTGAAGTAGCTGCTGAATAGCCTTCATCACCATGGGGCCTCGCCATACCACGGCGTCATCCTCTGGAACGAGGTAGCCCATGGACATGGTCTTGACACCGTAGTTCGTCATCGGGATTAACTGGTTGTCTGACGAGATTGTCAGTTGGCGAGCAGCGACGGTGAATGAGGTGCAGAGTCCTTACTTTCCGAGAGCCGAGGCTCTCCGGACAGATTGAAGAGTGTCGGAACAGAAGGGCCAAAGATATCAGTGTCCAGGATTCCCGCCCTGTAGCCTAGTCGTGCAAAAGCCAATGACAAATTCGCTATAAAACATTGATTACTATTTGCCTTCTTTGCATACAGTCAAGTTCTACTTTATGACCTTACCTGCGACTGTACTCTTGCCAACGCCACCCTTGGCGGAAGAAACCGCAATGATTTTCTCTACGCCAGTGATCTTCCTCTTCACGGGCTTCCTGGGCCAGTTGGGAGGTGTGCCGGATTTCGGCAGGCCCTGTTGTGCATGTTAGTAAGTTTGAGCATGGAGTGATGCATGACAGCAAGTGAGAGTGAGAGTGAGCAAGAGTAAGAGGGAATCGTGGATTGTACCAAGGGATTTTCATGGCCCAGGACTCGAATAGTCGACTGAAACGGACGAAAGAGTGTTGGTCTCATTGTATGGCCTTTGACAGTGACAAACAATCACCTTGAACGTCAAAGAGAGATGCAATGCACAAAGCAATTGAAGCGACCCTGGAGACTGTCAATGCCTCGGGGGTGGTGATGAGAGGATGTAAATGATTGGCTCTACGTAGATTGAATCTGTTTGCGGAGTAACTTCGGTTGAGTGATGGCCCAGCTCGAGTCTCTGTCAAGAGCACTACCTAAAGCGACAGATTACAACAATCCGCTTCATTAAACTTCGAATGACTTGATGATACAATGCGATCCTTCATTTATTGAAAAGAAATCTAGCAACGGGCAGCGCACGATCCATTCATTTGACCTTGAAGTCATCGATGGTGATGGCCAACACGTGATCTGGTGAGGAAGCCCCACCGAATCTTCTCCATGGCTCGTGTACGTACCGCTTTATCGCGAACGCAAGCGTGATGAGAAGAACCTGGGACGCGATTGAACCGACATCTCAGTGAAAGCTCTCGTTCAAAAAGTCGAGCCCCACCACCCGCTAAAGCATGAGATCTCACAAATGAAGATATCATAGCCTCACTCCTCCTTAGCTCTCGCCGTTCCGTCTCATATTTCTGATACCCCTTTTGATATTTCGCGCTTTTGTTTCTATCGATCCTGCCTGCTCATTGGGATTCACTCTCAAATCTCTTCGCACCTACAAGTCATAAAGCTAAGATAGCAGCAGCCTCTACAAGCAAGTGACGAGACTCGCCATCATCTGAGATACCCGGAACACCGAAGACCGGTTCCAAGGAGAGAGGAAGAACGAAACATATCACACACAAACGACGCGATGTCTACCCCATCGGCAATGTTTGACATGGCCCAAGGTCGTCGCGACCTGGCCGCCCTACCCTCCGACTGGCAACAAAACATCAGAGAAGCTGTAAGTCCCTGCAATATCCAACACCACTTCATCACGCTCTATCTCTCTCACATAGTCCGAGAGTCGACCCGTCAACACCACCTCACATCTCTTCCCCACTTACCCTTCCATTTCCTACGAGCAAACACCACTGACACGACCTCACCAGTGGGAAGTCGTCGACCAACAAGGCCTCGGCTCCCTCAACGCGCGCGAGTGGCCCTTCGCCCTCCGCGCCATCGGCTTCGACCTAGCCCGCACGGAAACCTACGCCCTCCTCCTCGCCCACGGCGTGCCCCCCCACGACCACGACCCGTCGCGGGGCCCATGCAGCCCCTCCCGCCTGCGCATGCCGCAGGAGCACTTCTCCGCCATAGCGGCGTGGCTGCTGATGCGCCGCGATCCGCAGGAGGAGGCCGAGGACGCGTGGAAGATGTTTGACCCCCGCGGCACGGGGCGGGTCACGCTTGAGAGTTTGAGGGCGGTGTGCGGCGAAGTGAATTCTACGCTGAGCGAGGCGGATATGAGGAGGATGATTGATATGGCGGATATTTCGGGTAAAGGGTGGGTTAGTAAGGAGGAGTTTATCGAGGTTGCCAAGGGCGGATTTGGTCGTGGTTAAGCTTTTGGAGGGGGGTGTTGTCTGTATCGTCGACTCTATGAGAAGAGGGGAGGTTGTGATGAGTTGGGATTGTTTGAATGCGTGATAGCGCCAACAGAGACGTCGGGTTTACCATGCCAAAGTCACTCAGGCATTGAGTTCACATAGGTTTCTCTCAATATCGGAGCAACAACCTTAGTGTCAAATTCCGAACTCCTCATGCAGTAGCGGTCACGCTCTAGACCATCACATGAAAACGGTCTTTGCAAACATCAAAAACATGCCAACATGCACCGCAAGATGAACAGCCGGCCCTCCAAGAGTTCTCCGCGTAGCCTTCACCTCTCCCTTTTGTTTCCCCTTCTGCTTCCCCAGATCATCCACCTCGGGCCTTTTCAACCGCACATAGGCGCGCCAACAAGGCCAGACATGCCAAAACGCCAGCGCCGCCGCGACCTGCCTGCTCGTCTCGTCAAATGGCCGCGACACGAAGATGAGGCAGATCAGGTTCGTGGTCAGCAATAACCCACCGAACTGCTGTAGCACCAGCTGCACGGCGACGGGTGGGTTAGTCAGCTGACTGTCGGGCTTGAGGATGAAGGAGCATGCGGCGGCGGTCTCGATGGCGATGTGGAAGAGGAAGGGGAGTTTGGCGGGTTGCATTAGTGGCGACGACATCTTGTGGAGGGTTGTATTGGTGATGCGTCTAGGTCAGCGGCAGCTGGGGCTGAACGCGGCGAGCTGAGCTGTGCTCTTTGGTGTGGGTGGAACTTTTCCATGCAGTGAGCTTTTGAGTCTGCATCACTAATTCATCGTAGTAGTCCATAGCACGTACGTACAGGCGTAAGCCGCTGAAGCTCTTTCTCTTCCCTTATTCTCAGTTGTAGAATGCGACGGTGATTCCGGAGTTCAGGGTCCGGAGCTGACCGGGTCGGCGTATGTTCACCGGGGCGGTGAGACTTGAAGGGTTCGGTCGGCCGTGGAGCAACTCAAAAGTCCGAGCGGAGGGACTGATGCTGTTGTTTTGAAACTTTCCCTCCGGCATTCGAACGCAGCTTTGCTTGTAGGAATTGATTGCGATTTGGGCTAACTCCGATGAGTTTACAGGTTACGCGATATCTTATTTTTTGTCTTTTCTACAGCGTCACCTAACTCATACGTATGCCTTTGGAAATGAAGCCCGGGAAGGATCCTGAAGGATGCCGCAAATCAGGCTCAGTCGCTCCGTCGACATCCGTCCAGAGAGATAAAGTAGCTATGCCATAAAACGTTGTCAGTGCCTTATAAAGCTTGGTCAGCTCCATTAGGATACGTTTGACTGGCTCTTGAGGTCTTGAGGAAAGCAAGGCCAGCACACCCCGCCGATTACGCCTGAAATCATCAAATCTTGTGACAAACAGAGGGAGCCGAGGTTGAGGATTTAAGCTACTGGGGTTTTCGCAAGCAGCTGCAACTCTCGTAAGCCGCCTACAAGCTCCCCCTGCTCTGCTCAGCAGAACACGCGAGCTTAGAGCCATTTCACGAATCATGCCGCGTGTCTTTTTAAACATTGCCAAACAGATGAAGCATATTCTTCATGTGCACTGGATGGTGCTGGTGATATGTGCGCCAATCGTACATGAACAGGTCAACACTTGGTTGCATTGCGTACCATAAATAAAGGCCAAGAGCCGCGAAGTTTTCTTGCGAAAGAGGTTGAGGAAAAGAGATGGCAGCATCAGCGCGGGCCGCGGGGCGGACTCCCAAACCACTTCAGTTTCTGGAAGACACGGAAAGGAAAAGCAGAGGCGGGAAGCCAGTAAGAGAAAGTGACTTGGGATGGAACACAATATCGGATGAGACATGCCGACCTCTTGATCATGGCAAGTTTCTAGCAAGGTATGAGACGGAAAGAAAAGAAAAAGAATGGCCAGCAACTTGCACACCAGGATCCAATCAACCCAACTCACTTCTTCGGGAACTACAACGCATGTCAGATTATGGCCTCCCAATAATCGCATCTTGGTTCCTGACAGCTGGCGGCCGATCCCATCTAGGAAAGACCCTTTCACACCCACTGAGGGGGTTCTTTTGGCAGTGGAAAAAGTGCTCGAGCTGCAAGTGCTCGTACATCTCAACGAGAGTGATCAGCCGCAGTGCAGCACGATTCACGCGCAGTACCATCATCCACAAGAGCTTCGACCTTGGTCTTCTAATCATGTACACGTAGTTTCCTTACTAGACCAACGGCGTACAGGGATTAGGATACACACCGCGATAAGAGTCTCCCTTCATAAGGTGTTCAACATGAGGACCAACATCAAGTACGGATAAATATCAACTTATCAAGAAGCGCCATCAGCCCAGAAAAAGAGAAACTCCACCTCGCCAGCACCGGCTCCGAAGATTGGATTCAGACAATGTTTCAGTTCCGGGGTTGGCTACCCTACTTTTCAACTCTACCTTGCAAGCTAACCGCACTGCAGCGTCGCACTGCTGAACCCCTGAGGTAGAATCGGCACGGAAGTCAATCCGGGCGCGCTCTCGTAAATTCCAGGATGGGGCAGAACCCCGAGTCGGGGGAACCAAGGTACGGGGGGATAGGACTTCATTGCGAAACGAAACGGTGCAACCACTTCTCCGACTCATCTGTCTCTCGTTGCTACTGAGCAGACTTGCTCACTGTGACCACTGATTGCCATCATCGCCACAAGCAAACACGGCGCGGGTTTTCAAACCAGCCTCCGGCGAAGAACACCCACACCCACCCCCTCTTGCTCTTTCTCTCGGTATCCCAAGTGTCCATATGGTGTTCAGGGTGTCTGGACTCTAGAGAGAGCATCGTGGTCTATCTAATGTGAGCCTAGTAATCAGTAGGCAGAGAGCACCGCCAAACGGAGAAGGTATGGCAGGGTAGCTTCTCTTGGCCAACCAGTTTTGTTGAGCTCGAGGTGCAACTACGACAAAAAAGAGGGCGGCGCTTGTGTTTCCTTACATACGGGATACTGTCCTTTTTTTCCCCTCCACCCCCCGTCGCCTTTGCCTCATCCCACCCACCATCCAAGTCACCAACCACCACCACCCATGCTCAATGCCGGCGTCACCATTATGTTTCCTTAATGCATGAAAGGCCTGTCTCTCGTCCATTCTCGCCTCCCACTTACTCTGTCTTCTCACTCTTAACATACATCTGGCCTGGCCTGACTTCTGCAACTCACACTACACTTGACCGACTTTTTGGCTTTCTCTTCCAACGATTGCTAGAGGCCTAGAATTGGCACAAACCCGTACCCGCCTCGCTTGTTCATCGTTTCTCCCGTTGGCAACATACTTACGAATAACACCACGTTGGCAAATACACCAGACACAACGTTTCCTTGGCCGTCCTACCTTTACTCGGGTATCCTGTGTGCCGTCATCCGCAGTGATATCATCACTTTTACACAACTAGCCACCTAGCACCCATCCATCCTTGCTCTCTCTTGCGCAAAAGCAATTGCGGTTCGCACATAGCTCTACCCCCTTGTCAAACACCTCCCATAGCTTCTCCCGAGCTTCAGCAAGCTTTCTCTTTCCTTTATTCTGCCATTGACCTAGATCTCGTCTGGTTGAACGTCGAATTTCACTTGATATAGACATAATACACACAAAACGCCGCATCCAATCGAAGAGGAACTGCTAATTAAGCTACCCCTCCCCCGCATCGCAACGCTCACTCACCACATACATCCACAATGGCGGCTCCCAACACATTCGGGGAGCTTGGTCTCTCCATCATCGGCGTCGCCAGCCAGTACCCGCCCTACTCGCTGAAGACAGACTCAATAGACTACCTCAGTAACAAGTTCTACCCAGAATCACCCTCGTAAGCAGATTGTCTACCCTGTCTGGGCCTGTCTGGGCGTAGCATCGCACCATCTAACCAGAGCTACCCGCGTAGCATGAAGAAGGTTCTCTCCATCAACAGATTCACAGGCATCGACTACCGTTCCTCCATTGGCACTCACGAGCACGAAATCGTCAACCAAAAAGACGCCCCCTCCATCGCAGATCTCCACAAGGTCTTCATGAGTGACGGCGTGCCCCTAGCCGTCGAAGCATCCCGCAAAGCCATTGACGAAGCGCGCATCGATCTCTCCGAAATCACCCACGTCGTATCGACAACCTGCACCGACAGCGCGAACCCGGGCTTCGACCACTACGTCGTCAACGGCCTCGGCATCACACACCAGGTTGAAAAGGTCCTGCTCCACGGGGTCGGCTGCAGCGGCGGGCTGGCGACGCTGCGGACGGCGGCGAACCTGGCGCTGGGACACAAGGCGCGCGGGAAACCGGCGAGGATCCTCTGCGTCGCGCTCGAGGTCAGCACCACCATGGTGCGCAGCGAGCTCAACAGCATCGACGAGCTGCAAGAGACCCGGATCGGTGTCGCGCTCTTTTCTGACTGCGCGAGCGCCGTGGTGCTTAGCAACGGCGTGGGCGAACCAACGGAACCTGTGTACGACCTGTTGGGCTGGGAGCACAAGATCATCCCCGACACGGATCAAGACCTTGGCTTCGATGTCGATCCTGTTGGTAAGTTTCAATAACCATTGGTAAAGCAAGCAGGAAAGCGGCCATCCTAATTAGAACATTGCAGGCTGGAAAGTGATTCTCACCCCACGAGTACCGAAGCTCGCATCGGCGGCAATCCCGTCGACATTCGCTGAGATGCTCTCCTCCGTACCGTCACTACCCCTGAATTATCAAAAGCCAGAAGATTTTGACTGGGCAATGCACCCCGGGGGCGCGACCATCTTATCAGGGGCAGAGACGACGATGGGCATCACATCGTACCACATGAGAGCGAGCTACGACACATATATCAATCACGGCAACTCGAGCTCGGCAACGATATTCAGTGTCATGGACCGGCTGCGGTCCAAGGACATGGATGCCGTGGCACCGGAAGGGCGAGCCCGGGACTACGTGGTGGGGTGTGCGTTCGGGCCGGGAATCTCGGTAGAAATGTGCATGCTGAAGCGGAATATGCGGGCGCGAGACGCCACGGGGCTGCAGACGCCACCGGAGACGGAGAGCGAGGGCAGCACTAGCGAAGCTGGGGACGATGGCGGGGTGCGACCGGAGGAGCGGGCATCTTCGGGGCGTCAAGCGGACCAAACCTTTGTTGCGGAGGCAATGGAGGATCTGGATCTCGACTGAGAGAGAGGGGGGTTCGGGAGGTTGTTTCGAAAAGGGTGCTCTATTCTGGAGCGGGAGATCGTATATAGCGAAGTGAGAAAGAGGAGGACAAACAGATACATACCCATGACTTGATGGCGCTAATGAGGACATGGCAAGGCCGGAGAGATGGCCGAGGTGGCCCAGCGTTTCCCGGGATAGAACACTGGCGAAGATGACGAGTGCTAGATATTGGTCAAGACGGCGGTAAAACTGATTAGACGAGCTTGAAGAGATTCCAAGATTCGACACCATTCATTGGTTGACAGTTGTTGAAAAGATCGCGAAGCCATGACATGGCATATGCAAGCTCGTGGTTGGGACCCGAGATTCGAGATTCGAGCTCGTGCTTGCGCCGGAAGGTGGACAGGCGAGTTCTTGGAAGTGGAGAGGCACGATATCAGAGACACGAGATGAGCCGAAGCGTGGGTAATTCTTCCGGCAATGAAAGAAGGTATCGCGCCTTGGGGGGGACGATTGTGCCGAGGCAAGAATATCGTCGAGGGGCGTTTTGAAGGCGTGCAGAGTCGATTTTGGGCGGACAAAGGATGGAAGCTGGACACAATCCCGCATCTTTCCGGGCTTTCGGCAATGGGCTGAGGCTGGGGGTGGAAACGCAGAGGCTCGGACGGGAAGCGGACGGGATGAGTTGATGGCCGGGGAGGGGAGGTTATCGTCATAGGGTAGCGCGATTGGTCTGGCTTTTCCGGGGCCCGGCGTGCATGAGGTAAGGAAATGGTCGGTCGGGATGGACATGGATGGGTGTCCATGTGAGTGGGATGGAGGGGTGGTTTGCGAGACGGAGATTCGTTGTTGCGGGTGACCCTAGAATAACATCAGTCCGAGCAGAAAGCTTCAGTATTCCCACCTTGCGAGTATCCGAGTGTGTATGTAGATGGGAGGATTACACCGAGAATAGTTCTCGGTGAGACGTCACCCTGCGTGGATGATAATAGTCGCAACCCTAGAGGTCAGAGAATTGAGTCATTCGATGGGCGACGGGGCTATCCATTAAATATCGCAGCGGGACACAAAATAATAAGGCCGAGAGATCTGAAGGTGGAAAAGTCAAATGCCATGATTGTCAGCAGTCTGCACCCCCGGCCAATGGCGGTGTCGGCGCGCAACCGCTGGCACCCCAAATAAACTGGTCCAGTGTCTCCGTACCGTTTGCCTAGGTTGGCGTGGTCTGTTGCAGGCGGTTTCGGTGGTGTCAGGTTCTAGGCCCCCGCCAATATTGATAGCTCCTCGACCAAAAAGACCAAAAAAAAAGCAGAGGCGACGATTGGATCCCTGCAGAAAGTGGTGCAGTTGCAATTTTTTGACGTCAATTAGATGGCCGGGTGGGGGGAGGGGTTACTTGCGTTTGACGCGGTGGTAAGAGGAAATAGAGGGGCTATTCACAGCTGTCCGAAGTACCCCTCTTGCTGTCCGGCTGGGCGAGGTACTTGCGCTTTCTGCCCCTCAACAACTCATGGTGTTCCATTGGGTTGAGACAGGCGCAGTGTTGTTGTTGACGGCTTATTTCTCTCAATCAAAATAGGTATTGCTTGGGTTCAGCCACAGGTAAAACCGTTGCCTGATGCCTTGACCCAAGGTGATTTAGTGTGTAAAAAGTAAAGGTAGGATGCATTGCTCAAGATGCTTTACCTAAGATTCGTCCGTCACAAGTCCATACTGGTGACTGATGCTCAGAAAAGGTACAATTCCAGATGGAATACCTTGAGGTAGATGAAAGGTGCGAGGGCAGGTACATCCACTTCCTCCCATTACCGGACCGGAGTGACCAAAGGTAGGAAAGAACGAGGGAGCATGGGGATACGGTGCATGGTGGTACCTTCCATAGAATTGAAGCTGGCAGAGCGGAGCTCCTCATGTACGGACTACGGAGCAGGTACTCTCGCTCGGGGCTTTCCAAGGGGAAACCACGGCCAAATCAGTCTCATCCATGTACCTTACCTCACACCTCACGCAACACGCCCAGCCAACCAGCCAACCTGGAACACTTCCATCTATTGGTAAGGTACCTCAGAGGTAGAGGTGGGAGAGCACCCGCCGGTAACTGGACCGATGCTTGGCCGTGGCCCTTCGACGGTCAAGGTGGACCGGGTCTGGCTGGCTTGGTAAGGTAGGTTGTTGCTGGACCAGTCCTGCTCAGCCCGAGTAAAATCCCGCTCGTGGGAATCAAACATAACTCGCCCGCGTCCACCTCAACCCCGATCCAAACCTTTCTGTTGATTCTTCTCCCTCCTCTCCAATACCTGTCCCTGCATATCCTCTTACCCTTTTACCTCTGCCTCTGAGCATATCAATCTAGAACAGTCCGATTCTACTCAGGACAAGTCACTATACGCAATCAACTTAACATCTTTTCTACCCCACGTCACATACCCCGCCATTCACAATGGGTCTCCTGTCAGAGCTCAACATCAAGCCTGGTGTCGTCTACGGCGATGACCTTCTGAAGCTGTTCAACTACGCCAAGGCCAAGCAGTTTGCCATTCCTGCTGCCAACGTCGTAAGTAGCTATTCTTGGGTTGCTCTGGGCATGCCAGTACCAATCTCGACAATCCTACGACGCGCTATGAGTTGGGCGTCGTGCGGACCAAGAATGGAGGGGAAATAATATTTGGTGTCAATCGGCTAACAACGACCCCGCCTCTCCCAGACCTCCTCTTCCACCGCCGTTGCCGCTCTCGAGGCTGCCCGCGAGGCCAAGTCCCCCATCATCCTCCAGACGTCCGTAGAGATCCTGTCTTGATCCCGTGGATTAAGACCAGCCATATACTACAGTAAAATAGCTGACAGCTTTGCAGTTCCCAGGGTGGTGCCGCCTACTTCGCCGGCAAGGGTATTCCCAACAGTGCCGACAAGCAGGAGGCTTCCGTCGCCGGTGCCATTGCTGCCGCTCACTACATCACCTCTATCGCCCCCATCTACGGCGTTCCCGTCGTCCTTCACTCTGACCACTGCGCGTGAGTTTGCTCCAATACCACCCGACCTCAAGAACTAGACACTGACCTCTACCAAAGCAAGAAGCTTCTGCCGTGGCTCGATGGCATGATCTCCGCCGATGAGGAGGAGTTCAAGCGCTCCGGCCACCCCCTCTTCTCCTCCCACATGATCGATCTCTCTGAGGGTATGTACTCGCTTTGTCCCATTCCGATCCATTCAAGAGCGTGACTAACAGACGTGTAGAGGATGTCACATACAACATCGAGACCACCGCCAAGTACCTCAAGCGCTCCGCTCCCGTAAGCCATTACCAAGACCTTCTTGTTGCGCCTGCCACTGACACATTGCGCGCAGATGAAGCTGTGGCTCGAGATGGAGATCGGTATCACCGGTGGTGAAGAGGATGGTGTCAACAACGAGGATGTCGACAACAACTCCCTCTACACTCAGCCCGAGGACATCTACGCCATCTACCAGGCCCTGAGCCCCATCAGCCCCTTCTTCTCCATCGCCGCCGGTTTCGGTAACGTCCACGGTGTCTACAAGCCTGGGTAAGTTGCGTGTGCCTCCTAGACCCCAGAAACACAGTTCTAATCCATCGCAGCAACGTCAAGCTTCACCCCGAGCTCCTCGGCAAGCACCAGGAGTTTGTCCAGCAGAAGCTGGGCACCGACGACAAGAAGCCCGTCTTCTTCGTCTTCCACGGTGGTTCCGGCTCCGCCGTCGAGGAGTTCCAGAAGGCCATCTCCTTCGGTGTCGTCAAGGTCAACGTCGACACTGACCTGCAGTGGGCCTACCTCACTGGTATCCGTGACTACGTCACCAACAACATCGACTACCTGAAGACCCAGGTCGGTAACCCCGAGGGTGACGACAAGCCCAACAAGAAGAAGTACGACCCCAGAGTCTGGGTCCGTGAGGGCGAGAAGACCATGAAGGCGCGCGTCAAGCAGGCTCTGTTTGACTTCAACGCCAACGATGTTTTGTAAAGGAAGAGTAATTGGTGATACCTCCACAGAGACGAGACCAAAAATGGGAAGGGGTCTACTCTGTTCCGTAGGATGAATATGGCGAAAAGCCCACCTACGTAGTTCTCAAAATGAAGTAAAAGAGACAACAAACCGGACCACGCGTGAGTGACTGTCAACATGCATCCTCCCCAGCGCAACATGTAATGATGTATCTATTTGAGGATATCTGCAGGGGTTTCAAAGGTCGGCCAGCAGCGCATACGGAGAACGCCTGCCCAAAGCTGCGACGGATGCAAGGCCCATTTTTGACACCTCGACCCAACTGCTAACCCGGCGACACCTCATAATTATGTGATGAAAGATTTTAATCAAATATACGCTATCCGCACTGAAGTTTGATCTTATCGGTTCAGTTGCCCGATTAACCCCGCCGGGATTGAGCTCACCCTTTCGTCCCCTTGTGCTGTCTCGTCTCATGTCCGTCGGCGTACCAAAGCCGGTGAGGAGAAACATCCCATGCCTTGCAACGCCAGCCCCCGATTGCTAATCACCTTACCCTGCACATGTGTGTTGGTTCACTGATCATTATAACATTTGAAGTTCATTCTCATAAATACTCGGGAGTTGCTGTAGTTGTCAATTGCCTTCAATTGACCGAATTGTAACCTGTAAACACGCGTACACCTCACCGCATATCCATATCACCACCATCGAAAATGGCCTCCGTCTTCGGCTTCCTGCGCCGCAACTACCTCATCATCAACCCGCCCGTTACACCAAAGCAAGATGGCGCCATCCGCTTCGGCGTCCTGGGCGCAGCCAATATTGCGTAAGTATTACCTTGGACTCTGCCTTTTTTACGTGAAATGTAAACATGCGAGGTACCTCCTCTTCAACAATTGGGAAACTAACCCGAGATGTAGTCCAATGGCCCTCGTCATACCGGCCAAAACTCACCCAGACGTCATAGTCCAATGCATCGCCGCCCGAGACCGCAAAAAGGCCGAGGCCTTTGCCCTGAAGCACGGCATCCCGGACGTCAAGGACTCGTACCAGGCCGTCATCGACGACCCGGACCTTGACGCAATCTACGTCCCGCTACCCAACGGCCTGCACTACGAGTGGGCCCTCAAGGCGCTGCAGGCAGGCAAACACGTCCTTTTAGAGAAGCCCTCCGTCTCTAACGCGCAGGAAGCCGAGACCCTGTTCCGGCTGCCGCTGCTCAAGGAAAAGGGAAGTCCTGTCTTGCTGGAGGCGTTCCATTACCGATTTCAGCCGAGTTGGCAGTATTTCATGGGGCTTGTTGATCAGGAGAATGTCGAGCACGTGCATGCGCGGGCGTATATCCCCTGGTTCGCACTCGGGGATGACGATATTCGATTCCAGTATGGGCTTGCTGGCGGCGGGTTGATGGATTTGGGGACGTATACCGTCTCGAGCATTCGGCAGGCGTTTGGGGTCGAGCCGGAGGAGTGTCTGACGGCGAAGTTCAAGACGATGCCGGAGCCGGAGGAGAGGGCGGATTATGCGTGGGATATCACCTGGCGGATGGCCAATGGCGGGACAGCGCATGCGGAAGGGGCGTTCCGAACGGGGACGTTGGGGATGGGGCTGCCGCGGCTGAGCGTCACGCACAGAGAGGTCAAGATCGCCGACGAGAAGCTGCCTGCCGGCCAGGAGAAGACGCGGAAGCGGACGATTGAGTTTGCGAATTTCATGCTGGGCGGGATTTGGCATCGCATCGACATCGTGGACGAGTTTGTCGTGAGGCGGACGGGCTCAGGCTCGGTTGTCAAGAGGTGGACGGAGAAGACGTCTAAAAAGGCGTATACCTTTGAGGAAGCCGGGTTGGCGGGCAACGGGGAGGAGTATTGGTTCACGTACCGGCATCAGCTGGAGCAGTTTGTCAACCGCGTCCGGGGTAGGGAGACGAGCGTTTGGGTTGATGGGGAGGATAGTATTAGTCAGATGAGGATGATTGATATGGCGTATGAGAAGGCTGGGTTGCCGCTGAGAAAGTCGAGTGGTGTTACGATTTAGGGGATTGGGGGTGGAGCTGGAGGGGGAGGAAAGGTAGACGTGTGGCTTGAGTTGTTGACCAGCAAGTTCCTGATCGGAATCATTGGACTTTTGTGCTTATTCTGCTCTCATTGGTCTCGTCGCGGAAGTGGCGCAGAGCCTGTCCAGTAAGGAGACTTGCATGAATGGACAGCCATCATGGAGCTATGGTTTGAACAGAACCAGCTTCGGGACAAGACTATCATAAATCCTTGCCTATTTCCATACTAGCCAAGTTGGTGAAAGCAGGAATCCAGTGTCCTGGAGGCAGGACCTGATTTCTGTCTATGAGGCTGCTATTGCAGAGAGAGAAGATGAGAGTCCAGTGGCAGTCTTTTGAGATTATTGACCAGAGTTCTTCACCGCCGTGATTGCTTCTCGGCCCGGTCTATATCGTCGGGGATATCTTGATGAAAGTACAAAACTTTTCAATGCCCAGTTTTCCCCCCTGTTTTGGCTATTCACATTCCTACAAATTCTTTAGTTGCGGAACAACCGCAGGCCAGCTTCCTCAGCATCAACCTCCTCCTCATCCTCCATCTCCGCATCAGAAGCCTGCTCGCCAAGCTCCATCTTCTGGCCAAACAGCGTGCCGAACAACCTATCGACGGCCTCCTGCTCCCACGCCCTACGGTCCTCGGGCGCCATGAAGTTCTGCAGCTTCTCGTGCACGTTGAAGCGCATCTTGCGGCCCTTGCTCGCGCGCCTGTCGACGTGCTTCTTGGTCTTTGCCTCCTTCATCGCCGCCCACCGCACCGTAGGCTGCGCGCCGGCGATGCCGTTGCTGCCGCCGTTGTCCGCGGTGCGCTGGTCGACGAGCTCCTTGAGGAGGAGCTGGTAAAAGTCGGCGTCGTCGTAGATTTCCGGGTCCTCGTTGACCTTGGCCGCGACCTGCGCCGGCGCGCAGGAGCGCGGGGTGCGGGTGCGCTTGATGAGGCGGTCTGCGCCGAGGAGCTGCTCCTCGAGGGAGGCGACGATGGACGTCTGCGCGGAGACGAGGTTGCGCGACTTGACTTCCACCGTGGCGCTGCGCGTCTTGCTGGACCACGTCTCGAGGACCTTTTTGCGGTACTTTGCCGCGCGCTCCTCGGCTTGCTGGATGCCCTCCCAGATGTCCTGGCTCGAGGCCGTGGCGTCGAACGCGTCGCCACGCTTGCGCTTGCCTCCGGCCTGCTGCTGCTGCTGTAGCTCTGCGGGGAGCAGGCTGGCGCGGAAGCTGTCGAGGGTGTTGAGCAGCTTCAGCGCCGCCTCCTCGGCCGCCTCGTACGGTTCGGAATTTTGCTCTTCTTCGTCATCTTCAACGGTGGAGAAGGAGTTTGTGGCGACGAGGGCCTTTTGCAGCCTGATGCGAATGTTGAGGAGGCCGTCAAAGGTCTTGCGCTGCTCGCGGACGGCGAGGCCCTTTTGGGCGTCTTGCTGCGCGGCGGCGGAGATGGAGGCGGCGAGGACCTTTGAGCCTTCGTTCATGAGCCTTCTCTGCTCGGCTCTGGCGTCGTTCTTGGAGGACTTGCCGCGAGGCTTGTCGTCTTCATCGTCATCCTCATCGTCGGAGGCTTCCTCGGAATCTTCGTCTGAGCCCAGTTCGTCTTCATCCTCTTCGTCGGACCCGTCCAGTCCGTCCGTCAGACCTTCGTTATCATCCGAGTCCTCCATCTCGTCGTCCTCGTCGTCCAGTGCAGCACCTTCATCGTCTTCGTCGTCTTCCTCTTCTTCCTCATCGGAGATGAAGTCTGCAGCAGTGGGCCTCTTGCTTCGCCCTCCCTTCTTATCCTTGGGTTGCGAGCTGCCGCGGAAGGCAAAAGCGTCGAGCTTCTCATCGTCGCTTTCGCCAAGTGCATCGTCACTCGAGATCTCGACGTCTTCGTCTCCGGCGGCTGCAGTGTCGGCAGCCAGGTCCGCGGCATCGGGGTCGTCGTACTCCTCGCCGTTGGAGTCCAGGTCCTCCTGCGCATCCTCGAATATCTCGCTTTCATCGTCGTTGCTCGAGTCGTTCAGCGCATCGCGGCTGACGCGGGCGCCGCGGTACTTCGGGCCCAGAGAGACGCCCTCCTTTTCCCGGAGTTTGCTCTTGCTGTGATGGAAGGTTAGTTTTCCCCTAAGCTGCATGTTTATACGCAATGTTTGGCATGTATCGTACCCGACTGTGACATAGTGCTCGGTGCCCACATTCTCGTCTGCGCTTTCTTCACTCCCACTCTCGTTTTCGCTCTCCTCAACGTGCTCAGCCTCAGGATCGAGATCTAGAGAGGTGGTAGGGTTAGTACTGCAATACTGCTCGTGAGTACATGTCGCATACCCTTTGCTGGCTTGTCTTCCCAGTCGGATGTTCTTCTACGGGCCGACATCGTTGTATGTGGTTCACGATTTGTATGGCAACTGGCAGAGGGGCCCGCTGCGCAATACTGGGTGAATTTTCTGGGCTTCAAGAAACTTTTTGGTGGTGAGGCACGGCAGAACCAGGGACCCCACCAAGAAAGTTTGATGCATTATGTAAGCTCGGCTCACGGACCCTGGCAACCTGGGACTGGGTTACAGGATTTCATTGCCAGCATGTTCAGTAATACTCAAAAACATGCGAATCACTCAGTCTTTTGGTCAAAACTGCTGCAAGTCAATGCGCTATGTTGGGGAGTCCTTCGCGTGTTATAGGCCTTTATATCTCTCAAACTTTGTAGGGGCAACCTGCTATACGCATCGGTGTTGGAAGCAGATTCCGTGTTCGTCTACGGATACCTATTGGCTGAACGGAAGCCAGATGCCAATGGAACCTTACCTTAGCAAGCACAAGGCAGGCCGCATCGTTATCTCTAAGAGATCTGAGAGTCAATACCGCGCCCTTTAGCGGTTCAGCCTCGGTTGACAGTCTGGGCAATGGGCGGAATGCCGTCATCTTAAATGAAGTCTCAATAGGGCGACCAATCAATGGAAGATCGCATCATGTAAAAGTGGAATTGATCGTGATAACGCGTGACCGGACGCTCAGCCGGTCACGTGAATGTCAGCGGGATTAGCTGGGAGCAGGAAAGCCCCGATACCCGAAAGAAGTGAGGCTAAAGGGGGGGGGGGGGGGGGGACAGTGAGGTACCCAAGTACCTGCCTGAGCAAACAGGGGAGAAAATCGCCATTACTCGCCTGTTCCCCATCGCTCAACAGTCGCTCACGATCGAACGCGAGAAACAAACAAAAACACAGGTCCGCCGGGGGCCTCGCAATGCGCAATGGAGCAGATTGATGCGCAGGTCAGCGACTTGCGCTACTTGACCCAAGCAGCCGTCCCTTTGCCGCCTGACCACGCTGCCACTGCCGCCGCTTATTCTCCACACAATCACTCTGTCCATTCCCCCCTTTCCGCGACCCCCGGAGACAATTCCGCACAACAACCAGGGGCCTCCAGAGGTGCAACTCAAGTCGGAACACCTGGCTCAAGCTCCGTCACTGGTTCCAAGAGGAAGTCGGAGGATGAGAGCAATGCTGCTAAGCAGCAGAGAAGCAAGAGGAATCGGGTGCGTAGTCTTTCCCGTTGTCTATACGCTATCCAGTCTTCACCATACCTTACCTTACCTTTACCTACCCATCATCTCCTCGTCCTCGTCATCTCCCCCTGTGACTATCTGTTCCCCTGTGTGCCATGTCAATGATAAACTTTGCGGAACTCCAGAAAGCTAATTGCCGCTGTCCCAGTACATATCCATTGCCTGGTAAGGATACCTCCGTCCCGGCTATGTCTTCGGCATGCGTCCGGCCTAAGACCACTGCGACTACGTCTCTTGTGGTTGGGGATCCTTGGCCCAACCGCTTGACTAGATACACCATTGCCCACGATAAACTCCAAGTCATGAAACATATCTTAGCAAGAGACAAGATCACTAATACGTGCCACGCAGTAACGAATGCAAGAGACGCAAAATCAAGTGCAATGGCGAAACTCCCTGTCAACGATGCGGCAATCTCAACTTGCAGTGCCTCTATGCCCCGAACTGCTGCTCCAACAACTTCAAGGACTCGGACGAGTACAAGACCATGACGGACCAGATGACCCGCTTGCAAGAGCAGGTCGATAACCTCTATCAAAATATGAATGCTCTCCGTTCCGAAACCCTGCGTCTTGCACCCATCCAGGACAAAGTATTACATTTCCCCTCAAGCACAGTTCAGGCCTCCCCGGCGAGCTCGCTATCTCCTCTCCACCGGCCTGAGTTGACCCAAACGAAGCAGGCAACCTTCCGTGGCCCCACCAGTATGGCTTACAGTCTTGACATCGCCAACACTACCATTCACAATATGGGCTACAAGGGCATTGGGGAGGATGAACAAGGCACGCCCCTTGGTGTACCCGAGGACAGTCCTTTCCGTATGCCTCCACAAGAAAGTCAACTCGACCCCTTGTGGGACTTTGGCAAGGACGAAATGATTCGCCTATGTCGACTACATGACGAAGAGGTCGGCATCATGTATCCCGTCATCAAGATACCGTCCGTCATTGAGCATGTCCGTCACCTGACGGCTTACATGGAATCAGCCCGAAAGCAGGGCATCACACCAAGTCTCAATGACGACAAGACATTGCAGCTGAAGATCGTCATGAGCTGCGCTCTTGTGGTTGAAGAGCACGGCCACAGCGGGAAAGCATGCAAGCTAATTGACAGCATGGACGCCGTCCTCAATCGGAAGCTCATGGTCGAGGCGGTCGACTTTGTGAGCCTTCCGGCGCTGTGTCTTCTCGCTGGCTACAGATTCTTGGCCAACGAGGAAATTCTGGCATGGCGCGTCATGGGCCAAGTCACCAGGTTGTGCCTGGAAATGGGCATCCATAGGACAACCGGCATCGCGAAAATCAAGAACGAAGAGGATAGGAAAAACGCCTTGAATAGTTTCTGGTCAGCCTACGTTCTGGACCGGCGGTGGGCTTTTAACACTGGCCTGCCATTCGTCGTCCCGGATGAAGAAATTGATCCAGAACTACCCATGCCTGTGAGTAGCCCTTTTCCAACGTGAACTATCTGGACGTGTCTTTTCTCACAACAACACAGGACGAGTATCCGTACTTGGTTGCTATGATCAGCTACTCGAGGTTGGGTGCTAAGGTCTGGCGTCAAGTCACAGACTTTGGCCCTGTCCTAGCCCGTGAGCTCCGTTATGAAGACATGGAGCAGATAGACCAAGAGATCCTTCAATGGTACGAGAATGTACCAGAAGAAGTCAAGCTCCGTAATTGGGACAAGGAGAAGCAAATGACCTCGACTCCATCATACAACCTTCAGCGCCTGCGCATTTGGACATATTTGCGGTTCAACCAGGTTTGTATTGCGGTACTAGGGACTGCAGCCATGATTTTGATGCTTACTTGTGTACAGATCCGTATTTGGCTATACACGCCGATTCTGCATAGTGCTACTAGCATCATGAGCCACTTTGCCCAAGCTCAACGTGTGGTTGACCTCGCGAAAGACACGATCCGCTATCTCAGCCATCTCAATAACACCACGAATCTGTACCGCAAGATACAGGTGTTTTATCACCAGTTCCTGACATCGGCAATCTCTGTTCTCTTTCTGGCTTCTGTTCATGCTCCAGTAAGGTTCAGCTCCACGTGCCGAGAAGAGTTCTACATGGCCCTGGAGCTCGTCAAGGATCTTTCCGCCAAAAGCTGGGTCTCTCAGCGGCTGTGGCGTACAATCAGTTCGCTCAAAAAAGTTGCGCCAAGCATCGGTCTCCGCAACCTGCCAGATGAAGATGCGCATAGCTCCGCGGCTCTAACGATGGCTGGACTGGCAAGTGGCGGACGCATGCCGAACAGTTCGGCTGGGATTGCGCCTTTCGGACGCTCATCCACAACCCCCACGATACCTCAACAACAAACACCAACTCTGGATACGGCCCAGTCACCAGGCAACGGAGTCCGCATTCAGAACGAGATGAGTCGCATTTTTGAAGGATATCTGGGACTCAATGGCTTCGCATCTAACGGAGACGATGGTTTTGGTGGCCAGCCCGACGCTAGCATACCCCCGACAACCACTGCTGTTTCGAACCCATATGTGGACAATGTCTTCACCCACTTCAGGGAAATGTTCTAGTGTCAATTAAGCAACATTTTGCATCCCATGCTTAGGAAATTTGTTCACTTCATGCATCTAGCGGAGATTTAGCGCCTGCTTCCATATCTACGCTGTGCATATTGCACTGCACCAAAATCAGCTTAACCTTCAACTGTATTCTCAATCTTGCTTTCTAAACAAGGCTGTCACAAGCCGAACCACTTCAAGTCCTGATCCTCCTGAACAGGAACCGTGTGTCCGACACCTTGCGCAGAGTATCCCACAAGCTTGGTTCCATCGCCATAAATCATTTGCGTGTACCCACTAATAGGCGTGTTGGTGTTGTTCTTGACGAAGCTCACGCCGTGAATGGTGGACCACTCCTTGAGCTGCTCAGCCAAGTTGGGGTACTTGACAAGCGAGTCCGCCGTGCCATGGAACGTCTGCACGCGCGGATAGCTCCCGTTGTAACCGGGATACATAGCGCGCACCTGCGCAGCCCACTGCTCGCCCGTCTTGACAATCAAACCGTTGGCACACGTAGGATCGGCGCTGATGGGGCTCGAGCCCGGTGAGCCAGCTAAACACCCCGCCGCGACGCCCGAGTAACACGACGTAGCGGTGAAGAGGTCCGGGTACGTGGCCGTCAGCACGTTGGTCATCATGCACCCCGACGAGCTGCCCGTCACAAAGACCCGATTCGGATCGGCGCCGTACTGCCCGATGGTGTAGCGGATCATGTTGGCCAGGCCGGTGGAGTCGCCGCCGCCATCGCGGGTCAGGCTGGCGGTTGTGGCGACGTCCCAGCAGTTGAAGTCGCGGGAGGAGGACGGGTAGATTACGACAAAGGTGCCTTTGGCGTCGGAGAGGGGGATGTACTCTGCTTGGCGGCTGTAGGCTGCGCCGGACCCGCCGCAGCCGTGGAGGGCGAGAACGATAGCTGGGGAGGCTGTGAGGTTGGGGGGCACGGAGATGTCCATTGTCAGACCTGTTGGGTTTGAGCCGAAGTTTGTGACGCGTTGAAGGGCTGCGTTGGTTTGGGTTGCCAGCGGGAGGGCGGCAATGAAGAGAGTGAGGGGATGCATTTTGGCTGGTTCGTGAGGAATGACGCTTGGTGTTGGACTGGTGCTGCGAGGTTACTGTGGATGGGGATGCAGAGTCAGATGAAGAATCTCGACGATGAGCTTGTTCTTATACAGGAGATTCGAACCACGAGACCGATGATCAGAAGTCAGAGATGTCCCAACAGCCGTTGTGACTTGCCTAAAGTCCAGGCCTCGGCTCAATACAAAGCACAAAGCGCCTTTTGGTATTCCATCGTCACATTCAAGAAACTAGCAAAAGCTCCTATGCAACAGGCTGACAGCTTCTACGCAACAGCGGTAACACCTGTCTAGAGGGGAAGGCAAGTCGAACCGTGGAAGTCGAAAAGGCAAGTCACAGGCTATAAAAGGGGAAGGTTGCGATTTGCTGAGTTGAAGTTGGTTGGCAGATTACCCCTGAATATCCAAGGATTTGAGAGTGCCCATAGCTTCGGCAACGGTGGTCGGTAGTTGGTTTGAGGAGCTGGATCTATCTTGGCTCTTGTACTATATAGATTGCAGACTTGCTTGGTTATATGGAAACAAAGGGGATTGGTGGCCAATCTAGACAGAACCAAAAAAAGAAGGTGTTGTTGCTGTCTCGTTTTGGAGAAGCAAGTAGCCAAGTGAGGACGATCCTCGGTTCGCAACCCCGCGCGGACAGGGATGTCTGCCGCCTCGGTGCGCGTATTACAATAAGGTCGCATTCCGATTTCACCTTAGCGAGTGAAAAGATTTCACATATGGGATAGACAGAAGAAGAAATAAACGAAGTTGCAGCAAGCCCCGCGGAAAGTCCGTCGTCAGTGTCCGACCGGCCCCGCCTTCGGGCCTGGGAACCGGTGAGAAGTGGGGATGCATCTCGGAGCATGATTTACGCTATTCGCGGCGGAACTGCCCATGCTCTGTCGATCCTTCAGCCTTATTGAATAATAGTAGGTATGTCCCCGCTATACTCACGACGCCATAGCTATCAATCTACAGTTCGAGGCCCTCGGGGTTTCCAGAGCCCTTGATGGAATTCAACCTTGGTGGGGTCCTTGACACGACTTCGCCGCAACGGAAAGTCGAAACAATCATCTCTACCGTGGTACGTAGGAGAGTCCCAAGAGAGAGCGTTTGCTTGAGGTATGGTTTTGGTTAAGGTTTTCCTAAACTTCTACTGCATAGCGAGAATCAGGAATCAGGCACCTGAAGCCCAGCAGTCGTGAGAACTTTCTCCGTCAACCTGTCTACTTGAAAGTCGTGGGGGGTTGATATCTCCGAAGCCATGCTGAAAAGAGTATACAATGGCCTAACTTATCCGTAGACGAAATATCGAAACGAAAATATCATCTCTCCTTTGTATCACAGCCTCGGACTTTCTTCAAGAATTTTGACATCCATTATCCATCCGCACTCGCCATCTTCCCGCATATATTCAGCAACGTTAGTACAGCCAGCAACAACAGCCAGTCGTCTCCCGGTTAATCACTAAAATACTTCTATCACGGGAAATAGGTGAGGTTGATGCTGCCCATGAGGAGCGGTCTACCTTTTGTGACAACCACTTACGAAGCTAGTACACAGAATCTATCGCCATTAAGACCGATTTAGCGGTCACAATCGCTGTGCTCAGCACGATAGTAGGAATGGCCGTTTTATTTGGTATTTATCAATGCATCGCTATACAGCCGCCGACCCCCGACGGTGACTCCGAAAACGACCCGCCTGCATGTTGCATGTACCAGATGCCGCCGGTCCAGTATCAAGTGCCGGTTCAAGTCTATGAGCCTCCGGTACAGTATCAGCCTCCGGTCCCGTATCAGCCTCCGATTCAGCATCAACGGCAGGATCAAGGAGGCTTGGTACCGGCTGCTTTGGCAGCACTGGGGGCCCTCTGGCCTCAACCTCCGCCTGCTATTGCACAACGTCAGTGGTATTGAGCCCGTCTCTCGTCTCATCTGACATATAAGTTTGATGTGTCCGACGAGAAGGGAGAGCGATTGGCATGGAACACTGCCGAGCCTTCACTCTGTATCGCATCGGCATGATACATCAAAACCTCTAAGTTGGCAGCGATCATCGAAGCCGTTTATCAAGCCTCATAATGTTTCTTTCTACATCACCGAAGCCAGCGAGTCCAATATCGTAGGAAATCGACTTAACAAGTACCGACGCCTATCTGCATAGAAGTCTACCTCAATGTCAGAAATCAACTCGTACCTGTGCATCGGTTGCACGTCAGACGGACATAGCCGTTGGAAAAGGCGCACCATGGATAGGGAATTGGGGGCTGAGAATGCGGCTCGATAGCCCGTCTCGTATGCTCATAGGTGCAGAAGAAGGTAAACGGTGCAACAGCAAGGATTCAAGCGCGACCCATCAGACTCAGATGCCGGGCTGACAAGTGGAGGGCGATGGCGCATCATATGCAGCCCAGATTCCAAGGGACGGTGTCGCGTGTGTGGCACGCTCGCTGTGATTTGCGTGCCACGCGTGCCACCGCATGGCTCAGATAGGCAACTCAAGTGGTTGCAGCCAATAGATGGCTTTCTTATGTCAGATTCAACCAACAAGGCATCCCGTAGTACAATGGTAAATGTTCCAAAAGTTCAGAGCATGTGATTAAGAGTCAGCCTTGAATGCTACTATGCCAAGTCAAGTGAGGAATTATTGCTTCTTCTGATAGACCGTCGTCAGCCTCTTCCGCTAGTGCCAAGGGCGGGCGGGACTGTGCATCCGAAACACAAAGAGGGCAGGCACGCAGGATGAGCATGGCAGGTAAGGCAGAAGGTACAAAAGGCAAGCGAATGTCCCAAATTCTCGTCAATCTTGAAAAATAATCCGAACCCTTCAACATTCCAAACCTAAGCCTCGTGAACGTTGTCAGTCATCGCGAATTGCGTCACCTCCGACCTCTCCTTCGCCATGGCGGCTTCCACGACATCGGCGCACTTCGTCAACGTCTATCAGTCGGTCGACAAAACTAAGCGCCCCGTTACCACATCGCTGGCAGTCGCGAACTCGGCAGCATCGCCATCTGGCGTTACCGAAGAAATCAAGGCCACGCTGCCCGAATACTACACTGCACCGCCATGGCGGCTCCTCTGGGACGACTTAGTCCTCTTCATCAGGTGCATCGGATTCATTCCCTTCGTCATCTCTCCCCTATGGTATCCTCGGCGAGATGGAGTCCGCTATCCGAAGCTCGATAAGTCGTGGGTGCCCAAATGGCTCCTGAAAGGCCCCATTGACACCGCCATCTCAGCCATCCAGACTAGGTACCAAGGTCTCATCGACCCCTTCTATCCTTCCGGCGAAATGGACGAGCTGTACCCTTCGGTCGGAAACCTCTGGTGCCTCTTTATACATGGAATTCTCATCGTGACGCAACTCGCTTTCCTCGTTTCGCTGCCATTCCTTGCCACCCTCCCATTCCAGCTATTCGTCCTTTACATCGGCGGATTCATCTTCGTCAACTATCTCTTCTGTTTACAGCTCAACGCCGGAACCGAGAACAACTTGCTCAAATCTCAGCATGCTCTGTGGCCGGAGTCGGCTAATTGGAAATCACTGGACCCCAACGAGAAGTACAGCGAAGAATGGATCTTTCTTAACGGCGTGTCTGTTGGGTAAGTGCACTCTGATCACAATTGCGTGTTTTGAGCATGCTTCTAACGACAGGCTAGCTCGCACTGGCTGCAGGGAAACATCAACAGACTTTCACGGACTTTTCAACGTCCCATCACGGGTGTCCACAACAGAACGTAAGTCATAATGACTTTTAACTAAGGAATGAAATCCGCTAAATTCTCATGCCGTAGGTCTGGAATCATCTTTGATCTCATCCAGTGTCTCCTAGAGCGATGCTTCTACTTTGGTACCTCGGACACCAGAACTTGCTATGCGCTCATCACAGCTGCCCTGGACCCTGCGCAGAAGAAAGACAAAACGGTTCTCATCCTTCATTCCCAAGGTGGCCTTGAGGGCAGCATCATTCTCGATTGGCTCCTCTCCAACTACCGCCGAGAGACCTTGCATAAGCTGGAGATCTATACTTTCGGTAACGCTGCCAACCACTTTAACGACCCCGAAACCTCGCTCAACGAACACGTCATCGGCCACATCGAGCATTACGGCAACACTGGCGACTTTGTGTCTCAATGGGGAGTTATACATTTCAAGTCCCTGGTTGCCGAGCAAAGCAACCCTCTGCCAATGGATGGAAGGCATCCTTTTCTGCCCATCGTTGATGATATTATACGCCTGGATAAGAGACAGAACACTTTTGCCGGACTACTTTTCGAGAACAACGTGTTCGGTCACCTGCTGAACCAGCATTACCTCGACAGGCTCTTTCCCTTGAATGAGACTCTGACTGGCGTCGTGGAGAGCAAAGGCAGGCCTGTGGTGGAGTCTTTTATGGACAAGCGCATGAAAGCTGGAAACGGCCGTTGCGACGCTGAAGGGGACAAGGTATGTCGAAAGAGCAGGCTATGGGAGTACATCAACGGCAAAAAGCCCAAGGAGTATGATTTACAGCAGTCATGAACATAATGAGAGGTGTCTGATGAATTTGTATGAGTCAACTTGGTATGGTAAAACGGGAGAGTTTTGGGATGATTCTGCGCCTCTCTGCCACGTGCATGGTGAGAGTCCGGGGCTACGGGGCGTAATGGATTACATGGGTACCCAGGATTATTTGACAAAAAGGTATCTTAAAGTATTCATGATGGGTATTGAATATTATTGACGCAACTGAATAGAAGTTTATTGCTGACAATCGCCTGGTTTCTGGTTATTTCTCGTGGCCTTGGGGTCGTGATTGTATAAGAGGACGAAAAACCACTGGACTCAAACAATCAATAGAGGAGAGAATAGTAAAGAGTCCCGAACCGACTTAAGAACTTGATCTTCTGAGCCTGTGACAACATCTTGCAATCGGCGTCTCCTCCTGCGAGAAAGTTGTGAGCAAGACCCCTTGATTCTGAGAAGCAATCTTGGATCCTACCTTTGAGAGACTTAACGCAGTCTCTTGTTGCATAAGTGTCAGAGTTGAAAGAAAGAAACCTATGTATTAGTTGCTGTATGCGTTAATCCTAAGGAGACGAAACAGTTCTACCTATGACAAAGATACGGTAAGCCGGGCCGCCTGAGCCGGTGGTAACGATGACTCTGACACTATGACCAGCAAATCTAGGCAGCAACGAATTGTATCCAAAGACTTTACCCATTCATAATAGGATTTACTCCCAACCACTTGCACTTGAAATTGCTACGGAACTATTCCTATATTTTGAAATCAATATACCAATGAAAAGGAGTGAAGACAACAGCATGTACAATGATTCTTAAACCACTCAACAGCATCCACACTCAAGGCAATGAGACCAAATCAAGGAACAACAACAGGAATGCCACCTCTAGTCCGATACTTGCTCTTCGAACGCTTGCCTTTCGATATTCATTATCAAATCGCCTCTTACCTGGACTACGTGGACATTCTCAAACTTTCATCCGTCAACTCCATTTCCCGCGACTATCTCAACAATTGCGCACTTGTACCCAAACGACAATGGATTCAATTCCTCTGCGAAACAGAGCGCCACAGCTCTCGCAACAGTCTTCGCGGGTTCGGAAGGCAATGGCCATGCTACGGATGCGGCCGTGTCCTGGACAAGGCCTCTTTCGGCGACAGAATGAAGAGATACGAAAAGTGGAGGTTCCGGAAGTCGATAACTTTGAGACGGTGCTGGGACTGCGCTGTTCGTGAGAGGTGGTATGGTCATTTGCAGCCAATTAAGAAGAAAGGGGAGGTTTTTCGTCTCTGCTGGCGGTGTGGAAGGTTGTGGAATGAGAGGGAGGAGGAGAGGTGCCGGAAGGTGGATGTTTTGATCAAGATTGATGGTGTTCATAGGGAGAAGGACACGGGGTGGAAGTGCAAGGCGACGGTGTGTGGTGTTCAGATGGAATCTCAAACAGAGCGGCTAACGATAACGTGGTTCGGAGACGAAGAAGGTTCTACGCCTGAAGAATAGCCTTAAAAAGAAGGGACGGCTGTATCGAGGGATTCATGAACATATTGCTTCTACTGTTTCTCTTGTAGGGGCCTTGATTTTCCTGATGCAGACAATAGACGAAGAGCAGAGAGGTTTGATTAGGCTTTTCTGTATTCGACATGATCCCCAAAGTACATGCTAGTGCCGTTAGCTTTTGCACGACCGGCAGATCTGCAGGCCTGCTGAAGCCGATGGGATATGCGGGCCGCGGGTTGTAACCTAGGACCTGGTAACAGGCAGGGCTTCGGTCTTGTCCCACCCGGAATGTGGGAGACTCCATACCAAACGGAGTACAGTATCATGCACAGGCGGAGCCCATGAGTCTGATCAAACCATGTCACCGAAGCATCAGAGATGGTATCGGTACTTGCATCCTCTAGCTTTAAACTTTGAAAGAGCCTCTCGTTCCATTTATAGACACAAGACGATTAAGCCCTGATCAGTGACGACCAACCGCTCTAGCTGTCGACTATTACACCGTTTCGTTGGTCACCTCGAGAGCCTTATCCGCGACACTGGTTTGTGCTCTTCCCGTTTCATACTCCTTATCTTCGTAAGGCTTAGCTCCCATATTTGTCCAAGCACGCTCAATCATGAGCGTGATCTCCTTCTCTTTCCCGCGGAAGAGCAGTTCTGTGTCCCCGATCCCGAAAGCAGTGATAGATTTGTGCTGTAATGCGTTAGGTACGAATGCTGAAAAGTGGCGGAAAGCGCTCTTGCGAAGACTAAAGACTTACAAGACCTAGCGTCAACTTGATGACTCCATCAGCCCAGTAGTGCTCGTAAATGTTGGAAGGCGTCTTTGACTGAAGAGAGAGAACGAGGTTGTCGGCGGCGTAGATGGCTTGCTTCATAGCGGCTCGGGCATTGGGGTTGGTGACGCCGGCCTCGGCAACATCGCCACATACGTAAATGTGCGGTAGTGAATCGATGTCGATTTGCATTGTTGACTTGACCTTGATACGGCCTGACTTTGCGATCGCCCCAGGGACAAAGTCGCTGATGAGTTGAGAGGAAGGCTGCTGGCCAGTAGCGTTCACCTAGACGTGCAAAAATCGTTAGGAATTGTACAAAGATTGAAACTCTAGGTTTTGGCTCACCATGAAATCGCATTCGACTTTTCGCCCGGAGCGAAGTGTGACGAAGCCATCTACAGGCTCTTCGGATGTTGTCCGTTCTCCGAGTATGACTTCAACTCCGAGGTCCTTCAACCCCGCGAGAGCTTTAGCCTGCAAGTCATGACCGAAGCGGTTCATGACTGCGTCTCTCGAGTGGATCAAGGTGACGGTCTTATCCGAATACTGGTCTTTGGCATCCGCGGCGAGCTCGACACCTGCAGCTCCTCCACCAACGACAATAAGATTCTTGGCGGCTTTGATGCGTTGCTGGAAACCTTGCAGCAGCTTGGTTCCTTCGACTTTGTCTGTTGAGCCTACCCTTGACGGCAACGACATTCCAACGCCTGATCCAGTTGCGATGACCATGTACGAGTATGGAATCTTCTCTCCTGTGCCTTGGATTGTCACCGTGTTCTCGGTAATCGTGGAGACGCGATCGTGAACCCATCGTACAATCTTCTCCGAGCCCGCTGGCAAATAGGGGCCATAGGGGATGAATGTCTTGTGCTCGTGTCCCTCAACGACACAGAAGCGTGGCAACGTCCAGGTGAATTGCCAATGTTGATTAGGCTCGACAATAATAAGTCGGTACGGACCATCTGCGGGAAGAGAGGTTGCAATTACTCTAGCAGCATGGTATCCGGCAAAAGAAGCGCCGATGACTACGATGTTGATCGGTTCGCCATTCTTCGATGCGGGACCGGCGTGGAGCTTCTTGGTCGTGTAAGATCGGGAGAAAAAGTCCGCATAAAGCCGTAGCGAGTATCCTACAAGTCTCACGAAAAGGACGACCTTCCTAATTTTGTCCATCTTCGACGGCAACAACCGGAGTCCGCGGGTTTGTTAGGGGCAAAGGGTCAAGGGAGGTGTGGTACAATGATTATTGACAGGATCTGATTAGGCGGGTGGTCTCAATACTTATCAGATGCATCTGATTAGATCAAAACGGGAACCGGTCTCGTTTAGTAGCGTGCTGCCATTCGGCGGACGAATCGGCTGTGAAATGACCGATGTCGCATCGGCCGACGCTATCCCCGGAACTGCTCAATTCCAGTTGTTGGTTGACACGCTGGCGCATTTTAAAGAGGCAGCTCCTCGGGCTTTTCGTATTGACCTCGGTCTCGACCTTGCCTGAAAGGTGAATCACCGTTGAGCATGAGGTAGGTATTTCTCTGTAGTGACTTCCATCGTCCAAGAGTTTGGACGCTAAGACAAGGTGCCACACTTTCGGGACAGTTGCGAGCGTTTATGACGTACAAACATCTCCGACGGAGGAGAAACCCTCGCACATTTCTCCCTAAGTTCCAGTGGAAAAGACTGCATTGTTTTTACCACGCTCGGTACGGAATTCCAAAGACGGTATAAGCAGCACCGTGGGTCCGTACGGCCGACAGTAATGAGATCCTGCCGACGCCGGTACCCCTTTACCGGACCAAGGAGCCTAATTTCCACTCCGAGAACCGAACAAGGGTCATCCAAACAACGAGTCATGGCTCTCCTGGACAGACCTCGCGTGCAAAAGACCCTTTGAAAGGTAGGGGGGAGACACGAGTAACAGACAAAATAAGCATTATAGAGGTCGATTGCATTAACCAAATAGGGGAATTTTGAAGCATGCTGGAACGCCAAAATCAAAAAACAAGGTCCCTCTTTTCAAACATGTACCTCCTGAACCTGCACCTCCACAGACATGGCACCATTGCTAGCCTTCTGGTCGACACCAATCATATCGACTACAAGAGCCGCCGAGACACTCTTGACCTCGTTGAAGGGAGGGTATCCTGCAGCACGCCACTCCTTGAAAGTCATGCCCCCTGCACATGCAGGCATCTTGACCATGAGCGGAACGACTGTGTCTTCCGGTTGTCCCATGAGCTCCGCGCTGTGGACAATCTTTTCATCCAGAGTCTCGTAGCCCATCTTTTCGTATAGCTTGTAGGTGGAAGGGGAGGACTCAAAGTACAGAGGGAGGCCCAGGCTGTCGCTGAGTTCCGCTCCCCACTTACACCAGAGGGCACCAGCCTTCCTGCCCTGGTGCTTGGGATCGATGGCAATAACATGAGAGTCTGGAAGAAGCAGGTCGAGTCAGTTTAGTTTGCTAGGGGACCCCTCTTTGAAACGGGTTCTGTTGACTTACAGATGTAGCGGCGCCCACCAAACAGCTTCTCTCTAGCCTCGTGCAGGGGGTTGAGAACAGCCTCGGCTCGCTCTCTGTCCTTGCCTTCGAGCCAACCAACCCCGTGGTTCTTACGCTCCTCCTCAGTCCGCTCTCTGAGGTAGATGTCGCCCAGCGCCATACCGACGATCTCGCCAGTATCGGTGTCGACGCACTTGTAGGTGTACTGGCAGTCGCTGTGATGCCACCAGGCCAATGTGCCAGCGGTGTGTGCCTTACGGAACTCTTCAGAGTTTGTGCCGTTGGGGAACAGGACTTTAACCATGATCTCTCCCATCTCATCACCGGTGAAGGCTTTGAAATACGAGTCATAGACCTTCTGGATGTCGGGAATGAGCGCTGGGAGAATTGCGTAACCCATGTTGACTGATGTTCAAAGGAGAGCTGACTTGAAGGTATAGTATGACAAGATAGTTATGCGGATGAGAATAGTACCAAAAGGACAGTGGAATTTTAGAGTACAATGATTTGGGGCGTCTCTTGAAAGCGATGGCTCTGACCGAGGACTTCATCTGAACTTATATACATCCCTTTGTCTCTCAATTTAGCCCATGTATCTGTGATCTCCCCAAAAGCCCCTTCAATTACTCCGATCAAGGACGAGAGGACCTTGAAGTCGAACCCCTGCTACACCCGGTGCGGAAACCCCTCTTGACCAAGGGAGGGAAAACCACACAAGTTTACTGGTCTCGCCCAGGCGAAGGAAGCCTCCGGCGCAACCAACCCACGGAAAGGTGTCTGCGATGCGGAGCTTCAAATCTTCGACGTGGACCAAGTTGGCACGGGAAACTCCAAGAACATGCCAGTGGGCCACTCAAGTTCCCAACTTAGCGAGCTCTTCGGCACAATTCCACCGCGTCCAGGCTCGTTTAGAGTTATCAGATCCGCCATTTTAGCAGCAAAAGTCTGCTCGCGCCCTCGTGTTGGTCCCCCGCTCTGCTACGCCCTAGACCCTTGGGGATTTTCGGCCAAGTGTTGATGGCTGCAACCTCTTACTCGGTTGCGGGCTCTGTGACTCGATGCCGCCCACTCACCCAAATGGGCGGGACAGCCATGAACTCATGCAGACCCGATGAATGAGCTAGCAAAAGGCCATTGATCCATGATCAACGTGTCTGCGGAACTGTTCCCCACTGTGTCGTTGCCGAGCTTTCAACATTTGGCCATGACCAACAGCTGGGTTTAGCGAGCGTGCTCGACCAACACCTATGTTGGCATCCATATCGTGAATCCAAAAAACTATTGGCTCCAAGGCAACTAAACTAGAGTGTAGTCCACACTCTTCAAAAAGGACACGAAGAACGCCCCAACGGTCTCTGGGCACCTGCCTCATACCCTTAGTTGACTAGTTAGTAGACGTAACCCAAAAAGTATCACGTATTACCTCGCTTAGTCCTGGAGGCGCAAACGCCACAAAGTAAAGTTGAAAATCCTCGCCGAATTATTCTCTTGCACATGATGCCAAGTCAAGTTATCAGATCCGCTCTACTACCCCACTACTCTCGTTATCTGATCAATCCACCCAATCCGGCTTTCGGCATCGTGGAGTTCAGGCAAGGTTCCTTACCGGAGGATCATCTCAGCTTAGACTAGTGACAACGCTAGACAAGGGGGGTTTTCAGCCCTGGGGTTGCATTGTCTAACCGAGGACTAGACATGGGGGGCCGTAAGAGTCCCTTTGCATCGTGGGAAATGACTTGGCGCCTTCTTTCTTCGGGACAGACCGAGTTGCTTCGCATGTGGCAATGGGTTCATCTCAAGTTGGAGCAAGAGCGAGAGCGTTCAAGGGCCACCCCTGATAGACATGGTCTGACTTTTGCGCCTCGTCTGGCGAAGTTTGCTTTTGACGTGAATCGATCTTTCGCATTACTTAAAGAGTTTGTAAGTCACTACTTACGAAAATCTTCCTTCCACACATCGCTCTTTTTCAAGCCATATTTACTTCCGTAGTGTGTAGGTGATAGACGAGAAATCTGGGCCGGAGATAAGCTGCAGAAGAAGAATACTTACTGGGCTGCGTCCAGACTGACAGGCACACTTCGTGCTGTCAACGATTCTAATGTTGACACCTTGAATCCACCCAAGCCCTTCGATGTGGATGCACCTGGAAGATAGAAGATAGAGTAAAATTTGGTGCATGGGCTCGCATCGGTTAGTCCTGAGAACTTGGCGTTGAGGTTGCCACAAGGCGCGGCTGGAACCAACTGCGCTGCTGGTCAACCCACAGTCACATGCCTCCTTGGGAGAAGTAGTCTCGATGAGTGTGGGAAGGCCGGGGTAGTTTTCCGAGGTCGCTTTGAAGGGGCTGCAGGGAATCTTTGCTGCATCTACATGACTGCGCGCCCTGCAGACTTTCTGTGAGGCCCCTCCCTCGGCGAACAGAAGACCTCAAGTGAATATTTGCTGCACGCGAATGGCTGCCATCTGCAACCATTTATTACTCAGTGCAGTCTGTTCTGGCCATCCCATCGTGCGCAAGCTCTTGTTGGTAAAAGTATTTTCAGTTTACAAAGTAACTATAGTAGTTTTGAAGAGAATCAAGCTGCAAACCTCGAAACTGTAGTAATGAACCTCATGTAGCGTATTTTAGCCCATTTGATTAGGTGTCTTGGTTGCCGCCTTTGCCCACATAAACAAGCCAACGTCGCAACCCATCACAAGTATGTATTATGTACATTAGTGACGGATCCGCTTCCTGCGGTATCTCGATTCCACTGAGACCAAAGATTGGAAGCTTTCGGTAACCATAAGTCTTCATTATACCAAGACCTAGCTGTTTTTGGCTAGGAGACGCATTTCGAAGGACTTGTTTTCGCCCGACGCTCTCCGAGGACCGGTTGTAAGTCATCGAATAGCGCCCTTGTGTCTTCTTACTTGAATCCGGAGATGCCATCATAAGCAAGTAGCTTTGACAACACGTCCTTCCCTTCTTGGGCTAGCCTTTCTGTATTCTTTGAAATCTCGCCACCATTCCGTGCCTGCAGTGTCTGGGATGTATGGTACTTGACTCTCACGGTCGCAGCTTCTAGTCTTACCTTCGGCTTTTTTTAGGGTGTTGTTGATCTGCCATCTGTCACTCTCTGGGTCAATAAGAGACTGACCAGACTCACTCGGCGTCGTACCATGTTCATAAGGAGTAGCATCGACTCACTTACACCATGCTGACTACCTTATCTAGAGTGGAATAGTGATCTTTAGCGTAAAGGCCGATGCTCTCGAATGGGATGATCTCGTGATGACCCGAAGAGACCTTTAAATCGCCACCCTGCAGCACGATGATAGCAGAATCAAAATGGAAGGGCAGAAAGTAGGATGCCATAATCATAAGCACGCGATCTGTTCGCACTACCTCTCACATTGGTCAAGTATAGGAGATCGACTTACATGACAAGTGTCGCAAAATGAGTCTAGATTTCTTGATTTTGGTACTTGGTGTCATAGCCAGGTATTAACGTAGTGCCGGCTTGTAGAATTGCGTCACTGCCAACGGTTCTACCTGTCATTGTGAAACGGCCCATCTATGCCAGAACTGAATTTCACATCAAAGTTGGATGAAACTGACCATATTATGACGCAAGTAAGGTAAGTACTATCTGGACCAAAATGTCACCAAATCCTCAAAATGAGACTCTCGTAATGCCCCCGGCGGTATTTGTGTCGACGGAACAAGCTGCCTGTACATTAAGTGGGCCTTCTCTAGTAACTCTATATCTTCCTTATGCGATATCTCGTCATTTTGATCATCGAGAAGCTTCATCTTGTAAAGAATTCTTGCTTTCATAAAGGTGGTCCGCGCGATCTCAGGCACATGTGCGCCCTCGTTGGCATCGTATGTAACAAGAGCCTGATCAACCAAAGTCCTATAATTCTAGAATTAGAATTTGAGTTCTTTTGCCCAGGTATTATATGTATCTCACATGGCATTTCTGAGTGACGATCTATCGCCTCGACGAATAGAGTGCTGTGCTAGTTTGTAGCACATGTCGGCCGTTCGATGGTATTTGCTGCCAACAGCGCCTTGATATGTCTTGAGTGCATCCTTGTGAAATTGTTCGCTTTCCTCCACACGACCTTGACTGAGTCTGACGTTACCAAGAGCATGAAGGACTCTTCCTGGCCTGTAATATTTGTTAGATGGTATTGAAAAGTATAGATCTGGATGGGGTTACCTGAAAGACACCATGCTCAATTTACCAAGGCCCTGGTCGCTTTCTCTCTGGCCTTCCTCAAGGACCTCAGCGGCTTCGGATATCTTTCCTTGAAGCCACAGACTCATACCAAGGTTGGCGTATTCCATCAAGGCAAAACCTTTCCGATAGCCTGGAACACTGTGCCAGATGTCTAACGCTTGACGGAACATTTGACCACCTTTTTCGAACTTCTTGAACATCATCAAAGAACATCCCATCTGATTGAAGGCGTATCCTAGCTGGAAATTTTGCTCGCCCGTCTTGGCAGAGATTTCCTTCCTGATTATCAGCTGCTTGGAGTTGAACTTCTCTGACTCTTCAGGACGATTGGTCCCGTTTGCAACGCATCCCATGACATCGTAAACAAGGGCGGATAGATCAAGCCATCTCTCAACACCTTCGTACTTCTCACATAAGAGAAGAATCTTGGCAGCAGTTTCTCGCGCCTTGAGGAAGTTGCCGCGCTCGTAAAGCCACCTAGAACAATGTTAGTGAGCTCATCGCCATAGATGACTGTGACAAGGAAAAAGACCACGCCTCTTGAAATGACTTGCAAGACTTACCAGGCTGCTTCTTGAAGAATCGTGCCAAAATGAAACTCGGTTTCCTCAAACGAACCAATTTGAGGCATCAGAAGAGACTTCTCTGTTTCGTACATGTAACGCAAAGAGTTGACATGATCACTGAGCACCTCACGTGGAACAGGCCCCTGTCTCCTCGCATGTCTTTGCTCGAATAGTAACATCGGCCATGTTTTGCGGATCAGTCTCACCGCGATGGAAAAAACTTTGGCTAGCTGTTCCGGATTCTTGGACAAGTTGGCTCTGATAACCTGCTGGGGAACTCGATGCATCGATAGGTGTGTCGTAGTGCCGTCGTCGTTCTCTCGGATGATGGAGGCTTGGAGAAGTGTAGCTCTTGCCCTGAAGTAGTCGTTGCGAGTTATTGAAAAAAGCGCCTCTGAGATCTCATCTGAGAATAGATGATCAAAGATGGCCTCTTCAATGTGGTCTGGATGGAAGCAAGAAATGATGGCGGCCAACAATTGTGGTTCTACACCTAAGCCGTCGATCGTGAACAAGGATGAAAGATTACCGCGAGTGTTCTTGTTGGTATGGGCCTCAAAAAGATTGCCACGATCAGTATGGTCATCCAATCGTCTTTTCAAAACAGAAACCGAAAGGAACTGTTGCTTGGCAATGCCTGCCATCTGAGCTAGGGCAAGAGGTAGCCCATCAAGTTGATGGTGTAGCTGACGTCCGTCTTCATGATCTTTGGCTGACTTGATCAAGCCTTTTGAAGTCTTTTTTAAAAACTCCAGAGATTCTTCCTCTGAGAACGGAGGAAGTTGTATTGGAACAACACTACCAGGAAGGTCGCGGACTAAGGGATTCCTCGACGTAACTAGGATCGACCCCGGCCCGTCTATGTTGATATAATCATCCAGAATTTGAGGGTCATCGGCGTTATCGAATATCAAGAGCCATTCGGGAGACACTGCTTGATCGTCTTTCCCACCGACAGTCCAGGTTGGCTTCGCGAGCCATGAGTGAATGAGTTCTTTGGTCGATGTAGGATTGTGGGGCCCGTTCTCTGGAACCAGGCGAATTCGTGTTGCTATCTTGCAAAAGTCAAGTTCGAGCTTTTCGGCACTTTCAGCGCAAATCCAGAAGATTGCATCGAACTTAGTCTTGTGGGTGAACACATATTGTGATGCGAGTTGGGTTTTACCAAGGCCAGCTACACCGAAAACTGTTGCTATCACTGGTGTTTGCCCTTGTATTGCCGAGTTCCCCGTTCTACTGGCTGGTAACAGCGCGTCATCAATCTTGTTCATGACTTCCACACGGCCCAGAAAGTCTCTGTTGAGAGATAACTGCTCTGTCATGTGACAAGGGAGCGCGAGCTCATCGGAAGATCGGGAAAATCCACGGAAGATTGACTCCATGCTCGAAGGATCCGGTGTCGGGAGTGATACCTGAGCCAGACTGTCGTCTTCTAGGGATGTTGTACCGAAAGCTATGACTCGTAAGCCAGAGTGAAGCTAAATGAGTCACCTGAACCCAGGCTTTCAGTAAATACCTTGTTTCAGGGCATATATTGACGACTTCTGCTCTGCCACAATACTGCTCCCAGCGCTTTGGGATATAGTGCTAGCTGGGAAATGTACTATGGAGTTATTAGTAGGTCCACATAACTTTAAGAAATTGCTCCATCAACCATACATCCAGAAGTGGTTTCGTGAGCGGAAGCCCTCTGAATGACTTGCTTGATTGTTTGGCGCAGCCAAGCCCAGATTTCCCTATTAGGGGTCCCACACTCGAGGAGATAACAGGCCTCAAAATGATCTGCATCTATACCGACTAGCTTCTCGAAGGCAGCCTCTGTCCTAGCTAGCTGTGAATTGATGATCTTTAAGATAGTCAGTGAGAGGAGACCCATTGCCGAACTCTTCAGGGACTTGCAGTCTGTTGTTTGTTGTGGATGAAGGACTTCTTGATCGTGGGTCGACCTTCGTAGATGCTGAGAATAGGAAAGCGAAACCCCCGACTGGAAAAGATGTTGTTGACTTCCAAGATCTCCTCTTCCCAGTTTCTCAGTTCCAGGAACTTCTTGATAGACCTGCCTTGAAGGCATTGTTGCAACAAGAAAGAACAGTTGTTTTTGAGTGTCTCGCGATGACTTGAGTCAATGCCATGTGGACAACCGATGAAGACAATCCCAGCTACAAGACCAATCGCATTCGCTCTCCTTGCACTGGGCTGTGATAGGGCCTAACAAGTCAAAAACATATCAGTACTGCTGAAGTAGTAGCCGAAAAGGGAGAATGCAAATAGCTGACACGTTTAACCGCAATGCCGCCCAAACTATGTGTCACAAAGATGATGGGTATCTATGCGAGCAAAGCGGAGTTTCAGCAAAAGATCTGTACACATAGCCGAGAGAACTGGCCCACCGGGTTTTCCATTGCCAGCTTTTCCAAGACCCTGCTCAAGTCGTTCCCAGTGTCAATCAACTGTTTAACATTGAATCTGGTCTCGTCGCTGACAGTTGGATAGTGCCCCGAGACATCGATGTGATTATCATCGATCGAGAGCTCTTCGCTCCAGACACCATTGAGAAACCCCCATTTCTCCACTGGTGGTGAAGTTCCGACGCCAGGGACTAGTATGATTCTCGGTAGTGTCAGTCTAAAGGGTGTTAGAAATTTGGGAGTTGGAGACTTACCGGAGCTTCGCGTCTGACCTAGCTACCGTTCCGGCCTTGGGGACTGCAAAGGTCGCCATCAGAAGACTCTCTCTTCTTCCCCAATAAGTTGGTGACTGGAGAAGAACGATTTTGCTTTCCGAGCCTCTTTCGAGAGAATGTTTTGGGGGGACTGAAAAACGATTGGGACTCATCTTTTCTTGTGAAACCTTTCGACCCCTCCCTGTTGCTACGCGGTGTGAGTGACTGCGCCTAGAAACAACCTATCAGCCTGCTTTGGGGTCAATCAAAAGTGTGCCTGTAGCTGACTTGCTTGCACGCTCTTGCGTTATGCAGCCGGATTGATCACTTTCCCCCCCCTATACACCATCGCCACACTGACTCTCGAAGGAAGCTCGTCATCAGAGAAGCAGGCTGTGACATTCTCGGAGTTTGTGCAACTCATCATTTATCCCAGTGTGTGTCTGCATAAGCAGGGTGGCAGCATATCACACACTCGCGTGTACATCACCGTGCCTTCACCAAATTTGTCATTGCACAAAAGCCGTGGAATACCCGGCTGGGTTACGACTGGCCAAACAATCTGCTACAATATTTGACAAAGTGCTTTCATTGTCTTCAGGAAACAAATAGGTCGAATGCCCACCCGAATCTCTGAGGCACTTAAGGCAGCATCTTGTGCTTCCAGTCTGAATCGGCGCACCGACCTCCGTCTACCATGCCGGACAACTCCCCCACGAGCGATACCAAGTCGCAGGATCTTCTCTATGCCACCCCAAGGCAGCATCAAGGCCAGCAATCATCCAGCAACAACCCGCAATCGTGGCCAAGATTACGAAAATGGCCCGTTGTGGGCTTAGTAGCGTACTGCGAATGTCTCACGTATGCGCAATCTCCTCACTGAAATTTAAGGACCAGCCAATTCCGGAAGGCTGGCTGTTCAATGTGCTGAACTGACCAAAGTTCAGATTCCTCGTATCGATGATGCTAGCACCCAGTATTCCGCAAGTACTGCAAACCTTTCGGCCAGATGGGAGTGGTAAGGCTCTGGGCTCCTTCTGTGTGACAGTTTACATTCTGGGGTTCATCGTCGGACCCCTCATATTGGCGCCACTTACCGACCATTACGGGCGTGTCGGTATCTATCGCTTGTATATCATAGCGTATCTCGGTTGGACGGTGGCATGCGCCCGCAGCAACAGTCTGGAGAGCCTGATTACTTTTCGATTCCTGGCAGGCTGCTTTGGTGGCGCTCCCATGGCCATTGGGAGGGCCGTGGTTGCAGACCTTTATGTGCCGGGAGAAAGGCCTGGGCCAATGGCATTCTACTCTTTTGGAACCATCATGGGCCCAACCCTCGGCCCCATCCTAGGCGGTATAGTAAACGGGAATCTTGGCTGGCGATGGGTGTTCTGGTTGGCAGCAATCTTGGTAGGAAAGACTCCCCATTTATCCGAGGCCGCAGGTTGCTGACGTGGCAATCACAGGCTGCTGTTGCTGCTGTTGGCTTATTATTCTGGCTACCAGAGACGCATCAACCAACAATCGAACGCTTATTGGCGGCAAGACCGCATGAGTCTCACCGAAACCAACAGCAATACGGCAGGGGACTTTTGGTGAGGCTGCCTGCTTTCGATGACCTTGGCCGGACTCTATGTCGTGCGTGGCTACTCCCAATGAAAGTCGCGAGCAAGTTGATTTGCCTAGTACCCTTCCTAATGATCTGCGTTTTCAATGGAACTGTCAACATGATTTTATCGTCTCTGGGCACTGTTTATCAGAGTCAGTATGGATTTCCAGCACAGACCGTGGGTTTATCGTACCTGGGAATTGGAATTGGGGGAATTAGTGCTCTGGCATTGTCAAAGAAGATGATGCGAAGTATTTCAACGCGATTCCCCGAGGAGGAAGACAGGAAACATGCAAGTCTCTTACTTTTAGCGTCGGGGGCGCTTCTACTTCCAGTGCTGGGCCTTCTGTGGTACGGATGGTCCGTTGCAATGCGCACACATTGGATCGTGCCCATCCTGGGACTGTATTTCTTTGGCTTCGGTTACATGGCTGTACAGGTGAGCGCCTTTAGATTCTATTCGAGATTAGCCGCTGACAGAGTGTATCTCTCATTAGCTTTCTCTGCTACTCTTTGTTGTCGAGTCCGTACCGGGCTTTGCAGGCTCCGCTGGAGCTGCTTTCACCGTCGCGTCGTCTGTAGGGGGATCTCTCATCCCTTTGTCGACCTTTCCACTTTACCAAAAGGTTGGTTATGGATGGGGGAACACAACAATTGCTTGCATTGAAGTACTTCTGTGTGCCACATCTATAACCATGTATACGTGGGTGAGGAAAGCTGGAGCAGAGCTATCTTTGAGGGTTTACATGGACAGATAGCCAATATCCTAGACTATTAAGAAATCTCCATGCTTTATGTATTCTTCTGTACTCCTCGTACTCCTGTCAGACGGTGCTCGGGCTGTGCTGGACCGTTCTTAGCTTTCGCCATGCTCCAAGCACCCTCTGTCGATGGGAGGACCATCGAAGCACCAAGTAGGCAAGTAAGAGAGATGCCGCAGCAATTCCCAACCAGACCCCAAGTTTTGAATGACTACCTTCATTCAATTCCTGCAGATTCATGCCAAATATTGACGTTGAGAATGTTAGTGGCAGAAAAAAGAAACCAAGAGTCGACAACTTTCGCACAATTTCTCCCTGGGAGATGGTTCTCTGGGAATCATCAATCATAGCCGCATTCGCAAGCATGGTTGTGCTTTGCCAGTAGTCCTCACTAAGCTTGATAGCTCGGCGTCTCATCTTCTGGTAGTCGCGTTCAATCAGTCGATTAGCCATGCAGGCTTTCTTTAGACCACCCTCTGATCTAGCTGTGGACCAATTGTTGCTGTCTTTTGCCTCCAAAAACTCGCATATTTCTTCTAGATTCTGTACGTGTCGATCGAGAATCTGTTTGTTGTGTACCAGATTCCACATCGTCATCCTCTTGTCAGAATTTGTTTCGGCCAATACGGCGGGCTGCATATCTTCCTCGAGAAGATGCTGCAACTTGTCTAGAAACTGTGCCTCGGAAGCCACCGAAAACCTGAAAATTTCGCTCAGACTGTAATAAGTATCCTCCACCATTGCCTCACTATCAAGAAGTGTGTCGAAAGCCTCGTGCAGTAATTTGAAGGTTGCTGGCTGTGATACGGATCTTTCATCATCATCTTTTGCCTGATAGCATGAATTCGAGCCTCCCATAGTCTTCTCGTCGGCAAAGTATATACCAGGTCGATGTTGTGTCGTGGCCCAATATTCTACGTGACAGCCGGCATAGTCCAGAACCTTGGAGTTCCAGGGACCTGCATCCGCAGGACCAAATCCGCTCCCAAAATCCAACCAAACAACCGCTGTCCTGGAGTCAGATACTGTCACAATAGCCATGTAAGGTAGTAAAGGTCATTATAATACTAGTACTCACCTGTCCAATGTTTAGAATTGTGTGGTCTCTCGGTCACACATATCGATATTGTCTGTTCAAGTGATACATGCTGGCGATCAAGCACAAAGAAGTTTCTAGCCATTGACATTCCATGCCCAAGTTCTGAGCCATATTCATCCCAACCCTTGATGTATTTCTTCATAAGACTGGAGACTTGCTCCCGTAGCCTAGAAAGCATTTTCTGCTCTTCCTGCTCTGACCGTTTCATATTGTCGGGGGCGAACCGTGTGCCCAGCGTTGTAAGTTTCAGCTGCATCATATGAGTCTTGGATGACGGCAAAGACGCATCTGAGTACTGTCGTTCCTGAGAGAAGGGGCTAGCGGCGGAGAAGTGAAGATGTCGACGGTAAAACTCTGGCTCGAGAGAAAGCTTGTGCCCAATGACATTCAGCCATCGTGCCGGCTGGTAGCCCCTTAGAAACACAACAGTGCCACCAACACGACAAGAATTGACTTGATCTAGGGACGATTCAAGCTCTTCCAAAGTTCTCACATCGTTCCGGATAGGACTGCCAGCCCCGGGGACGTAAGTACGCAAGTGGACGAATGCATCGCCGTTGGATGTGTTTTCACAGTGTTCGGCAGATTTTTGGTCTTCCCCGAATGGGTGATATGGCGACCCCAAGAAAGACGATAGCGGACCTAGAGTGCTGAAAGTGTAAAACGAGTTTCCGCTATATTTCTGGGATTTGAGGTAAATTCGGTCTGCGTAGACTTGCTCCTCAGATGTCCTTGCTAATTGAGTGTTAATCTTGACTCCTCCGACGCATCTCATCAATATTCATGAACCATTGGAGACGTTATTCACCTCGCAAGAGACTTGGCCGACCCTCTCTCGGAAATTCTGACATTTTTTCCATTTGTGAAAGAAAATAGTGTTGGCACTAAGAGATCATGTGGAGGTATTTTGAGCTTTCGAACTAAGCTTCATGAATGATTGGAAAAGTGAGAGCCGCGATGAAGTGCACAAAGACGCTGCCACAGATATTCTCTTTCCGAGACAAAGCTTTTATAAAGGGAGAGACGATAAATGTGTATGTCTAGAGACAAATGTGTCTGCCTACAGCCTGCAGTATGCAGCCTCCTTGGTTGGGACGGCCTTGCTAGGCGAAACGCTGCGGAAGCGCCAACCAGAGCTCCAACATGAGCCACCAACATGGTCATCTGGGCGGTTCGGATAAGAGAGTGTGGTTACACAAATGTAAGTCTGTGCAGGGGTAACTTGTCAGCGTCAGAAGCAGACCAGAGTCTCTGGTCTAGAACTCAAGGCACTATTTTTGATTTGCGTAAATCTCGGTGGCTCAGTGAGAAGCCTTGCCTTGCATCTCCAAGGCCTGAACACGTCACGTAGCACTGTAGCCTCATAATGTAGATGATGTGCCATTGCAAAATGAATCCGGGTTGTGTGTCGGATCTTGTAGCGCTGGGTTAATAGGTACTTTGTGGTCACATGTAGTGACGGCTCCCCCTCTCCACCCCCCAGTTGGATTCAAGTTTGTATTTCCCTTGAGCAAGTGTAAGTAGAAGAATGATCACCCCTCTCTTGCGTGTGGGATTGAATCAGTCATTTATTGAATGGTGAACATTGGTCATTTCTTAGCCCTCAGTCTTAGTCCAGATCCGAGAAGTAAAGTAGAGGTCGACGGCGGTGGTCCGACTCTTCAATGGGGCCAGCCCGGCACGACCCACTCCATGAAGTCGTCCGGTGCTATGTCTGGAGAAATCGCTGCGCTGCCGTTCGACTTATGTTGGCAATACGTGTACCTTCGTGTTACTCAATCATAAGGTGTTATGGTCAATCATTTGGAAGAGGTTATGAAACTCGGAAGACCGTTCAGACAGGCTAAATCTCGGTGTTCATCGTTTCCCTCGCAGGCGCCCGCTTCATTCAAGAATCCATCTGCTTCCTGTTGGTGAAGAGCCACTTCCTTTCGCACTACTTGAAACTCAACAGGAAGACGACTTGAATATCCAGCTTCGGCGCCAACTTCTATAGGTCAGCAATTGAGTTGCGGGGAGGTGACATTGAACTGACGGCATATGATGGATATGAATTCCACCAGGACCGCCATCCAAGAGGTGATAGCAAGTGCCTGGCCCAGACTCCAACCATCTTTTGAATCCTTAGAAGCACCAGTGAAGAAGACGATAAGCATACTCCAGCCCCCCCACATACAAATGAAGTTCAAGATGGCATATAAAGTGACTGCTGTTTTGGCAACCTTGTTGAGCCACTTTGCCTGTCACATCTTGCGGTTGTTGCACCGGTAAAAGCAAAGCACAACGCTCAGGCATAGACCAAAGAGTGGTGGCATCCATATCATAGCAGCCATTGTAAACATGGCAGCTCCGATAACAACCTGGGTTGGGTGGTTCTGAGGGCGGGCATCGTAGACAACTTCGTTGTGGTAGTAGTCGACTTGGGTATTGTTGGTGCAAAGAACCCATGCTGACGTGTGAATTAGGAAGAGGCCGACCAGGATAGTCCCCTTCAACCAGCTACGTCATGTGGAACCTAGGATCAATGGGAGCATTGCTGCCAGCGGGTAAAAGCTGAGAGCCGAGACAACGAGTTGTAAGGATGAGTTATACTTGTAGACGATAGGTGTTACTCGGCTGTAGATGATGGTAGCCAGAATCCCAAGAGAAAGAAATACTGCGACTACCAATAGGTCATATCTTGTGCCTCTTCATAACCTCGTTGACACGAGAGAAAGGACCTGGACTGGCGTCAGGTGGCAGTGCCTGAGGCAGCTCAGCCGGATTGGATGATGATTTGCTGCGCTGGAGGAAAGCCAGGATCGCAAAAGCACAGTAAACGGTGAGAAAGACACACTCAATGCCGTAAGAAGTCAGGAGCTACCAGATATTAGTACCATCCTTGCGTAGCAGAGATGTTCAATTGTATGCGTACCCCATAGCCTGCGAGGCCGCCATCAATTTCAGACCCAATTAACTGGCACAGCGAACTGCGACATATTACTTTGTCAATTACTTGGCTGGCCAAATCAGCTCTGTTTTCGCGCGTCTACTCATGCCCATCGATGATTGGGGCACTCGTTGCGTTGATGCTGTTATGGCCTTCAACCGCTGTTCGCCAGAATGTTGCGACATCGGGGTAGGGCGGTTCGTTTTTCTGTGTCAAAAGCCAGGCAAAGTAATTTCCAGACAGAACAATTCCCGCCGATCTCAAAGGACGTCCAGGGCGTGTCGGTTCCTGGAACTATGCTTATTATGGCATGTGAGTTTCGCTGGCGCAAAATCGCGGTCGAGGGGGGTTGGTTTGCTGCTGCTCAAATGGAAGAAGGAGGCATTCTTCCCCGTGACGCGACAATGGGAAGACAAACACGACGTTGTGTTATCACACCTTGGGGCCTGGAGATATTCGTAGCCCCTGAAAGGATTCGACCCCTTGCATCAAGTCGCATTGACCACTGGAGTAGCACCAGGGCCTTCATCAGAATACCGTGGGCCAATGGAGAGGATCGTTGGCTGAAATACGGCTAACCGGTTATCGTAAGCTCTGTCCATGATAGGCCTAGCATACACAGAAATAGGTCGAGTGGCTATGGAGTGATGCCCATGGTAACCTCCTGCCAGTCATCAATTGCATCTATGTTAAAGCCAAGAAATAGAAACAACGTGCTTTTTGATTCTTAGATAAGAAAGAGCCTAAAATTCAAACCACAATTATTTGCTAGTTATTCGTAATCAGTTCTCAAACTGCTTGAGATGACTTCGGTCTCGAGTTCCTTTGACACTTCAGGGAAGATGAATTCAAGTCTTAATATTCTTTACGGGGCTATCTTGCACTAAGGTAAGTACCCACTACCAAATGACTGCATATCGTCTCTAAGCTCGGAGACTGACCCTGTCCTCAAAGATCTCAACTTGACCAGTGATCTTAAAGATGCTATACCATTGCATTCTTTCAAAACACAGAGCTGGCCATTTAATGCGCAAAGCGGAAGTCAAGCCTTTGCTGGCCTTCATCAGTGGTGTTAAGAGAGTAGTCCTCTTGTTGCTCCTTGGACATGGCATTCCACCGACTATCGCGAACCTTGTTACGCCAGATGTAGAAGGCCTTGACAAAGTAAAACAGAACAATGTTGAAGCAGCAGACCCCGAGCAAAATCTTGTTTCCTCGGCGATACAGAGGTTGGTCGTCATCTCGGTAAATGTTTGAAGCTGCGATGTTACCGGCCTGCACAAACATGTTGTACAGCGCGGCACTGACAGCTCTTGTTCGCACGGCATTGCTGTTCTTGGCGTTCCAGCCGACCAAAATCGCGTGGCAGTAAGGGTAGCTCAGCAGGCCCGTCAAGAGGGCGTATCTGATCCAGGTGCTGGTATCAGCGGGCAAGGCGACGAGTGCGACAAGCCAGGGGAAGATCCAGATGTTTGAGATTGATGAAACGATGGCACGCTCCTTGAACTTTCCGGAAACCCAAGAGATGATCAAGAGGTTGACGGCAAAAAGGAACTGGGAAGGAATGGCGAGAAGGTTGGCTTGGAAGGTTGAGAAACCCAATCGACGTAGAATGTAGGACAGATAGGTGCTCGGCGGGGACGGCGGGATGTAAGTAGTCAGGCCGATCAGGTACAAAGGCCACTGCTCCCAATCCTTGATTGCTTTGAACAGAAGAGAAGGGCCGACGGCTTCGCTGTTTAACGGATTAGCAGAGTTTGCAGTGGAGTTTGCAGAATAAGGGCTTTATACCGATTGTGCATATCACCCTTGCTCGGGTCGTCCCGCAGCAAGCGGTTGACCATGATCAACTCTTCATGTTCGGTGAACCATCCATCCTTTCCACGGAACCAGTTTCTGGTCTGCGTAGGACCAGGAGGCATCAGACCCCATGAGAAGAGGCCAATGATGAGAGTCACAATACCCTCGATAAGGAACCTAGCTAGAGTCAGTTCTGAACGAGAAACTGGGATCGCGATGAAAACTTACAGCCATCTCCAACCGGCCCATCCTGCGACACCTCGCATTTGAAGTACACCGGCAGCGACCAGTGAGCCAACGATGTTGACAGTGCTGAGTGCTGTCCAAAACCATGCAAGCCTCAAAGGCAACTCATTAGACTTGTAGAAGTATGTGAGCCATAGAACAATATCGCTACTTCAAGTTAGTACCGTGCTCTCATAAAGCAAAGGTCGGAAACGTAAAGCTTACGGAATAAAGCCACCCATAAGAAGACCAAGAAGAGCTTTCACCGCGTAGAACCCAGCACGGTTCGACAAGAAAGCTTGACATCCGGCAGTGATGGACCAGCCGACCATGATGGAAGGGATCCAGACATCGGCCCCAAGCTTCTTGCTTACCAAACCACTGGGCAACTCTGCAGCGAGGAATGATAGAAGGAAAATCTGAACCACGTATAAGCCTACGATTACCACCGGGTGTCTCGTCGTATGATACTAACAGTTTGTCCATAGTTGAAATCGTTTGTTGTCATGCCGAGCTCCGGAAGCTGTCAATCGAGTTAGCGTCATGTCTTCGGCACTGCCTAAATTAAGACTATCGTCTCCATACCATGTTGTCAGAGATTGCGCGGTTAATGTTTCGCCGGTGGAGATCAAGAGCGCAGAACATAACCTTGAAATGTCGTCAGCTTCGGACAATTAATGTGCTCAGAGAATGGAATTCGTACCCAAGCCCAAACCATGATTTTCCTGTCAATCTACAGCGAGTCAAGTCAACATCTAGGATCTTTGATCATCAAGCCCAGTTTTACAAAGTACCACAAACCTTTCTGACAAGCTTTTTCTCATCCTCGGCCGACCAGGTGTAGTTGGGGTCGAAACGATGACGGTTCTCGTAGGAAGCCTTCTCGTAGACTTTGCGCCAGTGGTCGGCGATGCTGGGATCCGAAAAGACATGTTCGTCCGTGGACCCGTACGGTTGAGTAACCTGCTCTTTCAAAGACGAAGCTGAAGTGTCGGTAGCAGCCTGTGTCTGAATGGTGTTGACCTCTTTGGTCGAGTCCCTGAAGGGCCCTTCAACTCCGGTGGAGGCCATGGCTCAACTAGACAAACCAATTGTCACGCTGGATGCAGAATCCTGTTGAAGTCTTTCGAGTCTCAGCGAAGCCACACAGAGGTCCCGGGAACATGGTCCGGTCCGCGGAGATGCATGGACCTTTATACATTCCCTCCTTGGACCCGACAATCTGGTTGTAGTCTTCAAACCAGATCCATCTCAAACATCCATCCCGACGTTGGATGACAGGGGCTCACCTGAGAGAAAGAAAAGCTTTCACAGTGTCGCGATGATCCAAGGCGATCACCTCATAGGCGATTTGCTCCCTTGAGCGAATAGAACTTCTTATCTATGGTGCAATTGCTTGACTGAATTGCGCTGCATGTCAATGGCCCAACGAGTTGTGCTAGAGAGCGTGGGGGGTGTGATCCGGAGTGGCCCCGGCCAAGTTGAATGTCGTCGTCGATAGCTGGGCGACAGTCCTCGCCTAGGGCAGCAAGAGCGCTACGAAGAGCTAATTCAAGCTTACTTCACAGAGCCTTCAGCTAAGCGGAAGGAATCCCGTCTCGATTAACGGGAGTGATTGGGGCCGTGGACATGTGAGGGTCTAGATGCCGACTGGGGAGAGCTGCACAATGCCGCAAAGATGACGAGTCAATCACCATGTGTGGGTAGTGTGTCCGACGGCGAGGATAATCCATGTCCGTCCCTAGTGAGTCTTGAGTGTCTCGAGCGGCATGAACACCCACATGTTTATTGACGAAAAAGGCTTGGAGAGGTTATTGCGTGATGGGGGCCATGGGATTGCGACAGACTCTTGGGCCGAAATGCGAGAGATTGGCCAATCATATAACAGCAAAAGAAACAACCCGCGGCAGTTGCCAGCCCCTCTCGCGGTCCCTTCAAATGGGCTATGCAATTTGACGCCAAGGATTAATTCCAAGTCAATTCCTCGTCTACTACGGATACATGATCCAAAGTCGAAAAGTCTTTGTCTCACCCGAAGGCTTGGGTCCGAAGGTGTGATTCCAGGCCTCAGCGGTGACTTGTCAAGGGCAGAGAAAGCCCCCGAGCTCAAGATAGCTTCAAAAGGCACACCTTAGCTCCGAATTATACCCCAAGCGAGGCGAGCTAACCATCCCTTTGGGACAACGACACTATCTCGTCATTCTCTAGTGGCAACTTGAACCGGTGGTTACAAGGAAGAGTGTCCAAAGTTGACATGGGCAAAGCAAGACCCAGAATCTTCCCGATACAACGCTTGAGCCGAGCGGGCATTAAACTCTCCCACACTTTATAACGTATTTTCAGGTGTCTAAGGGTTCTAGAGAAGGAGAGTAGTGTGTGTTCCGCGGTAGTAAACTACCAAACCAATTCTGGCGATGTGCACCGCAGCCGTTCGTGAAGTTACAAGAAAATGGCTTTAATGTCTGTAATTTCTTTCCATTATGGCAACTAAGAAGGAGAAGGCATAGCATCGAGTAATAATTCATAATTAATTTGGCATATCTTCATAACTAAATACCAAGCTCATGCGACTGGCTTTGCAGGCGACTGCTCGCTCGGAGGCTTGTTTGACCACTATGGTCTTTGATGTACACACCACGAAATTTCTCAATACTACAACATTCAACCCTTGAAGGATGTCTCATACGGCCGCTCAGCCTGCGGTGTGATTCTGGCCAAGTGCCTCCTTGAACCGTTGTTCCAGTCAATCAGAGCAGAGTGCTGAGTGACGCGGTTATCCCAAACAACGACAGTGCCCTCCTCCCACTTCACGCGGGCATGGAAGTCAGCGCCCCAGGCGATGTGCTCGTAGAGAAACTTGAGCAAAGCGTCGGACTCTTCCTTCTTCAGGCCTACAATCTCACGTGTGACTAAATGACAGGTCAGTAAACAGATTGGGATGGTCTGGGATGCTCTCAACTCACATTGAGGGTTGATGAACAGGGCCTTCTCGCCGGTAACGGGATGTGTGCGAACGATGGGGTGAGTGTTGGCAACAGGCTCGCGACGCTTGATGCTACCCTTCTTGACAGACGCAGCAACCTGCTCAATACCAGAGTGAACAGCCTGAAGGCCGTGAAGCCTCTCCTGGAAGAGCGGGCTTAATCTGTTGTATGCCTCCGCAGCGTTGCAGAACAGAGTATCACCTCCGGTCTCGGGCTTGTCTAGGATGTAGAGGAAAGTTGTGCCAGGAGGCTGCTGCTCGTACGAGACATCGGAGTGCCACGCAATAGAGCTGGTTCTGGTGGCGAAGAACTTCTCTGCTGACCTGTCGCCTGCGGCACGGTGGACAAGGTGAACCTCGGGGAAGTTTTCAGGGGATCCTGAGGTTGGGTGAATGTGGTGACGGCCAAAGTAACCGCCGAACTCGAGGGCTTTATCGATCGGAAGGTCGGCGAAGTCCTGAGCGCGGAAAGCGACCACCTTACGCTCGGCGACGAAGCGAGCAAGCTGGTCACGGCCAGCGTTGCTGAGTGTGCTGAGCTGGACGCCTCTGACTTCTGTGCCGATAGAGGGCGTGAGGTCGGTCACTTGTGCGTCCTTGGGAAGAAGATCAGGATAGCTGGGGTCTGCGTCTCTGCCGTGCTCGGTGTGCTGGAAAGGCTGCAGAGGAGGATATTGCTGCTCGGGGTTCCATGTGGGAAGGTAGTGAGGGTACTACATCCACAAAATCAGTCTCCCTTCGGATGAAACACCACATATTTAGTCCTAGGGACAGTATTAACCTTTGCGCCCTCATGGCCATCGCCTCCCTTGGCCTCGGCATCCTTGTCATATGTTGTGGGTGAGAGTTCTTTGTAGTCTCCAGAGCCGTCGGCGTATAAGCGGAGGTTGTTAACCGGGAGGTTGACCGGGTCGGTCACAGTCGCTGTTGCGGTTGCCGAAGGGGACATTTTGAGTCGTTTCTTTATTACTGAGGTTCTTTCTTCTTGATAAAAGTCGGATTAGGTATGGTGTGTTGCGCCCGACCAAATCCCGAAGTCGTGCCCATGAGTTTATATAGACTACCCCTCCAAAGGGCCATCGACGTCGGAGTATATCCGATGAGGGGCATTCGTCCCAAAGATTGCATGCTGACAGGGATTCGATTGCGTTGTCTCCCAGACTTTCACCAAAACATAGCCTAGCAGCACCAGCCGATACGGTACCGGCTAATGGGTTCATGGAACATTACGAATCATTGGCGCTCAGCACTACATGAGACGAAAGGATGGAGGCGTAGAGTGTTGTTTGATGGGGGGAAATGACGCCATTCATATTTAATAAGACCGACCTTATGGTGGGATAACGACCAAGCAGACCATCGGCAGCGTCTTTGATTAGCAATGGTGGTTGCAATGTTGCTATCCTGGGCGTCTAGCACGCAATCTGCTGATGCGACTCAGTGCGTGTTTGATGACCCCGCAATCTGGGCGGCACCGGCTTGTACTCTGTTGGTCCCAAGGGATTCAAGAACATTTGAGACCAAGGTTGTTCCGATCTTATCTTGATACCGGGCTATTTTCGGGAATTCCGTGAGATGAAATAGCTTCCGCCGTGCTGTGGCGAAGAACTCGTAAGAGCAAAAGAGGTTGCGTTCAACTCAATATTAGCGCCGTTGATGAAGCCCGTATGTGATGGAGCGCGGTTATATCTACGTTCGTCTCCTCCTACGGCGTAGATCTGGAATTCGGTCGGTCATCGGTTTCGCTTCTAGATTTAGAAGCTGTTTTTTATTCGTTGCCTGCAGTATTTCCGGTGTTGTCGGGCACCGGAATCGGATGGCGTCTCGGGGATTCTTTCGGAAGTCAACCGGCATCGGCCGGTAAACTACCCCTTCTCCGTTTGACTGCAAGAACTCTTAAACATGCATGTTTTCTTGTCAGTCAACAACAGTAGGTTAGCTTCCGAAGTACCATAGCGTTGAGATTGATAAACCAAGGTAATGCGGCCCCCACACTGGGTGTGAGCTACGTCTCGAAAAAAGACACAAAGAATCTACGTTTAGCAACTCGGAGGCCGTACTAAAAGTTTTCATCTGGACAGCCCTTGAGTGCATTTGAGGTTACTTGGATATTCGAAAGCCAATAAGCATTTCTTTGAAATCTGATTCCCCATCTATTATCTATATCCAGTAGACTATGGCACAAATACAATGCGAAGTTCTATCCGCTATGATTCCCCCTGAGCACCCTTTCTTAGCTTCCAGTGCAACCACAAGGCAGTCGTGTTTAAGGCTGCTACTGCGACTAAGTGGGCCTTGTTACCGAAGGTGAATACTTCTATCTCGACTTCTGCCACTACTGGACGAGAATTCCTGCTCATCTCGAGTTGCGTTGATCCATAAGCTACAAGCATAGCGTCTGTCATGGTGATGAAGAAGCTTTGTAACCCAAGGAGTGTAGCTATGGCCTCGGGTGCTGGCTCTGCAAGGGAGCTTTTCCAAGCTGCAATGTGGGATAAAATAACGTCGCCTATAACGTCGCCTAAGACGGAACCGTGAAAACTTTGTAAGCTGTTTGATATTGAATCAAACTGCCTGACAATTGCCCTGGTCAAATCTCGTCGTGGGTCAAAGTCTTCGATGCTTTTGAAGGAACTACCACGATGCTCCGATCCTTCAAATCAACTGACACATTAAATAATGTTGCAACAAAGTCAACGGTGCACTGAGTGGCGTTCAAAGCCTTGTTATTTTTCCCCTGCAGCGATGGAAATAAATCGACGAGTTGATTTGGGGCCATCAGCAACGCCCATCGCCACGATCGAGCGTGGACTTTCGCCGATATATTCGGATCACTGCGCGCTTCCCACACTATCAGGTAGGAAGCCGATGACGGCGAACGTTCTATGGGGGTATTCGCGATCAATGTGGAAGTCCATACTCTTGTTGTACTGGCACATTATGTGTGGGAGATATCCAGACTGTCGAAAGTGGTACGCTGATGTAGATGGATTTTCTGTGATCATTTGGTCCCTAATGCCAACGAAAGACCCAACACCGTAAGATCGGCCCCGATAGAAGAAGCCGGCATTGTGGCTCGTCGTCTGCCTGCTGATTGACCCGTTGGAAAATAATACGGATGATGCCGTTATTGAGAGCAGCTTGCTTAGAAGTGCCGTGCCCACAGAGCCGGAGACAGCGAATTCTGTAGTCGTTATAGACGACCCAAAATGTGGGATGTCAACTGTGCTCTGTATAGCAACAGTGCTTTTCATAGGTGTCACTGCGCCAGCCCACATTGCCGTCGCCAAAATAGCAAAGCAGGGGAACACCGTGATTCCCAATTGAAGGCATCGCCGCTTGTCTTTCGGCGCTGGCGTTGTGTGTGGATGTTTGACATGCCCGTGCCCCTGCTCCAAAGGCAGCATGTTGACGAATGGCTTTTTAAGCGTGTCATGTTGGCTAAAGAAAATAATTGCTAAAGCATTGCAGAAACCAACGATGTTTGCTACAAGACGAAGAGCCGTCTCTGCAGCGGCGCGTTTCGAAATCTGCAGTCCTTGGAGGCAAAGAAACTTTGCGAGAAGCTGAAAGGCTGGCTGGGTTGCAAGACATGTCGAAAAGGAGGATTCGTACCAAGAACTATCAATGGCCCACCCGCGGAAGCTGGCAATAATGACAACGAAGCTGGTAGTGCTCTCAATGAGCAAGCCCGCCAGCATCATGTTGCCCAACCCAGCGAAATGCCGTGAAAGGTTGACTTGGGTATGAGAAGCCATCTTTGGTGCCAGTTTGTTCAGTGGCGGGGTTGATGACTCAAATTCTTTGTAGCTCAGTGGAGGAACTTGAAGCACATCCACGATAATCTAAGCAATGCTGAATAAGGACGGAATCATCGACCGCTGCAGTTGATGAAAGGAATTGTCACAGATTTCCCTTTTTCAAAAGATCTATGGGGCTTTTGTTTGCAAACTTCGCCTGCTGGTTGAGGTCTCAGGCATCCCTTGGCATTGGATCTGCCCAATCAACGAATGCTTTGCCCTCGAAACGCAACCCCTGGCTATGCTCCCTGAGCTCTCAAGCATGTAGCTCTCGTTACGCAGCGCCCAGCTGAAAGAATTCTGCATACTTCATCTAATCTATTGGAATGGACCTGGAGCATGGAGAGTTCTGTTCAGCTAATACCTATCACATGATAGATTGCAATAGCTTTCTAAGTCCCGAATTCGGCGGTTCCGGAAAAGCTCCTAAGGGATATCCAATTGCCGACTCAAGGTACTTTATTCAGATCAGTCGTTCATTCGACGTAGAATGGGCAGCTTGTCATTTGAACGTTGTCTTGACGTAAAGTGGTCTTTTACTAACGCTGTTAGAGAGCTTTTCCCAAGATAGATATGTTTTTATGTCCATATATCTGAGAACAAAACAAGTTCCCCGAGCCCTTGCCCCCGGATGATTGATGTGTATTGTTAAAGACATGGAATATTTGGTACTGCTAAAGGTTCGGACCTTGATATTGGAAAATAGAACAATTTTAGGTTTGCGTGCTACCGCATCTTGGAAAGCTCCTGGTATGAATCCGTAGGAAACCGAACTCCCGCTAATCTTTCCAGTCTTCAGCTCCCACACTGACCCGATCTTCTCTGTTAAGAATTTGAAGAGTCTGTTGGCAATCTTACTCCCTCCTCGATCCCGGGGATCATGGCTGGGAGAGCCATGATGGCGATGACCGAGCCCAATATAGATGCTATCGTCCCCAAGGTGACCAAGGCGTCGGATTGAATAGAAGAATGTAGGCTGATGATGAGAGGCGCACCGACACCGATGTTCGCCGCCATAAAGGTTATAGGAAATATGAGTAATGCGCCAACAAGATGGTAGAGCGTACAATCGCTTCTAGCACGCAGATTGGCGACGGCGACACTGTAAAACATCACCTGGACAGTTTCCAGGATGCCAATGACAATGGGGTATTTGAAAATGCGTAGCACGTGAGGACCCCAGTACTCGTACACGCCGCCGTTGATAACGACGATCTCGAAGAGACATGAGCTGGCGAGCTCGATGGCGGCGTAGTGAAAGAAGCATCGACGTGTGATGCCGCTGGCGATCTGGCGATTTAGAAACACCGAGATGGTGCCGTAAAGAGTCGCATAGCCGCTATAAACCCACATGGGCTGCGGGACGCCCATCGAGTTGAAGGCTGTCCACTGGCCGGGGCCGTAGAAGTAAAGCATCAACGCATTGTCGTAGATTGGCTCAAATATTCCACCGAAGCCCGCAGCAAACGCAATAATAACGTAAAACCACGTATTCTCCTTCTTTCGGAGATAAACTCCGTAAATGAGTAAGGAGGCCCAGATGATATAGCTGGCGATGACGACAATAAGCTGCATTGGGGCCGAGACCCGCGTTTCGATTGGGGCTGTCAGCATCATACTAAAAGTTGTATTCAATGAGACGATGCGGGAGGACTGGCTACCAAAAAAAGCCAGTAGGCAAAGGATTTTATCTATGCGCTTAGTTCATGAAGCTGCTGGAAATTAGTCCGTGGAGTTGGTCCGAGTCGAATCATGATGCAAGGTGGATATTACTTGGTAATTGAGATGAAATAAAGAGTCCGTCCGACAGGCAGGTGTGTCCGAGTCCTCTTGTTCAAGTGATTTTTCGAATCGAGATTTTATCGTCAATTTCTTACACCATAATTAGGCCGCTTCAATGGGTTAGAGGAAATGAGGTGTTACTCCTGCCCGAGATCCTGACTTTATGTCTTTCCCCACATATAGACAGGACTTGGCGACGACTGGGTATTATTCGGGCATGGAGCTTGGCTAAGCCGCTATTGAGGCTGCCCGTACTACTAACTAAGCACCCAAGAATTTGTCTTGTGAGAATACACGTCTCCAAGTTTATATACGAGGTCTATTAGAAAAAATGAAGGCATTATAGAGTCGGTGAGTTGGCTAGAGTTCCGGCAAGAGTAAGGTTCAGGTGACAGAATGTTATCTGTATCGTTCTGGTCACGGAGTTCGGTTCAGAAAGGAAGGCGAACGACAAAGACGAGGCCTATGAGACGATATGCACATAGACGGTAGTTGGAGACTTAGTATCCCAGAAGTGTAGACAGAAATTGGAGTTGCCTAATTATAGATGACAGACAAAAGGGAAGCAACTTAGCAACGTTGTCTCGAGCTGACTCAGAAAGGTTCTGTATCCCAGAGGCTGAGTCATTAGTAAATGCTATCTTAATTTATTGAACTAGCTTCCTGTTCCGGTCTTTGGAAGTAGAGCATATCTCTGAAATGGTGAGCTTTGAATAGGTTGTCGCAATGACCACGAAGTGACACACTGTCCCGGAGACGCAGTCACTGTCAAGTCCACGCCGATCTTAACTTCGATGGCTTGCTACGGATTCTCTGGTCGAAATGTTGAAGAGGATCATGCCACTAGAAAAACATCCAGATTCCACTCTCGAACGAACTTGAATGATCAAGAGGAAATCACCATAACGAACAGACCGAGTGGTGAGTTGATAACTGTTGTCGAAACTTAAGTTGAACCACGACTCTGCGACTCAGAAGAAATGTAAAATATCCTCACAAGACAGCGCCCAGGACACAAATTCCAGCTTTCAAACGTGGAAAAAGCAATACTAGTGCAAAAGAAGAAGAGAGTCAAGCAACTACATATCAGCTGACGATGTCAAGTTGGGCATTCACAGGGAGTAGGCGGCGGTGCGTCGGTTGCAACCAATATTCTTTCTGGGGCTTATCTTTGACTCGTGCAAGTCTCAATCTTACTCGAGACGGTGAACAGAGTCTTCAACGCAATTTTTCGTTTTTAAGGAGGAGCTACTACCTCCACTGAGTAACGCATGAGCTCTTGATGTTGAAACAACCAGTCGGTAGTCGGTGTTATTAGCAAAGTCCTCCTTGCCGAGAAATCTGCCCAGACCACGGACCAACCGGGCCTCAACTTCGTTCAGTCAAAGAACGCATTTCTAATAGCTACTGCTTTCAGTATTTCCACCCCTCTTCGACCAGTCTAGATAATGCAACCATGTAGACTTGTTCTCGATGTGTCCTTTCTTTACTGAATATCCTACTAAGGCACTAAGCAGTCTGATTACTAAACATATCTTGGAAACCTAACTTTTTTGGACGACTTGACTAGAAAAAGCATGCCCACCGGCGAGAAACCGTTTCGTGATCTGTTTACCTTTGGAGCTAAGCGCATGTTGGAAGTGCGAACCCACTCTTGATATTACACGACAGGGTTCACAACGGCTCAACAAGCTTGGCTGGTAATCTCGTGGGCGTCCTGGACCAAACTTAGATCAATTGTATCCACATGATTTGGTCTTATAGAGTGAGATGTATCCGTAGGCTCATTGCACAACCAACGCCGCAAGAAAAAAAAACCCCCATTTTGCGTCGCTCTGCTCACCCACTTTCTTCCTCGCTACCCTATTCCTTTGCTCCCAATGGCGGTTCAAAGTCTCTTTTCATCATGGCACCGCACTCAGGTCTTAGACTACGGTGCAGTTAAGGATGATCCACCCTCCCGAGCAGAACGGCCAAGTCTCTCCGATGTTGTGGCTTCAAAACGTTTTCGCTGGCTAGCGGGGATTTTGGTTGGAGCGCTTTTGTTGCTTTTTGTTCTCGACAGCTTTGTCCAGGTCTCGAGGTTGCGACACCCTGCCTCATCGTCAAACTGGGCGTTGAATCAGTGCAAACCTGCGACGAGCCATGCAGACGTAGACTGGTCACGATTTGCTTACGTGCAGTATGCCACCAACACCCCATATCTCTGCAATTCGGTCATGGTGTTCGAGAGGTTGCAGTATTTGCAAAGCAAAGCTGACCGCGTCTTGTTGTACCCCTCCGAATTGTTGGATCCTATGGCGAAAAGTGGGAACACCAAAGATGCTTCACTGCTTATCCACGCCAGGGATACCTACGGCGTGAAACTGGTTCCCATCACTGTTCAACACAGAAAGGGCTCAGATCGTGAGTTGAGTCCCTTGCTAAAGTTCCGGTACCCGGACCTATAATGTGCTAATGGTTCAAGCACAATAGCCACATGGGCCGAATCTTTCACTAAGCTCCTAGCCTTCAATCAGACCCAGTACGACCGAGTTCTGTCTATTGACTCTGATTCTACCCTACTTCAGAACATTGATGGGCTTTTCCACTCGCCGCCAGCTCCGGTAGCTGTACCGCGGGCCTACTGGCTCTATCCAGAAAAGAAGATAGTCGCTTCACACATTATGCTCGTGCAGCCCAGCGTTGCCGAGTTCTCTCGGATAGTAGCAAAGGTAGAACGCGCTGAGAAAGAAGAGTATGACATGGAAATTATCAATGATCTGTACAAAGACAGCGCCATGATTCTTCCTCACCGACCATACGGGCTGTTGACCCGGTCCTTTGGTGGTGATCATCAAGACTACTACCTCGGGAACGATAAGGAGATTTGGGACGCGGTGACTGTCTTCAACGAAGCCAAATATCTTCACTTCTCTGATTGGCCCATGCACAAGCCTTGGTTAAAATCCTCCGAGAGTCTTATCAAGGAGAGGCAACCCGATTGCGTCATGAGAAATGGAACTGAGGATTGTACCGCGCGAGAGCTATGGCATAGCTTCTACACAGACTTCAGAGCACGCAGGACTGCAAGTATACTCAACGCTCTTCACCTTTTAAAGTGCGATTTTGCTGACGAACCCAAAGCAAGTTTGCGGGATCAACACCTAGCCCAACCCGCAAAAGACTTGAACAACTGTTGGTTTCAAGATAGAAGAAGTGGATACCCAGCTTTGAAAATGTTTTGAGAATCGGATTATTTATCATGGAGCGAAGTGATCGAGTGACAACCGACATTTTCCCCTCTTAACATGCGTTTCTCTACATGTGACTCGGTCTTATTCTTCGTTCTTATAAGGTACGTCGCATAAAGGGAGACAAGGGTGTCATGGATGGGAAGCCGCCAAATCAGAAAAGCCATTGCCAAAATCGAAGGCATTAGCCTTTCGGAGGCGCGCTAATCACAGACAATCCTCCCTTGGACTCGAGGACTAGCTTCAAAATACTTATCCCCGACGCTAGTCTGCGGCTGACCTCGTGTGTGATCTAGATTGCCAGCCTATAACCAGGTGCATGAGGCCAACGGTACTTAACTGTCAATATCATTGGTGTGGCGTCAATTCTATGAGTGTAGCGGTAGGCTGGACCTTTGAACAGTATTTCGGAATTGACCACAAGGGGTAGGATGGCTTTCATGATCAGATATCATATAAGTTGACTGTCCCATGAATCAAAATCTTGACTTAATCCTGACGACCGGGAAACATGAACTGACGTGAGATTCTGCCCGACATGATGCGACTCCCAACCCTCGCAAGTGCAGTACTTCTGCTACTGTTGTGGGTAGCCTCGATTGTGGACGCACAATCAGCATTATCCTGTACCACAGTTCCCAGTGTTACTTCCTGCGTTTCCTCCATTACATCAGTCATTAGCCGCACAGCCTCTGCATCCAAGTTTTGTTCCTCGGTCTTGGATTGCCCTTTACCCACGACCATGACTTTGGTCGGCACCGTCTCAACGACAACAACCAAAACGCAGACCTCTACCTACACTCTGGAAGAAATAGTAGGTAACATGGGCTCTGGGCTTGCGTTTCAGACTGACGGATGGCCTCGGTTGTTAGGGTACTGAGACGACTACGACGTCCACGTTTTCTTATACCGTACGTATTTCCACTTTCCACCCTTTTGTAATGAGAGCCTCAAGAAGTTGACACATTCCAATGCTACAGGAATCGACCTATAGTTATGTGGCAACTGTAACTGTCAAGCCAACATGGACGATTGAGTAAGTTGCGCAGCCGGTGACGAGATGTATGCCCTTGGCTGACAGTTGTAGACGATTCGACGTCACAACAGCCAAGCCAAAGAAGCGTCGAGAGGACTCAAATCACCTTGAAGGCAGAGCAGTGACTTCATTGTGCCCGTCGGCAATCCAAAAGAGCGCATGCTCGTGTCTCTACACATGCTCAGGTCCAGTCACCAAGGATAATCGCAAAACCATCAAGAGTGTTGAGACAGAGATCTCATGGATTGTATGTTTCACAAGCTGATCGATCGCCCCCCTCCCCCAAGGTCTGTGAACCGGATCAACATTGACGTGCGTCCGATCACCAGGTGACAACTTCTTTCATCACATACACCAACATCGAATACTTCCCGATCATTACAACCAAAGTATCGCTTCTCACTAGCACAGTCACTGTAAGCAGCGAGTTAAAGTGTCCCCGACTCCCTGGCGTTGTTGCATTGTGAAAGTTGCTGACATCGATGCTCGAACACCTCAGCAAGCGGAGATTGCGACTCATACGCGAAAGGTTAAGTGCACACTATCAGTCAGTGATTCTTCATTCTACCTACTAGCCACTATTGCGCCGGTCCCATCGCCGGTCCCAGTGTACAACGACAAATACGTGCTCGCGAACCCGCAATTCGAATGGTTCGCGGAGGATGGAGTCACGTTCGAGCCTCAGTATACCCGAGAAAAGGGCACTGCCAGCGTCTTCTTCCTCGATAGCAAAGGCCGCATCGTCACGCAAACATCCTATGGAGATCACTTCTTTGCCAGCGATGACTTTAACGACTTCGAGTTGGTGCATTTCCTGCCCCGCGGGTGGATACAGGCTCGCAGGCTTCACAACGGCGAAGACGTGGGGTTTGACTATGTCTATTGCACGATGCAGCCTCCGTCGGGGCGATACGCTGGTGGATTCAAGGAGTTGGCGTGCACGCAGGGGTACTTCAATGCGACGGTCTTGCAGTATTGTCCGTTGTATGACGAGTATTTCCGCACAGGAACAGTGCTTGGGGCAGAGTACAGTGCTACAACTCCTGATTGTCTGTTGGTTACGTACCTGGTGGTTCCTGTCTGCTAAAGAGAATTGAGCGATTTGGCGTTATTTTGGCAGGGCGATTGCTAGGTCCGGAGTTGCGGGGCCGGTTACTGAAGCCACAGGTCCCACTTCGCCGTGGGCGGCCTTCCGAAGCTGGTGCCGGTAATCTGCCATGCGCCAGGGCGTCGGGGTATTCACCAGGAGATGTTCTATAGATTAAAATACATGCGGTCTATACATTCTGAGTCTTTCTCAATGAGGCTCATCCGTCAGTTCGCAAAGCCCACTTAATTGAAAGCTGGTTCCCTGTCACCTGCCAGTTGGGTGACTGACTCGCAGGAACAGGACGCATCGGGCCGGGGGCGGGAAAGATTCAAACGTTCGTCCTTTCTCCGTGCTAGAGACACGCTGTTTGCCTCTGCTTCAATTCCATAATTATGTTCATCTTGGACGACACTGAGGAACCATGTTTAGATCGGAAGGGACGATCAGACCCGAACACGTGACGTCATACCATACACGGAAGGCAGGGACCCCAAGCTAGGTACCTACGTCATTCAACGTTCCCCAGTTGTTCCTGACAATCACTTCGCAGCCGATGTTGCTGCAGCACCACCAATCCAGCCTCACTGCGAAATCTGTTGAGCGCGGCATTTCGTAATATCTTCCCTCTTCTTCCTCATGCAACACGTCTCAAAGACAAATACATCACTCGCGAAGCCACACACACCAGGAACTCTAACCCAAGAAAGCCACCTTCCACTGGACATCGCGATACCAAACACCCTGTATCACGACACCCAACAATAATCACCATCATCATGGCAGAAATCGCAGCAGGCGCTGTCGTAGTGGAGCAGGTTGTTTCCACTGGCATTGAGGCTGGAGCGGCCGTCGCAGTGGCACGTCCAACACAGCCCTTGAAGGTGTCTTTGTCCCAGGTTGCCACCACCCAGTCCCCAGCATTCGACACGTCGTAAGTGAGATCACTCTTGTTTGGTGGACTTACTCTAATATTCAATAGCGCTCTTGCACGTTCCCATCACTCAGTCACCGTTGTCAACCACAAGGCATGCATTTTTGGCGGCGAGACGGCAGAGGGCCAGCTGGCCTCTACTGACTTTCATGTCCTCTCATTGCCAGCCATGACTAAGGGAGAGCCAGTCGCAGCTTATGCCTGCTATCCAGCATTTGCGATGCAAGATGCAGAGACTGGCAAGACCTATGTCCCTTCCCCGCGTTCAAGACATGCGGCGGCAGCCCGCGGCCAGTTCGTAATCGTCAATGGCGGTGCTGATGCTAGTGGAAAGCCCATCGACGAGACTTGTCTCTGGCTGTGGGATTCCGAGAGTTTGAAGTGGACCAAGATTCAAGGAGCAAGCCAGATTGGCAAGACCATCACGCCGAGATTCGACCACCACATCTTTGTCGAGCAGACCCAGGATTTCCTGGTCCTCCATGGAGGCAGGACCGCACCAGGACAGCAGGCATCTACCGAGACTTGGATGTATAACTTTGATACTCTTGCCTGGACAGCGTTGCCGCCTTCTCCTCAGCCTTCCATTGCCGCCGCGTTCGTGGACAACGTGCTTTATACCATTGGGGCGGACTCGAACATGAGCGGTGCTATCCACTACATGGACCTCAAGTCCAACGCCGAGGACCGCGAGAAGCCCGATGCTCTTCAGTGGAAGACTGTCAACTTCCCCACCAACCCACTCGCCCCTGGTCCCCGCCCACGCGAAGGCGGCGCTCTCGTGCCAGTCGATACCGGTGTTGGCCGACACTACCTGGTCTACATGTTTGGCGAGAACAGCACCTCGGCCGACAAGGATTTCTACACCGATATCTGGGCCCTTCAGCTTCCTACTCACGGCTTCAACGCGGCTGCTGTGAAGGATGCGATCCGTGACAAGCTGCCCCGTGTTGATTCTGGTGAGTTCAGTTGGGCAGAGGTGGAGCTCATTCCGACAGAGGAAGTCAAGGCGCAGGGAAAAGCGCACCCCGGACCACGGGGCTACTTTGGTGCAGACGCTTCGGATGGAAAGAGTCTCGTCTTTTGGGGTGGCGTAAGCGCGATGGGCAAGGAGGGCGATGGATGGCTACTTCAGGTCCAATAAGCTGTGTCTGATGAGGAAACATGTTGAACAAATAAGATTCCCCAAAAGTGTATTACTAGCCAATGACAGCAATAAATACTTGAGATATGAGGCAAGTCGACGTGCATTACTTCTTATACCTACAAGCGAACCGGCCGTAGAAAACACCGTCCGTCCACCTAAGGTATCTAGTACCCATGAGAAGGGATGCGCACGGCAGAGATCAGATGGGCTGCCCTCTACAGTGGGCCAAGATATAGGAGGGAGAGACGTACTTGCCGTCATCAACACAAACACTGCATTATGTGCCAGAGTGGGAGGTATTGGGTCGTTAATTTATCGATTCATTGATATCCAGCCAGCAGAAGGAACGACCTCCGCCGTATCGAGCGTACCCCCTCTTCATGGGCACCTTGACTTGCTAGTCCAGTACGAAGATGACATTTCAAGACAAGGCCTGATCGCTGATCTCCTTGCTTCATCAACCTCGGACGCTTGACCACGTACGAGCCACCCACTTTAACTCGGCACGTCCGTTCTAATCGAACCCATCTATTACGTCCGACGTGTTGTATACAGTCAAACTACCAGGACAAATTCCTTCTGATCAACCATCGTCATGGGTGGCGTCTTTAGCCGTTAGCCTCAGAAAATCACGGAAGAGAACGTTACCGAGGATCCTTATTACGATGTAATATCCACTTATTGCAACGTAAAAGACAGTGACTCTGCAAAGACAAAACGGGAAGCTGTGCTCTACATCGAGACAAAAGATCTGAAGCAAGTCTTACGCAAAGGGCTCGTTATCTCGGAAGACGCTGTTCAACCACTATCTGACTGCATCACGTTCGGAAAGTGTCGCAGGTACCTTCAAGAACAAGGCTGGATCCATGCCTGTCGGCCCATCTTGTCTGGGAAGTCGTGCGGCGGATGGACGGCCCATCTCGCGGTTGGAGCGGACGAAATCAGTCTATTTGCGGAATTTCGACTGGCCGATCTTGTTGGCCACGCGATGGAAGGTGGAGCCTTGAATAAGGATGATTTCATAGTGTCCGGAGGGGTACAGGGCTTTTGGTGCAGGTGAGAGCTCTGAAGCACGGTGTGGCCTTTGCTGGTTACTATTTTGCCGCGGAAGAGAAAGATTTCGGGGTCAGAGGATAGCGTCAATGGCGATGCGGGTCGTTTCAAGAGTCGAGTTACTCCGCTCGATGGAAAGACAATGAAGGGGCTAGACGGATGTCGGATCTTTGAAGTATTTGAAGGAATTGAAGGAATGGGCCGTGGAGGCGCTGCATGATTACGATGATGTCGAGATGATTGAGGAGGCTTATCCAGTGCGAACACTCCTGTTGGGCTCGAAGGTAGTAACGGTGACTCGGCGATGCCGATAGCATTGCATATCCGGTGCTCTCACATGTACACATACGCAATGTGACGAGTTTCTAGATGCATCAAGACCTGGCTCAAGATATACGCGGGTGGTTGAATAATTGTTCCACATGGGCTTTCTAGGCTTTTTCCAATACTTTGGACAGAAAAGAGAGGCGCAAGTTTATTCAAACAGTTTACTTTTGTAGCTATTCATACTGGGGATTCAGGCAGTTGAGCCTCCCTGATCATATACCTCATCAAATATCGACTCGAATACACCAACCCCTGCCAGCCTTTCACTCGTTTTGCTTATTTCAACAAGTGCCCTCCAGAAGCAACACCCTCAGGCTTCTTCCAATGCACCGGCACCCCGCCCCAACTCTCCTCAGCATACTGCTCTTGCACCTTCTGACACGTCCTCAACCCCCATTCCGTAACACCCACCATAGCACAGCTCTCAAACATGAAAGCGCAGCTCCCCGCGCCAACCTTGGTAGGCTTCAACTCGGCGTTCCTCGCGCCCTCACTACTCTCGGCGTCCGGACCGTGGCCGGACATGGTATTGTGCAGACTCGCGCCTCCCGGAACGAATCCGCCCTTGCCGCCCCGCTTGGCGTCGTAGCCGCCCGTGATGAGGCCCATGAACTCGGACATTGTGTTGCGGTGGTAGTACGGCGGGCGGAAGGTATCCTCGGCGACGAGCCAGCGCGGGGGAAAGATTACGAAATCGGCGATAGCGGTGCCCGGGACGCCGCTGGGGGCCGAGAGGACTGTGAAGATGGAGGGGTCCGGGTGGTCGTAGGAGATTGTGCCGATTGTGTTGAAGCGGCCTAGGTCGTATTTGTAGGGGTAGTAGTTCCCGTGCCAAGCGACGACGTCAAAGGGGGTGTGAGGCTGCGTGGTGGAGAAATAGTCGTTGTTGAACTTCACTGTGATGGTGTAGTTATTCTCCCCCTCGTGCGCCGTCGCGCCAAAGTCTTCGTCGAAGCAGGCGACGGGCACCTGGAAATCGCGCGCGTTGGCGAGGCCGTTTGTGCCGATGGGCCCCAACTCGGGGAGAACAAAGTGGCCCTGGTAGAGCTCGAGGGCGTAGCCGCGCGCCGGGCCGGAGGGGAGGTGGACTTGGTATTTGACGCCGCGGGGGATGACGGCGATCTCGAGGGGCCGGACGAGGAGCCAACCGTGTTCTGTGCGGATGTCGAGGGTTCCTTCTTGCGGAACGATGAGGAGGTCGCCGTCGGCGGAGTAGAAGGCTGCTTTGGAGTCCATGCTGCGGCCTGCGGCGTAGACGTACATGCCGATGCCTTGTTTCAGGGTCGGGTCGCCTGCGCCGGCGACTAGGCGCATGCCGGCGACGAAGTCCCATTCTTTGGACTCGTCATGGTCAAAGGGGTCCCAGCGGAGTTGGTTGGGGATGTATTGGAGCGCGGAGGGGAGGGCGCGGGTTTCCGGGGACGGGGCTGTTGTCGGGGCGAAGGGGTGGTGGGCGCAGGAGGGGAGGATGCGGTAGAGCCAGGCTTGTTTGCTCTCGTGGCGGGGTGCCGTGAAGGAGGTTCCGGAGAGCTTTTCGGCGTAGAGGCCGTGGGGGCCCTTTTGTGGGGCGTTTTGGCCGATGGGGAGGGAGTCGGGGACGGCTTCGGATCTGGGGTTGAGGAGGTGGAGATGTTAGCAAATCCGGGGAGAGGTTGCAGGGGAAGGGATGTGTCGTAGGCAAGACGAGGGTAGGAAGTGAGGTCGTACGTACTCAAGATGTGAGTCGAAGCCGACCTGGTAGCGGTACTTCTCCTTGAAGTCAAACGTTGTGACGGGCATTGCTACAGGCTTTTGTTTCTTGTGAGCGATGTGACAGATGGGCGAAAACGCAAGCTACGGGGTGTGTTGTTCTTGCGCAAAGAGCTGATGATGGAGATAAGAAATTGTCTTCCAACAATGTTTCTAGAGGAACACACGAGTTCAAATATCACTGCCGGCCTCCCCGCCTCACCCCCTCGGACCTTTCTGGATGACGTTTAGGTGAAATGCCATCCAATTCCTCCCAAAGCCGCGGCGGGCAGCTTGTCTGGTACCGGTATCAATATTCCGCGTTTGTGTGAGAGGGAAAGGCACGGCAAGACGCGGCGTCTGCCGACGTTAGCCGGGGTCCGTGCTTGCTCTTCTATGAACCTTGGACATTTCAATTCCGATTTCCGACAAGCTTACTCAGGACACTTTGGGTAAGACCGTAAGATGTTCACTTCGAGGAAGAAGACCCGGCCGTTAGTTCCGCTCAATTGTGCGATTCGGAGCGTTCGTTGGGGGGTTCGGCCACAGGCGATGTACTCATACTACTCTCTCGCTGGAGAATGGAGGCTCATCAGGCGGGAGATACCAATCATCTCAAGAGACACTGAGAATATGCGTTGAAGCAGTAACAAACTTCCTTCTCGATGGCCGCAGAAGTTTGTTAGTGCGCTATGGTTTTACCCCGCCATTCGTACCCCGCGACCAAGTGAGGGGGCTCTCTGTCATTGTTTGATAGACTATCCGGCATCGTCGTTTGAGTTCTAATTGTAGGTGTATTTGGCATTGATTTTGTCAATGTCAGCATCATCTCTTCTGCCACAAATATGAGTATCCGGTCAGGGTCTCACGGGTTTGCGGGTATTTCATGTGGAATCCACGGTAGGCCGCTACGGCGTGCAGGACCCTTGCTCCCCGGAGAGTGGGTCACGATCAATGCAGGCAAGCCGCGATGGGAGACTGTCACTCAAATCCACTCACTCGAACCTCAACCTTCGCCAGGCTACGTGATGTATACGATTGAACGCACCGATGGCATTATGTCATACTCGCTCAATGTTCTCAGCTTCAAGTGAATGATCAAGTGGAAGGTCAACGCATCAATTGAGCTAGGTACCCGAGCTGTCACCGCTAGACACCCCGCTCCATCGAGAGTCGACTCCAAATGTCCTCCTAACTTTACACCTCGAAGCATCGAGCTCCAAAGCAGAGATCCGAACCCATTGACACAACATCCGACGATATCTATCGCAATATCCCATTGCGCCAAGTCGCCTATTGAGCCAAAGCGAAGCAAGCAGTTTTACCAGGAAGTATTGGACCAGATATGAAGAAATAAAGTCAGGGAGGTTACTCCTCACCCTCGTTCTTCTTGTTCTTCTTCTTCTTGCCGCCACCACCGCCTCCGAGCTTCTCGATTGCGGGGTTCTTCTGAAGATGGACAACCAAGCGTGTCCAAGACTCCTCCTTGTCCCATTCAAAGCCAGCCAGGTATGGGTTGTCGAGCTCATCGTCAGACTGAGCATTCTTATTAGCAGTCCTTCGATACAAGGCTCTTGAGGTCGTGCTTACTCTCTTCTTATATGCCTTGTGGATGGCGTCCAGAGCATCCTTTATTGTTACTCCCTTGAGATTGCGTGCTGTTACTTCCATGCCGAGAGGGAAGTGCAGGTCAATCTTCTTGACTGGGGGCTTTGACAGATGCAGCTTGAGGATTTCCTTGTCCTCGACTTGCGATGATGAAGTGTTGATCTTCCTGTTTGGGGTCAGTCTGTTTTGTCCGATGAATGCCGACCGCAAACACCACCCAATGAATGGTGGGCGGCATAGCTGAGCATGATGGACCGAGTGAATGACAACTTACCATCCTGTCCGTTGTGTTTCCGGTGCGAGCTCAAGCTCAATCTTTTCTTCTTCTGTTGAATTGTTAGTCGTGTCCCGAAGAAGCCGAGTCAAGTCAAAGGCCAAGTCAGGTGCGGGGTTGAGGGAGTGACGTACCAAGGTCCTTGATGTTGTACACGCCAGGTGCAGCGGCGGATGATTGCCGGCGAGTCTTGGATTCCTTGGGTGGTGATTGAGAGAGACCTCCGACAGCTGAGTCGACCTTGGAGAGCGGTTCCGTCATGATTGCAGATGTTGTGTGTGATATGTTTGATCAAAGTTGATCGTGTTGGTTGTTTGTAGTCTGGGCCTTGTGTTAGCTGAGGGGCTCCAATGATGCTGATTCGATCGGAGCTCCAGCTCCAGCTCCAAGCTCTTCAAGCTTCAAGCTCCGAGGTCTTGAGGTCGAGGAACAAGACCTCTCTCGTGCATCCTAATGGATGACGGTTGGGGAGGAAAGGGGTGAAAGGGTAGCTACCTTTGTTGAACAGGTGATGTGTGGTTGTGAGATGGATGGTTGGAGGAGAAGTGGGATGAGGAGGGGATTAAGAAGGGCAGGAAAGGAGGGGGCAGGAGCCAGAGGAGGTAGATGGATGTCGATCCGGTCAGGCGCCTGACCTGGCGTGCGGGCCTGAGGTAAGGAGAGGAGAAGGGAGAGAGGGGTCTGTCAAATGTGAAGTATCGAGGAGAGGTATCTGATGTTACGATGCGCAGAATGAGGCGTGGAAGAATACTTGGTGATGTACATTGGTTTGAGGGTGTACTCGTATGTATTAGACGGAAAGTGGTGCTTGGGGCCCTGGGAGTGGTCGGTTTTGTCGGACCAGAGCTGGAGCTGAAGCGACTAGGCCACCTAGCAGAGCGAGCAGCCGTGCAGAGTTACTGAGAGCGAGCAGAAACAGCAAGCTCCCTGCATTGGCATTGGAGTGGCCGCCATTGTCGATGCATTACGGTTTCGTCAGACCGGGCGGGGTAACTGCCCATCAATGGCGTTGCCAGACGATCGCGTGACATGGAAGCTCATGAGATGCGCGCAGGCCTGCGAGGGAGAACGGCGAGGAACGGGCGGCAGGTGACGGGTGGTCCGGGCTGGGAGGAAGTGCAGCGCAGGGACCAGGGGGTAGGTAGACCACCTCAGGGAAAGAGAGAACCATAACCCACAGGAGCTCCTTCTCTCTGCTCACTCTGCGACCCTGGATGCTTTTCCTCCCATACCTTCATGGGCTCACACAAGGCAGGTACTCCTTCAATGATGAGGAAGGTACATGCAATCTGCTCTTGCTTCGCCTTGACTGTCCTACTGATTTCTCCACCTGCTCCTTCTCATCCATGACCTTTGCTCCTGCAATGGAAGTTGATGGTACCTGAACCAAGATGGCCCGACTGGTCTGGTTGGCTGATTGTCCGAAACGGGCATGGCACCGTCTAGGTTGAGCTACTCGAGGGGACTTCCTGACGGATCGGCTTTAGTGCGGTCTCCGAAGTCAAAAGTCTGGGGTAGAAAGTCTGGGGAAATGGCCAAAATGGAGAGCTTGAAGCTGCAGTCTGACGGTCCAGCGACGGTCGGGCCCACTCCTCCCGTCTCATAAGGTGCATGCACTTGCACTGGCTATGGGATGAAGATGGGTGCCATCAGGAAGAGAGTGTGAGAGGATGTGTGTGTGTGTGGGAGGGGGGCAATCTCGAGATCATCTTGATGCTTCTTTCTCATGAGCGAGATTCTACGCAAGATCTCCAGCCTTGGAAGCAGGCACAAGTTCAGGAACAGGGACAGGAATAGCAACAAGGACACAAACGCAGCTCGGCGTTTGTTACAGCAGTAAGACCACCGTCTCCGACCCGTCGCCGCGAAAATGAGCCAAGCGAACCGGTTTCCCGTAGTGGGGTCGCTGCTCTGTCGTGTACGGTGGTACCACAAAACAGCCCATCCCTCACCTGATTCACCACCCCGAACCTGTCGACAATAAGACAGCAACCAGAGCATTCGAGAGTTGAGAGAATGGTTTGCTAGTGACACTCTGCCGATGGGCGATGACAGACGGCATCTGAGATGTGTGAGGTGATTTGCTGGTCCCGTGAATATGCTTTGCTGGGGCTGCTGCTAGCAACGAATCGACGGCCTGCCCTCAAACGCCAGAGTTCGACCATCTCCTCACTGTGACACAGCTACGCGCGGGCAATCGAGAGCTCACACCACCTTCCTCGTGCCCTTCGTGCCCCCTTTGCCCCCCTCGATGATCCCACCCTCGATATAAGCCACGCGGATCCCGACATGTCCTTTTTTTCCAACCGACTCCTGGCAACATTTCTTCCCTCCACGGATTGTACGATGCTTTTGTTGATTCAGTGTCCTGTATTGCTTCCAGATTCCGTCCATCGTTGGTCTGTTATTTATATCACTTTTCGCTAGAGCACCCCACCATGACCTGCTCCGTTTCTCGATTTCTATCCCCAACTCTCCTAGAGTCACAAACACATTGCGCGTATACCAACTGCAGCTAGGCGAAGCAACAGTAGCAGCATGTCGTCACGGTCCCCACATTCCCGCGCCAGCTTAGCGTCTCACTTCGTCTCGTCTCGCACGCTTCACACGTCCACGTCCGCATCGGTTCTGTCTCTTCAGTTTTGGTCTCTTTCAGTCTCTCGAGTCCCTTCCCGTGCCCTGCCGGCATTCCTCGTTCCCCGCTTTCGCTTCCGTACGTCGTGAAGACCCCACGTCCCAAGCACGCGACAAGGCCATGTTCACGCTATCGCGGCCCGTCAGCTGTCCGATCGGAAACGCATTTCCAGTGTCTCGAAGTTCACCTTTCGCCTTTCGCCCTTCGCCACCATCTAGATACGCCCGGAACGGCATCTTGAATTCCCATCCTCGATTGTGAAAAGACCGAATGGACCGTGTAGCACTCTTATGATTAAGCCGCCCTTGAAACACCCTCTGTAAGTATGGGAGTATCCCCTCCACTGACCATGTAGATGGGCTACCGCCGTCCCGATGACATCGAATCCCCGAGCATGAAGCCAGCATGAATACGATGCACTAGCGGCACAGCAACCCACAACGCCAGTCACGGATGACCCAGCCAGCTGCAGCTCCACCTACATAGCTTAGTCGCCAGCCCCAGTTCCCTCCGAATCGCCTTGTTGATCACCTCGCCCACCCGCCCTCCCGGCATTCCCCGTTTGAAGAAGATGCGGATAGAGAGTAAGATGGGCAGCTGTGAATAGGACTGAATGGTTGTATGCCGAGATGCCCCAACCCGTTTGCAATAATGTCACTGACAAGTCCATGGCAGATCGAGGCAAAGTCGGCTTTGTGGTTATAGCCTTTGTATCTAGAGTCTAGACAGCACGCCGACCCTTTCGGATATCGACAATGAGACACCTTGCCAGGTCATATCAAACCACGACCTCGCCAAGCGACGAATCGCTATCCAGAAATGCCGTACGACAGGAATATAGCACGAAAAATGGACATGGCTGGTTGAAGAATGCATGAATTCTTGAAGAACAGCATGTCTGAAGCTTGAGCTCGGAGTCATTGAGCGGCATGAGCAGATGGATTTGGGAACTCTGGTCATACAGGAAGGGCAGCGTCTGTGCTTCATATAACACGTCTTATCTTATCAAAAGCAAATCAACACCCCTATCTCCCTTATCGCATCTTAGTCATCAGTGACTCGTCGTCATTCCGACCCTGTCCCCCTCGTGCCCCTCCCTCCGTGCCGCGTTCAGTTCCTGCGGAACCCAGCGAAGGGCGTTTGCTATGCTTGACGTGAACTCTGTCCCCGACCACCGCCCGCTTCAACCAATCACTCTCTCCCTTGGCTGATACCGCTGCCCGCAACCACCCAATCGCAGTCTTGTTGGCTTCCATCTCTGGATCCCACCTGCGGACTACCATCTGATATCGGACTGCGCCGGCCGGCTCTTGTCGTCGCCATGTCATTCGTCACCGTCGCCGCGGCGACCTTGCCCAGTGTCCCTCTGGACTTCAAGGGAAATCGCGACCGGATCCTAGAGTCTATTCGCATCGCCAAGGCTCAGGGAGCTACACTCAGAACCGGCCCAGAGTTGGAGATTCCCGGCTATGGCTGCCTTGACCACCACCTTGAAGGTACTTACGACCAAACCTAGGCGAGCCTCTCGAGGATTCATGGATGAGGTTGAGCTAACAGCTCCCTAGGCGATACCTTCCTCCACAGCTGGGAAGTCCTCGCCGAAATCATCAGCGATCCCATCTGTAAGGACATGCTGATTGACCTTGGCATGGGAGCCCGCCACCGAAATGTCCGTTACAACTGCCGCGTACTCTGCACCTATAAGCACATCTACCTCATCAGGCCAAAGGTACGTGCCCCATCTCCCCTTTCGGAACCACTTGAACTCACATCGACAAGCAAAGTCTAGCCAACGATGGCCTCTACCGCGAAGCCCGGCACTTCACGGCATGGACAAAGCTCCGAGAGGTCGAGACCTACTACCTAGAGGCCGTGGCCGCCGAGGTCACCGGCCAAAAGTCGGTTCCTATTGGTGACTTGATTCTCAGCACTCTTGACACCGCCGTTAGTTGTGAAACTTGTGAAGAGATGTTCTCGCCCCTTAATCCTTCAACGTTTCTCGGCCTCAACGGCGCCGAGATCATCCTCAACAGCAGTGCCAGCCACGCTGAGCTTCGGAAGCTCAAGACACGGCTCGATCTCATCTCGAACTCAACGCGGAAGTTGGGCGGTATCTATGTGTATGCCAACGCGACTGGCGTCGATGGCGAGGCGCGCATGCTGGTATGGCCACCAAACCATAGCAAATGTGTTCTAGCAGCTAATCTGAAATCTAGTTCGATGGATCTAGCATGGTGCTCGCTAATGGCAAGGTCCTCGCACAATCCTCCCAATTCTCTTTGAAGCCCGTTGAAGTCATCACTGCCACTGTCTCTGTAGAAGAGGTCAGAAGCTACCGCTCCAGCATCTCTCGAAACGTGCAGGCTGCTGCCCAACCTGACTTCCCTAGAGTCGAATGTGACTTGAGACTTACGAGACCCGCCGACGAAGTGTACCTGTCAGATCACCTCCAAATCGCAAAGGAGATCGAGCTTAAGATCCTCGACCCCATGGAAGAGATTGCCTTGGCGCAAGCGGTCTTCCTCTGGCAGTACCTCTGCCGCACAAACTCCCCTGGCTACTTCCTTGCCCTGAGTGGAGGTCTGGATTCCTCGACGGTTGCGCTCTTCGTCTACAGCATGGCCAAGCTTGTGCTCCAGTCCATTGACGCCGGAGAGATGTCGACATTGGAAGACTTGAGACGCATCACTGGTGACAAGACCTTCATGCCTGAGACGCCGCAGGAAGTTGTTTCGCGCTTGCTGCATTCGTGCTACATGGGAACTGTCAATTCTGGAGACGATACTCGAACAAGAGCCCGTCGCCTTGCAGAGGTACTCGGGGCCTTCCATTCCGACATTTCAATCGATGAGGCGGTTCAAGCTCATGAGGCTATCATCGAGAAGACACTCAACTTTAAACCTCGGTATGGTGTTGAAGGCGGCACTCCTGCCGAGAACGTGAGTGGTCTCCTTGGTTGTCCCAAAAATGGTACTGAAGATAGTACGGGGTTCTAATTGTTTATCTAGCTGGCCCGGCAAAATATACAGGCAAGAAACCGTCTTGTGGTCCAGTACGAGCTGGCACAGCTGTCCACAACCGCAAGACAACTTCCAAGAGCCGGCGCAGCACTTCTCGTGTTGGGCAGTGGCAATGTCGATGAGAACTTGCGTGGATACTACACCAAATAGTAAGTAATGAACCATTATGGTCGTGCAAGAATCACCTAGAGCTCACCATTATTAGCGACGCCTCGTCCGCAGATATCGCTCCGCTAGGAAGCATCTCCAAGACGGACGCCAAGAATTTCCAAGCTTGGGCTAGAGATCAGTGGGATTTGCCCATCATGTCCGAGTTCCTCGAGGCCACGCCATCAGCAGAGCTTCTTCCTCTATCTGCCGGAGTCCAGGACGATGAAGCGGACACCGAAATGGGTCTGACATACAGGTGAGTCTACGAGACACTGTAAGCCACGACACAGGCACTGACCAATTCTGCAGCGAACTCTCCGAATTCGGTATCCTGAGAAAGGTACACAAGCTAGGCCCGTGGTCTACGTACCTCCGACTCCTCGGAGACTGGAAAGAGAGGCCGGGCTACGGCCCCCGCGAAATCGGCGAGCGCGTCAAGAGGTTTTTCCGCTTCTACTCCATGAACCGCCACAAAGCCGTCATCCTCACGCCCTCGCCGCATCTCTCGGCGTACAACCCCGACGACAACCGCCACGACCTCCGTCCCTTCTTGTACGTCGTCAACTGGCCGTGGCAGTTTTCCAAGATTGATGCGCATGTGGAAGAGCTTGAGAAGAAGATTGCGGACAGGGCGAGGCCGGCGGATGTCCAGTTTGACGCGCTCGATTAGGAGACGAGACGCGAGTTGCTGGATGACGCTCACAGACGGATGGCGAGTTGAGGAATGAGATGATGCGGGAAGGCTTGATGAACGCTCCAAGGTTTCAAGGTTCCAAGGAGAGAGCGAACTTTCGGCTCCCGCCCTCCGCCACCTTGACAACCCAAAGCCGGCCCACTCAGAACTTCTGGACTGAAAGATGATACTAAGGCCCTTCTGTATTGAGAAATTTCGTCCTCCTAATCCTCAGCGATGTCTTTTCATCCAGTCTTATACGCGAGGGTACATCCTCTGGCCAAGGTTCGCTGCCCATAATGATCGATGATGACACGAATGACATGGCTCGCCGTCGCGTGCAAATCCGATTCCTTCACGACTACTTTCAGTGTACATTCGTCTTGGTCGTCCAGACGGAAATGGATCAGTGGGTCGAGCAAGCATGTATCTTGTCCGATTTCCTTCTCCTAAACATCTTGGAGTTTTTCAACTACGATACCCGCCAAGTTACCAGTACTATTGCCGAGTTTACACAGCTTCTTGCCCCGATCTTTAATACGGATGTCACCTCTCGCGTTAAAGCTGGCATGCAGTCATTTGATGATTCGGTTGGACTTCCTTGCTCAGACGACTCCATCGCCCAGAACACAATGGACGACTGGTTCCGGGTGATCATTTGGGGTCTCTACCAGCTGGTATTATTTGAATCTTCACCTGTTTCCCGTGTATTCTTAAGCGTATAAACTGATGCCAGATACAGAACGAGATGCGAGAAACCACCCATGCCGACGCAGCAGACGAAGACAATATGAATGCAACTACTTGCCACATTTCACATCCGTGGCAAAACGGTCCTAGAGGCTTCGGCCCCCAATCTCAAGACCTGGCAGCTGAGCTGCACTAGGAGAGGTGGAGAATTAGGAACTGATCTCGAAACGATGCATGATGTACCTCCCTGGACGCCAGTAACTCCTCGGAACAACTTTGTGTACCACTGAAGCGCCGGCCACTATACTGATATTATATGGCGCGAGAGCTTTGCGAATGCGCCTTTCTGTTCTATGGCTGCTATTGCTAGAACCAATTAGATGTCGCCTTCACCTCCTGTCAGTGTCGTGTCCACGACTTTCAGTCCTCTACGAGCGTACCTTTCGGCAGCGTTTAATCCTTACCTGCAAAGCATGATTTCTGCTCGGAATACCCTCCCAAAAGTTCAGGCGAAACGGACTAATGGTGGTGCAGAGTACTCAGGAGTAGTCTTGTTCCAATTCAACACAATGCAGCCCGCACCACCTGGTCCTACTCACTATAATATCGAGGAAGGCAAAGAAGAAGCCTGGGGTGCCAGGTCGCTCAGAGACATCAATTGTGCTCCTGAGGAAGTCCCTTGGGGACGCTTCCGCGAGATTCACGGCCAGGAGGGTAGCGTATGGCCTGATGTCGTTCACGTTTTAGAGTACGGGGATCAGCTTCGCCAACTCACTCAGCCTGGAACAAATATGTGGCGTAATACTTGAAAATACAGGAGAGCGGTCACATATCTGAACTCGAGGCATCAAGCTATTTTTGCCATTTCTTTGGACATCCAGACTTCAGCCATCAATTGCGCAGCAAGGCAAATCCAAGGATGGTGATATTGATGACTGCAAACGAGAGGGTAAGATGAAGGAATTCTGGAGGAGGCTGCATCAAAAAACTTCGAGAGATAATCTGATCGACACTTTCAACACCTGGTCAGAGAGCTCTCAAGGTAAATAGTCAGTATCATAAATCATCGGGGCAGCCATTAAGTATATGTGTTGGTACACATGTCAGCAGGGCAGCTTGAGGGCCGACATGAAACTCAATAATCTTGATAATCTTGATATCAAACTGCAAATGTCCTAAGTAGCCGCTGGATGGAAGGGTCCTTTGCACGACCCATACCCCATTCCAAATCCACCTTTTCTGCCGTCAATATTCCAACATCATGTAGTCCCCTTACGGTATGCGTCTCTCACACGATTAGACGTACGCAAGAACTCTTCTTCCCACTCACTCATTCACGGCCCTGGTGGCCTCTCTTCGCTATTGTCCAACAGTGTGCCATGAAGTCCCGCACCTTTCACATCTCGCGACGAAAATATAATAATTGTGTTTTTTAGCCGATCTGGCAGCGGGTCTTCGCCTCCAGTATCCCGTAACTCGAGGTGTTCGGACAGATGGACGTTAAAGGGAAGACGCAAAATCGTCGAGAACTTGCTGCTGTACGAAGAGCCCGCCACGGCTACAGCCCAACTCCCAATTGTGATGGACAAGGCAGTGATTCCCACAGCAACCCCGCAGGCTATCCACAAGAAGACTACCGAGTAATTGTAGATGTTCTGCCACGAGTCTGTCTCGATGTTGACTCGAATTGGCTCGGAAGGACTGATCAAGGTTGTCAGTCGATAGTCTCCAAGGCTGGTTCCCATGGCATTGTGTGTTTCTCGAGGAGCAAGCAACTTACTTAAGGTCGGCTTGCGATATGAGACTCAGGGTAACATTGAGAAACATCTCCTCCCGCAATGCAGAAATTGCGCGATCGCCTTCTGTTTCATTGCTAGACTGCTTCCCAAACCCCCTCAAGTTCTTAGCCAAATTTGTTGTTCCCGCCTGCGTGTGAACAAAGGGCGTGTCGTGCGAACTATACCATTGGAGCAAAACGTTCCCAATCAGCATGGACGAGAAGGCGTCCATGACCGCTTGAAAGGGGACACCAGCGACCTTATCGAATGTGGTCGTCGATTGGTCAATAAGAGAAGAGAGCCAAGGGTCGCTAGGCTTATTCATTGTTTTCGTGGTCCTAATCTCCTGAATTCCGGATCGATATATAAAGTCGGTGTGGTATGAAGCGCTGTACAAGGTGCACTTCGTGAATGAATCAAAACCTATCATGGATGGGGTCCATTCGTCCTCGCCTGAGTGGCTATCGGCAACGTGTAAGGTGATCGGGCCATTCTCAGGCCCAGAAACCGTATCTTTGGTGTAGTCGTAATCTCCCGAAAATGGTGAATGGTCTGTAGTTGATCCTGGCATCCAGGATATGTACTGGTAACATTGTCCAGCCCCAAAACACCAATCCTTTGCTATTTCAGTAATATTGATGCGCAATTCGTCATCTGGACCTATAGCAGAGCACTGAAGGGCTGGGCCTTCAAAATCCAGACTCCAACTGGCGTTGCCGCAGGCAGAAGCCATTGGAACCATTGAACCTGATACAAGTGAGCTTATTGCTGCCTTTCTAACTCCATCACTCGGTCCTGCGTATTCTACGTAACTTATCATAGCTATTATTCGTGCAAATGACCCACTGGTGAAGCTGATGCTGGGGACCGGTCCAACTATCACGCTCCTTGCTACAGCTGTGTCGGATTGGAAGTCCAATTCGACCTCGAGGCAAGGGGCCCGCCCAGGGGCCACTTACAGACCGTACTTACGAGAGCCACAGTCTGCCCAACCTACGGTTGGAACCTCCCTTTTACACCCCTTACGCAGAAGTTAATATATATCAATTTGACCTCTTCGTCACCCACGGTTTGAACCAACTACCCTGTGATAGGGATACCAACAAGCTGCCTTGACCGTCAGCGTGGCCGGAGTGAGAAGGATGGCAAAAGGGAGAAGCCTAGGTCCCTAGTCAGGAAAGAATTTCGTGCAGAAACACTTCTTGAGTCTATTAGGTATTACTCACCAGAAGAGAAGCGACAAAAACATGGAAAGTGGGTATCGCAGCCAAAGCCTGGCATCTAAAATGCTCAGAGCATTAGACTTGGAAGCCAATAAGCCGTCAATTAAACGGAGCTTTGAAGGATGTGTCTTGAGAGTATTCCAGGCATGCTGCTCCTGCGCCGTGGATATGGCCATGCTGAGGAGGATCTTGGACATGGAAGCCAACAGCGTCCCTATGGCAATGTTGAACTGCTGGCTGGTGACGCTGCCCGCCGCGCTAAAGTCGTGGTAGGTCTCTAATGAGGACGACATTCCGGCTAGGCCCCCGTAGAAGCAATGATGAGCAACTGCAAAGCCGCCCCGCCCAACATACTGAGGCACATTGTGAGTGGGGCCTTCCAAGCATGTAGTTGTTGGCTTCTCGACGCCCCTTCTTTTTCCGAAGTTGACATTGCGACTATCTCATGAAGGCGGCACACGAGTCTGTAAGTTGGTTCTTAAGTGTAATCATGAAACGTCCAGTGAGGAGTGGAGAGATGCCAGCAAAGCCTATTTATCTGTTCAAGTCGACATGTGCCGGAGGCGAAGAAGGTATGCTGGGCTCTTGCATATGCACGTATGCGGATGGGAACTACAAGAATAGGAACTACAAGGCCTTGTCTTGGTACACTGCCGCTGTTGGGAAAGGCGTCGGCGCGTAAAGGAATTAACGATACACCTAGGTGAAATGTATAGGCACGTCAAGTTAACTCCATGAACATCATAGTTGTATGTGTCTCACAGAGGGTACCTGTGTCCAGGATTCCAAATCTCCGATTTTGCGAGTTTGTACTATCCTTCATTAATTTTCTGGTCAAAATTACAAACATATCATTTCTTCCCGTTCGAAATGTAGCTGAAACATCCTTCTGGAACCTGGCGTATGGCTGCTTCAGAATCGAAATTGGTGAAGGTGCTCTGTACTGCGCCGCCACGGCGCAGGATTGCACCAACGGGGGAAATACATGCAGAGCGGTTGGAAGAGGCTTGGTGGGGCATAGCGTGCAGGTGAGCAAGTCGGAAAAAACCAGAAACGACGTTGTACTCGAGGGAAAGAAAATCCTGTTGACAATAGCGCAGGCGTGAGAGAAAGAGAGGCGATGGAGAGCAAGGGCAGAAAAGAGAGCGTGGGCGGCAGCGAGGTGCAGAGCGAGGGCGAAACTGTGATGTCCCTTTTGAGGAGAAAGAACTGGCAAACAGGCAGGAAACGGTCAACTGGTTGGTTGGCAGGGGATCCTAAGTTTTTCAAGTGGTATGGCCGCAAGAGCTGGTTGAGGGCATTCCCCCTGCAAATGTTGGGATGTTCAGCCCTTCGTGGACATTGCATCAGATTCTACCGAATCGAGGCCATACCAAGTAGTTATAGAATTCGAGATGAATACACAACCATGAACTGCCTCAGCTACGACTTGCTTGTGATAGTCATTGAAAGTCGGCGGTATACAGTCACTACGTCCGCACACTGTAGTCAGTCCACAAAACCACCAAAAAATGGATCGTAAACGCCAAAAACATACAACACCAGGTATTCGCTGGTCGTCACCGACCCAACTACTAATCCGGCCCTCATTGGCTTGTCTATGGGAGAGCGGACGGGATCCCGAATTTTCCAATGGGTATGGTCGTATGTGATGGTTGAGGGTATTCCAAGCGTAGATCATGGTAGTACCAGGGAGATCCCCGTGGAGTTGTGTGTGCTATGAAACAACAAGTTTTCAAGCAGATTAATAATAGAAATGAACCATTGATCCTATGTTACACTCAACTACCTTATGTAAAGGCTCTGGCAAGGTAATCAGCAACCAGACCCGCATTACGGCCTCCCTTCAACATCGTGAAATGATTCGCCCCGGAGATACGATCAACAAAGGTATTCTCTTCGCCCCCAAGCAAAGCCTCCCACCCATTCAACCCAAAACTGGTCCTATCCTACAGAGGCTATTTCATCTCGCGAGGGTCGTCTTCACTGTACACTGAACGAGGATCCTCAGGATTCTTGCAGACACCGTCTTCAGAGGAGATAGGCTCGTGGCGACAGAGGCAACGGGCCCTTTAGGCCCTTCCCGCCTTCGAAAGTTTAAAGTGTAATCTCCCTAGGCACGGAGACGTGGTTATCGAGCGCTTCCATAGACGCCAAAAAGTGCGTCAGAAGCCACTCGGGCGCCTTGCTACCTCCTCCCGCTGCGCCGTGGGGATTTTCCGAGCCAAAAACGTTTTGAGCGTCGAGGAAGTCGTACAACCTGGGAGGAAGCTTTTCCAGTCCGATTGGGCTAGGTGAGTCGATCAAGATAAGCCGATCAACACGATGGTTGGCTCTAGTGAGCATTAGGGCTACTTCACAAGCACAGATGCCGCTGGCGGACCATCCACCGAGATCGTACGGCCCCTGCGGCTGCCGTCTCAGGATCTCAGACACGTATAGCTCAGCTAGGCGGCGGAGACCGAACTCGACTAAGTGTTTCGCGTCCTTGAGCCAGGGACAGTTCAGGCCGTATACAGCAATGTCGCCATCTGGAGGGACGGTAGCGAAGCATATGATGTGGCGGAGCCGGAGCCGTTGAGTAGCAGGAACAGGGTTGAGCGCGCTCGTTTCGTGCTGCCTTGAAGAAGCGTTGATGTGGCTCGGAACTGGTAAAGTGGAATGTGGGCACGAGAGACGCTTCTCATATCTTCGTCCACGGCCTTATTAATCTCGCTTTGTTCATCGTCGCTGGGGAGGGTGGTAGATGTGTCTGGCTCGCTTTCTGTTGGAGGGCCACTGGCCCCGCTGTCACCGCTACTGGTGCTCGTCTCGCTGACAGTAAAGCCCAAAAAGGCCTTGAGTTGACCGAGCGTCGGCCATGTTATGAAGGCCGAGAAGTCCACATCGATGCCCAGGTCCTCGCGCATGCGACCTGTGAGGGTCAGGGATAGCATGGAGTCGACGCCGTGGTCTGCGAGCGGAAAGTCGTCGTCGTTAAGGTTGCTGAGGGAAAGGCCGATTTCCTGACAGGATGCGGAGAAGGGGCCTCAGTTGGGAAGATGTATCATCTGCTGCTGACGATGGCAGCAGGGATGTGGCACCGATTGCAGGACAAGATGTAACAGGTATGCCTCCTGGTGCTTCCGAAGAAGGGCGAGACATCAGAGACGGCTGTGGTCTTTTTCGATGTCCTCGAAGTGCTTCAAAAGGTGCCGCTCCAGGCGGAGGCAATACGGTGCTGAGAACACGCCGTGGAAGACCTTGAAACTGTTGGAGAAGGCCGTCAGGACAAACATCAAACAAAGGCTGTGGTCATAGAAAAAAGGGCTGACCATGATATCGCCGTACACGCCCATGATGGTGCTGTTTTCATCTTAGATAAACAAATCGCCTGCAAATTTGGTGTCATCGACAGGCCTCATGTAAATGTAGGTGCGGTAGGTGGTGTCCTCTTGGAAGTCTCTGGCCAACTCCATAGACTTCCATCCGTGGTTCACATAGACGTAGTCTCGCGGTGTGGTTTGATGGCAGTTCATGAGAAATCCAGTCGCCTGCCCGCAGTTGTCAATCCAAGTTGGGTTGCAGTAGAAGCTTCCACAAGGGCCGCGAAATCGGACCTTCGCTGTGCTCTCGAGCTCTTCACTGTGCAAAACCACTTCTCGTAATCCTTTGAAGCCATCTTTGTGGTAGTCGACCAGCGAGGAAAAGACTCTGAAGATCATACCCGTTGCAAGCGTGCTGTCAAGTCCTTGGGTTGCTCGGTTCTCGAGATACTCGATACTGCGTTTGATTAAATAGGCTTGACGATCCCACTCCGCTCCCCAATCTTTGGAATTCTTGAAACACATCCCGCAATCGACATGCTTTGTGTCAGGCCCGTCGTGATGAGAGCCACCGCTTCGAATTGACATGGACGCCATCATGGTGTCGACTCGATAGTTCACTTCAATACAGAAAGGCGTGAAGATCGATACACCGCTTGCATCATCTTTCAGGATAAGGGGCTTGTAGACTTGCATGTGTTGAACATTGACTGCGTAGCCCACCAAGTCTGGACGGTGACTGCTAAGGATGTAAATGCCCAGGAGAAGGCCAACGTCGGCATACAGAGACGAAGTACAGACTTTGACACCGTTGACGAGATGGCCGTGTGCGATTTCAGCCAGCAGAGGACTGGCGAGATCTGACTCGGCCAGAAGCGTCAAGTCTTCGCCACAAAGACTCTCCCACACAAATTTTTGAACAGAAGTTGTTGAAAGGGAGGAGATTGGAGACGCCGTAACTAGGCTCTGCATTGTGGTCGGGGCGTCACCCTTTGTGAGCGACCAATCATGTACATATTGAAATTAGTAGGCTTTGTGGTCCAAGCTGTAGGAAGGCACGGCGGAGAGAGGGGATGGCCAGAGTGTTTTGCCCCAGGCTTGCCTTCTAGAATGCCGAACAGGCGGTGTGAGGACCGATTTCAATCCACAGAGTGTCCCCACTGGTGCTAATCAAGCTCTCGCGCTCTGCAGTCTTCAAAGCCCCTTCGAAGTTGACCGTCTTGCGGCAGTGGCGCTGCATATGGAGTGGACCGATGGAACCATGATCTCCAGGGTGAATGATCGAAGCCTCAAGGGCGCAGAGCACAGGGACCTGCGGAGAGTGGACAGTCACTCGGGAGGCCGCCACATCGAGGTCGGGGAGAATAAGATCCACCTGGGCAGAGTGGAAAGCAAAAGGAACCTGAACGCGAGTTGCCTTGATGTTGTCCGCTGCAAGGTGCTCGGCCAGCTGATTGATATCGGCGACCTTACCACTGATGACGACCTCCCGTGGCCCATTGATGCAGGCGACCTCGTGAATGTTTGCGTTCAAAAACTGTCGAATCTGCAAGACTGATACCCGAACCGCGAGCATTGTGTGGCAGCCTGCCTCGCACTTGTCAAGAAGCAGTTGCGCCTTCGTGCCCATAAGGTAGATGGTATCGCTGGCTGAGAGAACACCAGCAACATTAAGTGCGGCATATTGTTCGAGACTATGCCCGAAAACGAAATTTGGCTCGATACCAAATGATTTCCACAGCTTTGCTATAGCAATATGTAGGCAAGCCAAGCTCAGCTGAACCTAGACGGGGCTCGAAGTCCCAACCTCTGCCTCCCCGGTAATGAGCGGCAAAATTGAGGGAAATCCCTGAGATTGACCGATGCGGTCATATTGACAAAGGAACGAAGGATACCACTTCCCCGAGTCGGACGGTTCCAAGGCGCGGCAGCCCTCGAAATGTGGACGTTTCGTTCCGCAAGATCTGTTGGGAAATTGTGGTTGATTTTTGTCTTGATGCCGCAGTGGGGCGGAATTGTATTGTTCTGCAACATGAGCAACGTCTTGATCAACGCCATCACTCCAGGTGCAGACTCGGCGTGTCCAACATTGGCCTTAGCTGGTCCAAGATTCAGGCTCTGGTGAGGAGAGCGACCGCCACGACCACTCGTGGGAGCGAGAGTCTTCAAGACAGACGACATCTCGGTCGCGTAACCGGCTTGCGTGCCTGTGCCGTGCATCTCGATTTAGCTAATATCATATGGATCGACTCCTCTTGGAGGAGCTGAGAGAAGATGTATTCTTGGGGTTCAAGTGAGGTCTTGTGATGGAAATAGTTTCGGCAGAGTAGTTCGTGTATGCCAACTGTTTTGTCTCCTTGAGGGAGATGTGGAAGGAGTTGGCATCGAAGCGATCTTCGAGAATTTTTCGATGGACGTCACGGCCCTGATAGAGCACATCCCAGAACTCGTCGAGGTTAGCTGCATCGGGAAATCTTCCAGACATTGCCACAATTGCAATCTTGGAGTTATGTGGCCGGCCTGAGCTGAATCGAAGTGGCTGCTCTACTGTTTGAAACAGAAACGATGTGGAATTGGCGATGGGAGAATCCATGCTGCAACCTCGAGAAACTGATGGCTCCAAAGACGACAAGATGCTGGAACCAAGGCTGGAGCCGATAGGCCGGAGGACTCTGTGGGTATTGTTCGTGTCGGATAGGATACTGGCCACTGAGTGTGAGACTTTTGTGATATTCAATGGGAGAGTGAGCATATCTTTGACACAACTTCGAAGTAGCTGGGTCAGATGTAAAGCTTCCAAAATCTTGCCACTTGCCCCAGAGATAACTGGGGTACGGGACGAGAAGAGGGATATTGTCCCGGAAGCCACAAGTATCTCGTCGATATTAGTCTCGGTGTAAAGACGCGGAGCGGGCTATGGCGCGTAGATAGGTACAGACGCGGCGTCCTTCGGGGAAGAAAGCAGAGTCTTTGATAATGAACGCCAGGCCTTGATACAAACATTAGTTTTATGGGTTGCTTCGAAAGAATTAGGATAGAGTCTGGAAATAACGTACTGTATCGTCCCTAAACCTCCTCGGAGTATCCTCGGCCGATGTTATCGGAAAGTCTGACTTTGAAACGGCGACAGACCAGCGAGCGAAGTCGTTCGTCTTTACCAAAGCAGCGTCGAAGAGTTTCGCAGTGTGAAGCACACGCAGCCCCAGCCGGAACGTGACACGCATGGTGTCGACACCAGCGACTAGTAAGTCACTCAGAGACTGCGAGTAGCTCACTGCTGCGACTGCAAGAGAGCCGATTCATAGTCCCACTACATGGTTACCATACGCTCGAGGGTATGAGCGACCAGGGCAATCATAGAATCTGGATTGGAGGATGTCAGCAACGCTAGTGTGGTCCTAGCTATGTGGGGAGGAGATCGAGTGATTTGACGTATGTTTTGCTAATTTCTTGGAGATTCTGTGGTGGACGTACTGTATAGGTGGACGTACTATATAAAAGCACTCAGCTGGTAAAAACATGCGAGAACACTCTCCGAAGCCGGGTTCTTTGCCCCTTGTTGAAACTTGGAAACGAGATCTCCAACATCGACGAAAGGAGGGAAAAGATGCCGCTCAGTGGCCGACAAGGAAGAAATTTCTTCTTGAGAGAAAGCTTTACCCGATCAGTGAAAGCTGTTAGATATGGACTGTTCTTATTCAGAAGAAGTTCTTGTAATGCCGGCGCAAACCTCGCGGTCTGCTCTCCAAAGAGAAAAGCTTCGCACAAAGATTATGGGCTACTTGTTGAATCCGTTATAGAGGTGGAAAAGTATTTCAGACGAATTTTAAATGTTGTCAGAGAAAGTTGAGGAAATGACTGAAAGGTGCATACAAGATGTCGTGGGACTTATTTCTTGTAAGTTACTTCGGTATCTCGCCCCGAGCGCATACAATCATCTGACCAACTTGCTCGGATCTTGATCCAAGGACGCAAGCTCATGCTGGTAAGTGCGATTATCTCTGTAAACTCATTGTGATAACAGCAAATAAGTCACAAGATGGCTCCTCATGTGGACATCCCTTCAAGTCCCGAGTACACTGGCGAGCTGGGCCAGCCGACTAGTCTGATTTGTCTGACTATCGCGGCTTTCCGCAACCCATCACTTGGCGAGGAGGAATATCGGCAGTGTATGACCAAAGTACATGCGTGGCTCGTGAGCCCCTTAATGGAGGAGTATGGCATTCTTCGGTACACTATGGTAAATAGGGACCCATTGTCCCCTGGTCATGCCATGAAGCTGAAGCTTGTCAATTGGCAAAAGACACACAACACCAAAGAGACGAGGCCGATGCTCTTTCAGCTTTACCATCCGCAATTCTCGAAGCTGTCATAGTATGACTCCATTGTGCAATTCTTTTTCAAGAATATCGAGAAATTCAAACGTATGAAGTCCGATCCCAGATTTGTGCGAGACGTTGCCCCAGATCACGTCAAGTTTGCAGATACTAAACGTTCAACATAAGTAAACGTGGCTAACTGATCATTTTGCCTCCAGCATACGACTGAAAAGCCGACTTCTCACTCTCACAGCATGATAGTCGGTTATTTTGGAGAGTGCGTGATAGATGGATGGCAAAGCAGTAGCAAAGGATTAAATGGCTCGGATATTTCTCCCTGAAAGCCTTCGGCGATGCCATTAGTTTCAACGTTTGTTTGCCCGCTACAAACCATCTAGAGATGGTGCGGACTAAAGACTTCTTGACAGTTCCCACCTATGGTCAGCTGATAAGATAACTTCTGACAAAGCTTCCAGATTATGAATTTTTGAGGCGTGATTGAAACGTGACTTAAGTTCGACCAAAAATCATTCTACAGCTCCAGTCAACGACTAAATACATCGTGTTCTCCTTTTCAATCTTTGGTCTAGTAGGTATTTATATCAATACTCCTTCGACAGAAAAGTCTTGGTCATGAACCAGTATTCAGATCGATCGCTAGCAAGCTCATGTTGCTACCCTCCGGTTGCTGCACGCTTTTGAGTTCTAGCCTTGGGTCTGTAGCCCTCAGCAAAGCTTTCCAGTCGTCTAGATCTCGCTCCTTCACGAATGGTAGGACTCCAGGCGACGGCAGCACAGTATCCATAATGAGGAGAGTTGACCTTTCAGCTTTCAGCGCTGATACGAGGTTGCTGAGAATGCTTATAACCTCGAAATCTGGCCAGTTGTGTATGATCATGCGCAGCATGTATACAGCTGCGCCAGTGGTCGGTTGAGGCTCAAAGAAGCTATGAGCCTTGAAGTAGACACGACCGGTCAATTCAGAGTCGTCTGATATCTCGGTCGTTCTCTTATCGTTTACTACAGCACCTAAATCCTGGACCTCGGAGCTCAAGTGAGGATCACGGCAAGGCCACTAGACCAAACGCCTCCTCATCTTTCGGGACTCGCAAGCCACACATCATGTTTCACATCAACGCTGTCACCGATGATGCCTCAGCCGAGAAGATCGGCGTTGAATGGGCTGACAGCATTGTCAATGCTATCAATAGTACGAGCGAGAACATTGGCCCTACCTATAGGCTATGTCAGCTTCATGGAGTCGACTGACCGCGCTGAGGATTGTTATGGCAGTAATTTAACACGACTAAGGGATGTTTAAACCAGCGTCGATCCTCAAGATGTTTCAAGATATTCACATGGTCGGATTCCGATTCAGTGAGAGAAAGTTCAGACTTGCTCGACGTAATTCCGTAATGTTGCCATATAAGAGAGATAGTGTAGTAACCGGCACAGAGACTTCAAGCCGTCATGCTTTGATGCAGATAACGTGTCAAATGTCTCTGCAATTAGTATAGTTCGTGTGAAGAGTGGCCACTGTTACAGCTTTCATTCTTTTATTCTCTTAGTAAGCAGTAAGTAACTTGAATGTGTTTATTCAGTCAAAAAACTGTAGTAATAATATTCGTTATCTCACATGATTCAACGTGCAAAGTACAAGTATGCCGGCTGAGAGAATGACGTGGAACATCTCATCGTCGAGCACTCCACAGCGTGGGAAATACAAATTAACAGGATCACATTATGTACAAAACGGATTACTTACAGTTTGTTTTATATCTTCTTCTTACCTACTTCTATACTAGTAGTCTACTCATATCATTACCGCTGGCTATCTTATTTGAAATAACTACAGCTTCCTCCCAAGTTATTCTATGCCTGAGCCTCGTATTCAATCGAGTTAACACGAGAGCCTACCAGCCGTCGACACATGCTGTATGTATCGCCTCACGAATCTTTGTGCAGGGGTACTGATTTAGCCCGTAGTGGACTTTTCTAATGTACAAATTCCTTCCCCTTAACGTTCTTCCATTCAACTCCCAATGAGGGGAATATTGAGAAGCAAGCAGCTGCAAGTCCCACGTAGAAGTAGCTACGTAGCGCCGCGTTATATTCGACCAAGACATTTCCAAGGATATCAGGAGGAAGGAAGTTGCGCAGTTGAGTAGCACCACCACCAATCACCTGATCGACATCGAGACCCGAGAAGCTGCCAAGTCTTGATCTCAGCTCGTTGTTGAAGACGGCTTGGGCAACGCAGACCAGGACAGAGCCCCCAAGGGACTGGGCAAAGAACATGAGCGACACACCGATGGGAACATCCTTCTGCACGAGGGCCACTTGGGCCCCTAGGCTAGCTAGTTGCATACCTTGACCGATGCCCAGTCCGAGAATAATCTGGTATCCAATCCAGATGCGTGTTGGGGTATCCACGACAAAGGTGGAGATAAGACCGCCGCCGACGGCCATGAAGATGACAGATGAGAAAAAGACTGGGTTGAACCAGCCAGTACCGTTGATGACGCCTCCTGATACGATGGCGCCAAAGACGAGAGACAGCACGAGGGGAAGTGTGTCGATGCCAGAAGTGACGGCATCTGTGCCGCGAATGCCCTGGAACCAGATCGGCAAGGCAACCAGGAAAATAATGAGCACTGCTCCAAGACAGAATGCAAAGATGGTGCCGAGCCAGACATTCCGCAGCCTGAACAGGCGAGGTGGTACGGTGGCGTTCTCCTGCTGCCAGTTTTGAATGCCAACAAAGGTGATGAGAAGCACACCGGCAAGGACTAGGAGAGCAATGATACGGCCCTCGTTCCACGGGTACTTTTCTCCGCCCCATTGCAGCGCCAAAATCAAGCATATGACGCCAGGAAGAAAGACAAGATTACCAAAAGGGTCAAGTTGCTTGATCTGCTGCTTGATCGGTGTGGGCTCCTTTGCGGCGAAGCTCGGGAAGAGGAAAAGCAGGGCGGCCACGGCCGCTCCTCCCACAGGAAGACTATAGAACTACAGCGTTAGCGATGTTTGATCTTACCGTGGGCGCAGAAAGAAGTGCATTCATGGGGTTGCTTACTTTATGTAAAAGCACCATCTCCAGGTGACGCGATCGGTGAACGCTCCTCCGATGAGTGGAGCAATCACTGAGGCGATTCCAAACACGGCGCCCATCATGCCGACATAACCCGCGCGCTTGGAGAGAGGCGTGACGGTCGTGATGAGAATGGTCGAGCCCGAGTATATGCCCGCCGATCCCGCCCCGGCGATGGCCCGGCCGATGATGAAGGCCACGGAGTTGGGTGCGACGCCACATAGAAGAGAGCCGAGCTCGAAGAAGAATATGGCGACGAGGTACACGGCTTTCGTCGAGTAAAAGGTGAAGATGCGGCCCCATAGTAGTTGCGTGGCCGAGCTTGTGATGAGATAGGCGCTGGCGTACCAGCTGATATCGCCGAGCGACTTGAAGTCGTCTGTGATGCGGGGAATCGCCGTTGTGATGATTGTGCGGTCTAGTGCGACGAGGAACATGGCAATCATGTTTGATAGGATGATGACGGCGAGCTTCAGTCCGTGAGGGTACTGCGACTCATCCTCGGCCTCTTGCTTTGCTGATTCGGATGAAGGAATTTCGGTCGGGGTTGCCGTGGCTGCCCGATCGGATGTTTCCACTTTCTCGTGATCCTCCGACATAGTTTTTTGACCTGGGAAAGGGAAGATATGTGTGAGAGTATAACTGATTTAGCTGTGTTCGGGGAAAGCAGAGAATGGCTTGGAAAAGAACGAGAAATGTTGTCGTAAAGCCGTAAGAGCACTCCGACTTTAAAGGCAACCTCATTTCGCTGAGAAGGCGCGAATTGGGTCCCGACATGCCTTGAACTCGAGATACCGTTGCGGAGCGGCACTCGGTGTCGGGGTGTCAGCATCTTCGGGGATCCATCACGGGACGAAAAGACAAAAACGCGGTCCCGCCATCGGCCCTTAGAAAGATTTGATCTACCATCCGAGACAGGCACATGGAATTCAGGCAACGATCGCCCTTGAGTTCCCGCTCGCTTAGCTTGCCAGGTACGTCAGGAATATGGGCGAATACGAAAGAAGTTGGTGTGTAAAGTAGGTAGGTGACTTGCATGCGAGTTCAACCCCCTGGTGAGGTCGGGCACTTGTTCACCTCAGCTCGGGACCGAAAGACTCTAGGACCCCGGTCAGCAGCGAGAGCGGTCCCGCGCGGAGGTTCGTTGGGTCGTTGCCATTGCTCAAGCCACTGGTATGATCCTTACAAACGGCCGCTTCTGGATCTCCTGGATGTCAGCCAACCGGTTCTAGCCAGCTTATGCTCATTCCCGCTTTCACTTTATTGTTGCGGCACACCTGTATGGCATAGAGCTAATGGTTGCTCCCTGCAGCTGATAACTGAGTCGCGCTGCTGTTTACTTGATGGCGTGAACATGCCCTCTGCACTCCGCTCTCTCTCTTCAATCCAAGGTAAATCAAAGAGACTTTTTCATGCTGATAATTTTCCTCGGGACCGTCCAACAACGAGTTGAGCTACCCAGGAAGATCGACCACACCAAGTCTACATCTCGTTCGCGATTTGCTTAGAACTCGAACACATGGCTGAACTCAAGATCACTAGAGGGCACTCATGTGGTCCATGCCAACACCGCAAAATAAGGTGCAACGGTCAGTCACCTTGTGCGTACTGCATCAAGACGGGAAAAGACTGCGTCCGACTTCCACGCTCTATTCGAACTACAAATAACCATACCGGTCGCACCGCTCAGGAACGGTTCCCGTCACAGAATAGTTCATCTACCGCCAAAGGCCAGGTCGTTGTCAGTGGTGACCAGCGCCGCTATGTAGAAGAGTAGGTGCCCTGTTCACCAGAGAGCAGTGTCGTAATATAAGCCCGGCAGCTGACGCCGCCCAAAAAATCAGCAATAAGTTATGGTCAAGTCTGGGAAACGAAGTGAGTCAACATTTTTCGATATATGTCGGATTTAGAATGAGGCCATCTAACTCTAAACAGATGGCCAAGAAAGACCCAAATCCTACCCCAAGCAGCATACCAATGCCATCCAGAGTCGAGCTGCCATCGACAAATATCAACCTGATATTTGGGCACAAATTGGACTCTCCATTTATGCTGTATCCCTCGGCTATTCAGTCATTTCGGCTTTGGCAGGTGTTTACCACCAACGTCCATCCCTTAACTAAGATACTCCACGCGCCGACAGTGCAGCAAGAGCTTATCCAGGGGCTTTCTGAGCCGGACTCCATACATGGTCCGACCGAAGCCCTTATTTTCTCGATATATCTTGTTACAGTAGTCTCTTTAACCGACGAGGAATGCCGGAGCCAGCTTGGTGAACCCCGAGAGAAGCATTTAGCGAGGTATTGCTATGCAACCGAGGCAGCCTTGAGCAGAGTCGATTTTCTGAGATCGACAAACCTCAAAGTGCTTCAGGCGTTCACTTTTTACCTGGTGAGTTCTTCGCACAAAAATTTCCGGCAAATTGAGGTCACCAAACTGATAGCTGCTAGCTGTCTTTGCGCCACCTATGCGATCACGACATCTTGTGGCTCCTAACCGGGCTAGCAACTCGCATGGGCCAAAGAATGGGCCTTCATCGAGAAAGCTCGCTGAAAGACCTGCCGCCATTCGAAGCTGAGCTGAGACGGCGAGTTTGGTGGCAAATAGTCATTCTTGACGGGCGTACAGCGCAGCTCACAGGAGCCTCGATGAACCCCGGCATTCAGCTATACGGAGACACGAAGCAACCTCTAGGTGTCAACGACGACTACCTCGTCCCCTCGATGAGTGTGTTGCCCCGTCCATCTCCTGTCACCACCGAGATGGTGTTTTGCTCAGTTCGCATTGAGATTGGAGTATGGATGATTGAGCAGAAATGTCTTCTTGACTTTGCGACATCGCCTGAACGGAGGATCAAGTTTCTCAAATCCATTGACGAGCTTGAGAGTCATATCGAGGAAAAGTATCTTCGGGCCATCAATAAAGATATTCCGTTGAACCTGTTGACGACGTACCTTGCTCGATCTGCCGTCTGTCAACTCAGACTATCTGTCTACCACCCCAATCACCAGCCAGAGAGGACATCTGAACTCGATGGAGAGCAGATGGATATGCTGCTAGAGAACAGCCTCGAGGTCATTCGCTACGACATCCTGTCACATTCTACTGGCTCTCTTCAGCGCTTCCTGTGGCATATTGCCAACTTCTTCCCTTTCGAGACTTTTGTCCTTCTCATCAGCGCCTTATCGAGCCGTGCCGGTGGCCAAATCGTCGACGTGGCCTGGCATGTCATCAACCAAGTCTACGAGCACCATCCTTGCTTCATCACGGATTCGAACGACTCATTGTACCGGGCACTCGGAAATCTGACGTTGCGAGCCTGGCAGCAGAGGATTGCAGCCTCTAGAAACGTCGGAATGGAGTTACCATTGGAGCCACCTTGCATAGGCCAGCTTGCGCGCCAGCGGACGAAAATATCACGTAACGCACAATCAAAGCCTCAAGTGCCGACGGTGAGTACGGGCAGTGACGGCCCCGCTACACCTCAGGAGATGCCCAAAATTCGGGACTGGCTGCAAGACGATGGTCATGCCTCTAACATGGTACAGCAGCCAGCATCGCATGGTCAAGACGTTGCGATGCCAGGGTTCGAAGAGGAAATGACAGAGATGACCAAAGGGATAGACATGGATTGGAACTTCTGGCAGGAGCTACTGGATGGGAACTCTCGGGAAAGCCAGGAATGCTTCCCTTTCTCTTCTTTCATGAATAAAGCTTGAACATCAGTATTCTCCTATTTCGGACATAGAATCATACCCAGCCCTTCGCACGGATTGATCTCAATGACCGCATAGTCATGCAGGAGACTTTATCGATCATATGAGATATGCGTCGTTGCCCCATGGCCCCGGACCCCGCACCGATAATCGCCCGCATAGACTTGCCATTTCGCACCGGGTGGAGGAGACTCCTACCGAAGGACACACACTCTGGCCCACCACAGCCCCCGGACGTCGTGATATCTACATCACTCCGATGCGCGAGGGAAGTTGAACAACATAACACAGCATATGAATACGAGATTGTGGGACTCTTTATCTCATGCCTGACGTGAATAGCAACCCCCCGAATCTAACTCGTCGTTCACATTTGCCCTCCCCTCATCGCCTTCATGTTCGTCCGAGGTAGTCAATCTTGAGCTCAATCCTGATCAAACTCACACCTCCATCTGTGTCAATCATGGACGAGAGAGCTCGCATCTCCGTTACACGCCCAGTCCCGAACCCAACGCCCAGCTACTGGCACTCGCCTCCCTCCCGTCTCTCAACCTACACCTCCAGCCCATCACCGCCATCAGAGACCGACACTTTGATCATAGGAAGTGGCATCACCGGCGCAGCCATAGCACACTTCCTCCTCTCCTCAGACCATGCTTCGGCCTCGCCCCCAGACGTCACCATGCTCGAGGCTCGCACCCTCACCTCTGGCGCAACGGGGCGCAACGGCGGCCACACAAAAGCCGCATCCTACCGTTCATTTCTTCATCACGCCGAAACCCTTGGGACGGAAGCAGCTTGCCTCATTGCCCGTCTCGAGCTCGCAAACATCCGAGCCGTCCACGCCTTTGCCGCGTCACATCTCAAAGACAAGGAGACAGAGAGCAAGCCTTGTCAGACGGTCGACGCGATATACGACGCAGCACAGTGGGAAGCTGGGAAGAAGGCCGTCGAGGCGATGAGGGAAGCCATGCCTGACGACGACGCATCAAAGTACGAGTTTTATGACGTTGAGGAGATGAAGACCCGGTTTCACGTCGCAAAAGAAGGATTATGTGGAGGCATTGGATACGAAGCCGGAAGCATTTCTGGGTACCGCTTCACCACAGGCGTGCTGGAATTATGCGTCGACAAAGGCATGAAGCTCTTCACAGAGACACCAGCATTAAGCATCCAAAAACTTCATCAAGGTGACTCTCAAGATGCTCACCGCTGGATAGTCGAGACACCAAAAGGACAAATCAAAGCCCGCCGCACCATACTAGCAACAAACGGCTACACTGCATTCCTCCACCCGCGCTTCCAAGAAGCCATCGTTCCGATGAGAGGCCAAATCACAGCCCACCGCCCGGGCTCCAGCATGCCAAAGGCGGGCCTCGCGACAACCTACAGCTTCATCTATGAGGACGGCTACGAGTACATGATCTCCAAGCCGGCAGGCACGCAGTTCGCCGGCGACATCGTCATTGGCGGCGGGCTGGTCCGCGCTCCCGATGAAGGGCTGGGCGAGTACGGCACGACGGATGACTCGCGACTGAACCCCGTCATCAGCTCGTACCTGCGGGAGACGACGCCGCGCTATTTTGGCGAAGATTGGGGCGATGATGGCCCCGAAGGCGAGGGCGGCAGGGTGCGCGCCGAGTGGACTGGTATCATGGGCTTCAGCCCCGACGGCTTCCCATTCGTGGGCGAGGTGCCGAGTGAGGACGGGCTGTGGGTTTGCGCGAGTTTTCAGGGACACGGTATGGTGTTTTGCTGGATGTGCGCGAGGGCGCTGGCGGTCATGCTCAAAGGGAGCGACGACGGCGGCGAGGAGGAGAAGGAGGAGGAGAGCGGGACGAAGGCGGAGGAGGCGGAGAAGCAGCTTGGCAGCTGGTTTCCCAACGCATTTAGGATCACATCTGCACGCCTGGCGCAGAGATTTGCAGGGAGAGTGAATCACTCGACGGCTGGAACCGCTGATCGGGCATAGAACTCAGAGACGCAGAGACATTGAAGGCATGGAGATGTCGAGAATCGGGAGTCACTCGCGAACGCCCACCTGACGCCGCGCGGGCTGGCTTGAATTGGCTTACTTGCTTTGCTCGTTGCGGCTGGATTAGAGTTCGACCGCGCCATTCATGGCCGCTTAGCTTAACCATCCCCTCGGATTCTATCGTATGAGCCCGTTCTGGCGGTCAAAGAAAAGACAGGTATGCCAGGGAGGAGGAAAGGGGAAATGGCGTCTCGTCCGCCTTCCCGCGGCCGTAATTAGGCAAGCACGTAGTAGACAAATGATATTGTTGTCTTGTTTGCTCTTGGCTTCCACGAGCCGTCGTCGGGAAAGTCGATCACGAGGTGCATGACTTCACAGCACATACACACGCGCCATGAGAATCTGGTACTTCTAGATCGCCCATTACTAGGACATGTCTGAATAGAATACGACCGTGGCAGATTATCGTGGACGGTTTGTGGAGTTCCTGGCTCAGCCGGCCACGTTCCTATTCGGCGTATCATTTTGTGTTGCAATGACCAAGTGTGTATACTTTTGCATCCAAAAGATATCCTCACGTCAGGTTCCAAATCGCGCGCGTAATTGCGGCCGTTTAATGTCATCTGCATGTCGCACAATGCGCGGGACCAGCAAACATTTGGACAAAACCCCACCTAGACGGCACCACGCCTCCACAGCTCGGAATGGAGGCTAGTTGTAATTATACTACGGATACGTACGAAGTAGGTCCCACCATGTTCGTCAGTCTCTACGCAATACGCAGTAGTTACTATGGAGTCCCCAATCGAGCGGCACAAGCGGGAAGAGTCTCGCCAGTGCGCTGGCACGGTACTGCTCGCCTCGGGATCGCTTGCAGGTGCAGGTTCAAGGGGGACCACTCGGTTGGAAACATTAACCCACAGGGGGAGGGTCACGATGACAGGATGGCTATTGAGCGTAGTGAGACGCCAGAGATGGGTTAAACGAGGAGGCCAGACCCGAGAGTCAGAGCTGTGGCGTTCTTAGTGTGACGTCCTGTTGGATGCAAAGGACTTCAGCCATCGTCTGTTAGGCTCGGCGGATAGGGTACCCTCCGTCCGGTTAATATGTGAAGGGAAAACAGGCAGCACAGCGTGTGACGGGTAGCTGCTGTTCTGGAGGAACCACCTTTAGGAGATCAAGCCTCCCCCAAAGTGCTTCCGCGAGGGACAGCAAAGGGCTAAAAGGGATACTTACTCGCCTTGGATTTGATATCATCCGGAAAACCGCGGGGGGGGCAGCTTCGATCCAGAGAGCTATCGGAGTGGAACGGCTTGCAGAGGGCCACCGTACACACACATCGAATGTGACTCTGAGAAGCAGCCATGGCCTCATTTCCTACTCGATGTGTACCAAGATTGCCGTGAGAACCCCGCTCGACCAAATGTATTGAGGTAGGTGCTTAATGCGGTCCTGGGCATCGTGGGTGGTAGTGCGCGCGCGGCAGCACGGAAAGACAAGAAGAAGACAGGGGGATGGCTTTGGCAAAGACATTGCCGGCCGGCTTTCTTCCCAGCATGCAAATGCTGCTGGATGGACCCAGCCAGCCAGGACCGCAGCTGTACGGACGGATATGCGATCCACCGCTCTGGAGACCTTTGACAGGCTGCGAAACCCGAAGGATTCAAAGCAGCCAAGCCATCCAAGTAGTTGAGACTGAGGGAGGGAGGGAGAGAAAGCAGCGCACACACAACTATCTGTACACAAGTAACCCGACAGAGGGGATAGTGGCCCGCAATTGCAGGCACAAGACATGGAACCACCCAATAGCCCTTCGATTGGGACCGCACACACACGTCGCCAAATGCGGTGAGCGTCAAAGTAGAAGAGATGCAGTTATGCGCCTCTGCGGCATGATGTCGGGGTCGGGCGTCTCAGCGCGAGAGCGAGGCATGCAGTGAGGCTTGGAAAACCCAGCGTTGATCTTGTCCTGTCTGTCGTTTGAGTCATGTCTACATGTGCGCGCATATACCTACCTACGCAGGCTGAGCCGTTTGTAGTTGACGTGCGTTCGTCACAAGCATCGCGGCCCCCTTTGTCATCATGCTGTGTGTGCAATTCTCATGTCCCAAGGAAAGAACATGACAGGACACGTAAAGCTTGAGAGGGAGATCCCTCGGTCCAACCTACATCGTAGTGCCCGATGATTCCGAGGATCTACATTGCGCCAATTTGGGTTGATTTGCTAGTGGCGTTTTGGGACCTGTTCGGCCAGCAGCGTTAAAGAGGTTGCAGCTCGGCCGAGCATGGCGACATGTATGTACGTATCTGTAGCTTGTGCTAGACAGGTACCGGTATGATGGTTGTATCGTCGGGCCATCAAAGTTTGTGGGATAAGCACGCAAAACAGTCTATCTGGCAACGGGATCGGGTGGCATGCGGTCAGAGCAGAGCAGAACAGAAACGCGTGCGCTTGCACTTGTACGGCCGAAATATCATTGTGCCCTAATATGCTGCAACGTAACTGGTATTGCAATTGGCGTCAGACCATCCCGATGGTTCAAGTCATGTTCGGTAATCACTCTCCCAAACCTCGAGGCTGTCTAGCACGTATGTATGGGTTTGAGACGGCGGCTGCGATGTTTGGCCGCCTTACTGCGTAGTCGTGGGTTTAGCAGACAGAGTGCAAAGTTAGGCCCGGTAGTGGTCGCGATCGACAGTCAAAGTCCAGGCCGAAATGCAACGGCTTCAGATCGTCGCGTCCAAAGCTGCCGAACTTGCTCGGAACCCCGGCTCATGGGCGGTGGCTAGCACGTAGTTCGAGTTCAGAGGTCCCCTCGAACGACCACATGTTGGTCTCTTGGGATCCGAGGGGAGAGGGGCTGAGACTAAGCAGCTATTAAGGTAGCTTAGGCCTTTTGTTTCGCCCAGGGATAGGAATCCGAAGAAGAATGGCTTTGCAAATTACACATTGCCGACCACGTTTGACATGCCAGGCTATGCTCCGCGAATCAAGATCCGTGATGGCGACAAGAGATGAGTTGACACAATGGGGGCGCAACCTAGGGCCAAAGTAGCGCGGCGGACTCTGGTCCCTCCTCCTAGGGGAGAGGCTTGGGTCGAACCACGGACCAGCGGGCACGAGTTGAAAGCTGCGGACGCCCGGGACGCTAAGAGATCATATGAACCTCGTAGTTGGATTAGAGCATCGTAGCTTGCCATCCATCTCAGTACCGTCTGGTCCTGATTTGGTCTGGTTGTCTGGATCATCTCATAATTCCTGTCTCTTATCCCATCCAGGGTGGATAGCAGAGTTGATCTGAAGCCGACGGTGTGAAGGCAAAATGAGAAATGAGCTGACGGAGATCTGCAGAGGTTGTTATTCCCGGTGCTAAAAGACGACCGAACGCCCGTTCGCTCCGGGCGGTAGGGAGAGACGCAGATGGTCGGGTGGACGAGAAGACGGGATCAAAATAATAATGCCCTGTCGGGCAAACAGGGACGAGTCGAAGAGTCGCGGCGTTGCCTTGGCGGCACCCAGACGTAACGGCGGCCGGCGGTCAAGCTCGGGACTTACAGTTGCCTCAACTGCCATTGGGTCAACGCCAGATTAAATGAGACGAGACGATGTCGCCTTGTGTCGGTCGATGGACGGGATGGTCGATGTGAGTGACAGCAGATGGGAAAGGACGGGGTTGTTGTTGGTCATGGGGGGCTCCGTTTGGGGCCCGGGAGGTTGCATCCGAACGTGGCATTCAACGGGTTGTAATAATGCAATGGAATGGCAATCGCTTGCATGGCGCGGGAAGTCACGACGTATGATACCAAAGCTACTTACATGGATAGAATAGTCGTGGTTACTTCCCGTACTCCGGACTGTATCAGTAAAGAGATAACTTCAAACTTTGAAGTATCAACTTGCCTCGGCCCTTGATGCAGTACGCCAGATGTAGATAGGCACAAGGTTGGACTATTGGAGAAACGACCACTCACCTGAAAGGCTAGAACGGCGCAACTGCCGGCTGCCGGGTGACGAGCGGCGTAGAGGCATGCGATCTTCGCTGCAAAGGAAGGACTTTTGGGTGGAAAGAAACACAATCGAAGCCCCTCCATGGGCCTTGCCGCTTACAAATGCCAGCATAGGAGTCGTACCGAACGATTATCCATTCCCCATGAAGTCACCTGAGTTGTTGAAACCAGATCGTTCATAGCTTGCAAAGTCTCTGGTTTCACGATGAACTACGACTGACCACAATTAACAGTGACCATGCCTTTGAGGGATAAACCAGCTCTTCTCGTAAACGTAAACATCTCCCAGCCAGTGAATACAGAATACATGCGGATCCGACAGACTCGGGAGAAAGTGACCTCGATGGGCCGGCCCCCCCTTCTCCCAAGAAAAGCTTCCTCCCGAGTCCCGGCCCAGCGTGCCATTCCTCTGGGAACCTCCACTGCGATGGCTGGGGCCCCTAGCTGCCCTGTTGTTCGTTAAAGGCGTGCAAGCAAAGTACTCTGTATTCGTAGAGTTGCAGCGCTTTATCCGTCTCATGTCCCTTTCCGTCTGGGGGGTTGTCTACAGTGCAGTAGGACTAACAGTGGGCAAAGGGGAAGGGGAAAGAGGATCCGAAGGGAAAAGGAGCGGAAGGGATGTCGGAATACCAGTTGACGACTTTGCATCCCTTTTCGAGACCCATAGACAACAGCGTGGCGATGGCTGTAGACTTGAGTACTCTTCATGTACTCATCTGCGCTCTTCTCGACCTCGGCATGCCCTCTTTGAGTATCCCACCAGAACCCATTCGATTTCTCGACCCTCCCTGTACCGCCAAGAGGGACAATCTGGGTCTCGGCCCCCACAGGAGGGACAAGTTCAAATCCCGAAATCTAAAGTCCCACTCTTTCTTTCAGGTAGTGTGCTCTTCCGGCCCTCTCTTCGCACCCGCTATCCGTGCCTCTCTGTACGGATACACACACACACACTCGCAACGGACGGGATATGCTCTTCAGCCAGATGGAAGTCTCTTTAAACGTGCTGGGTCTCGTGTTTTTCTCCGAACGTAACCTCCATGCGGCGGGTGACTATCTGGTCATGCCTGAGTTCTGGGCTGTCAGGTTTGACGCACGCTTTGTGTGGAACGTCAAGATGAGGGGGTTCTACAGTCTCCTAAGTACACAGCAGGAAAGCCACTCGAGCAAACCTGGCTTTCGAATCTTTGTGGCCAGAGAAAAGGTTCATGTTTACTTTTTTCCTTCTCGCTCTCCAGTCGAAGCGACGGATTGAGCTCGATGCAGGACAAACGGACCAGACGGCGACGCTTCTCTCCCTCCACCCTCTCTGACCGTAACCGCTGCTGCAAGGTTTTTTGTGATATCTGACAAAGACTTTTGCAATCGTGGGCGCGCACTGCTGGATTAGGAAGAGGGGAAGACCCAAGCAGCGCCGACGAGGGGGGAGCCCGGGTCCGGGAGCATGGACATGGGTTTCTCGTCAACGACTGCCAGTGACCGCTTCTCGGGAGCCAAGACCCCAAATTTTGCCAGTGCCTGCTCGTCGGTTGCTTGAACTGTGACATTGTAGCATCCGTCAACGCTGTCAGCATGTACCTCTGAAAGCAACCTTGGAAGAGTCAGAAGTGAGGCTTTCCTCGCACCGCGCGATTGATCCATCACTGAATGGCCTTCCTTAATCATGGTAGTGCGGACTTTGCGCCCGTTTGATGGGCGATGGAAGGTATGGATGGTCCTTGCTGACGGACTTGGTCACGGACACAGTACTGTAACACTGACAGCTGGATGAAGGCCGCCAAGTTGTCGAAACACTTTCTTGCTTTTTTACCCTTCCCTCCAATGGACTGGACTCAAGGGTCATTGCTAAGCTTCGGCACTCGGTCATTGTGTCGGGGACAGGTCGGTGGGCAGAAAAAAAAAACACTGGCAGCTTTGGGCGGAGAATCCTGCCGCACTGGAGTGTATGATATCGATCATCTCAAGTTCGTTTGTGTGGCCCATCCAGATCTTCGCCTGTGGGTTGATGAGCTTCGTGGGGTCCCGGGAAAGCGATAGTGTATGCTTCTTCTTCGGGACGTCGCGCAATCTCACGCAATCTCTGCGGACCCCATAGTTTCTAAGGATACATATGCGTGATCTTTCCGGGCTCGATCTCGCTGGAGACTCAGAGACGGGGGGTCCCCATCAGAAACCGAAGAGCCGCAAGACACGACCGTCAGATGGCCGGCCATCTTTACGGTGCCGACGGGTCGACGGCCCCGGCCTTCAGTTTCGACCGAGCTTCGGCGCTCTGTGCTCCGTGCCCCTTGTCCCAGCCCTGGAGCTCTTGAGTCTTGACTATTCGCGAGGTGCTCCGTTTCCCAGGAGTGCCCCTTCTCTCGGGTTGGCGTTTGGCTGTGCTGTCGGCCGCTCGTTGCAGGTTCATGGCGCTTCATCCCAGCAGCTTGGTTCGAGACAGTATAGAGTTCATTGACGAGGTGTTGATCCTTCGTGGCTCCATCGAAACCTGACTCCATGTCGAATGGCATAGCGTAGTGAACGAAGGCCAAGACCTGGTCCGACGTAAAGGTGTTTAGACTGACAGAGTGATGGGCAGGCCTTTTACCAAACGTACCTTACCTTACGGAGTACTGATAGCACAACTGACTAGACTCGTGACTCCCACCACGATAGACTTAGAGTACTCCGTCGTCGAGAAGAAATGCTGATCATGTCGATTATTACGGAACTCTCCGTTAACTTTGATGTCCCTGCGAGAATCCTCGATTCGTCTTGGGGGCCCTGCTGCTTCCGGGCTTTGAAAATGAGCTTGTACCCGTCCAACCCAAGTGGAGGGAGAGAAGTGGATTAGATAAGCATGCCCTGTACCATGGAAACGTCCGAGCCAAGGGCCCAAGGGGAGTGAGTGACATTGACTGGGAACTGGGCTGGGAGAGGGTTGGGGAGGGGGAAGCTTGAGAGGGCGAGAAGGGAGAGAGAACAGTGGTCAACAGATGGTCGATGTACCTCTACACCCGTAGGTACTTCCGCCTTGCCTTTGTCTTTGGCCCTTTGCCTTGCCTGCCCGGATCCACGAGAAGGGGGGGCAGAGTGGCCGGGACGCTGCACGTTCCAGGTCGAGGTAACTCCTGTATCCGTACGGAGTAGTGTGCTGTGCTCCTCTCCTCCGCAGCTGTAGAGTGCAGGCGAGGCGAGCAGGGCAGGGCAGGGCACTTGCTTTGCGTCTGCTGCTGCTGCTGCTGCTGCTGCTGCTGCTGCTAGAGGAACTCTTGTTCCCGTCCCGTTGGGTCGGCGGGCCCCCACACTTTCCGGTACAGTACGGGATGATGTCCTGAGCAGAAGTCCTAGGTCATCGTTGCGTGGCTTCAGTCTTGAAGGACTTCCTTCCGACGATGGTCCGCCTAGCAAGCAGGTCGATGGACGTTCCGCAGGAGAGTTCTCCATCAGCAGCTCCGGTTGCCCCTCTTCACTACAGAACATGTCGACATTCATTGGCATCTCGACTGGCCACGCCTCATCATGTGCTTCTCAGAGTCTTTCTGTGTCTCCTCTCTCCCGTTGCTATCTCGCCCTATCTTCTCCTATCCTTCTCTCCCTCTCTCTCGGTCTGCCTTCCGAGTGTTGACACTGCGCATACACGAAGCACATGCAGATTCATGTCCAGTCCCCATTATGCCACAATGTAGACGCTCCGCTCATTACGCACGCATCGTCTTGGCTCACATCCGTATGCCTACCAGAGTAAGGATGCTCTGTACGGATACAGAACACTGCGGCTGCTATGGATATTTCTCCACTCGGTGACGGCTATCGCTCAGATACAACATGCGGTTCCGGTTCGAGAATGAGCCCTACTGCCGCACATCATCGCCCGTCTCATCAAGGGTTTTGACGGCTCCTGACTCGCCCATCTATCATGGCACTCCGTGGCACCATGGCACCGCGGCCATGGTCGCAGCCCTAAGGCAAGCCACGTCTGCCAGCGCACAGCACATTGGGATTGTTTCTCAGAGCTGCACTTCGGCGACCTCGCAAGGACGAGAGGACCCAGAAGTGCTCGCAAGAAACCCCCATCTTCTTCCTCGATCTTCATAGCCTAAGAGCAATTCCAACGTTGTCTCGACTCTTTGGGTAGTACCTGTCGCAAAAAAGTCACCTTACCTTGACCTCAAGTTGCCTTGCACCCCTCCACTTCAACTACGACCTCACCAATTCCTACTCCCAGACTGCCTAGTTCCCCCCCTCAGTCCCCTCTTTCGAACCCTTCTCCCATCTTCCCCTCACGGCGTTCAACTTTTTTCGCCTTTCCTTTGATCTTGGCCCATTCTAACCCATCCCGCGCTGCACGAGCAGACAAATAGGAGGACCGCCGTGAAGCGCCATCCGTCGTATACAGAAAGTCAATGAGCTGATGTTGTGACGGACCATGTGCTCTCCCACATGGGGCCACGTTCGTTAATTCTTCTTCCCGCCGTGCCTCCTGTCTGTCCCGCTGCTGTATTCACGGTGTAGGTACAGAGTATGTATCCGTACGGGCTGTGCTTGTGTTACCTACGCACGCAAAGGCAGGGTGATGCCAATTTTGGTGCAAAACAGACGTGCTTCATCCCCAAATCCCTGACTTGAGCCAATCATAAGCCCATCACGACGCCTTCGTTCCTCATTCCCGGGTCCCCACGTCTTCAGGTCTGACCCGACAGCTTGTTTTGAAGGATTCCTTCCCCTCCCCTCCGACGCCGATGCCCTTACCCTCTCCCGCTGCCCGCACCACTGATGTGCGCAGCCACCCCACTGACAGTGGTCGTCTGTATGTTGTACCCTGCCTGTTTCGTTCCTTGCCCAGCCCATCGTATCTGAACGGGAGACGCACACACACGCACACACGCACACACACCTAGTCACCCCAGGCCCCAAGGCCCAAAGCCCCCCGGGGCAGATTGATGGGCGTTAGGCACATTTGAGGGAACAGTAGGCGGCTGACGAGCTAGCCGGATTCGAGGCGTCTTGCCTACGGGTAGCTCACTAGAGCTGTCGAGGCTGTCTTGTCTGCGCAGTAGGCATGGTAAGCTTGCTTGGTGCCAAACATCGCCAAGGACTGGTTACACACTCGTTGAGCATCCCTCATCTTCATCTTCATCTTCGTATTTATCGTCGTCGTGAACATGTAAAGTCGTCAAAGATGATGGCTATTCAGTCGTCAGGTAGCTGCGATCATAGTGTAGACCCTGGCCTGCAGAGAACCACAGCCCGGGTATCGAGCGGGAAAGCATTACCCGCCCCTGCACGTATAAGTCATCCAAGCCTTGCTGTAGCATTTCAAGTATCGAAGCAGAAGCGCAAGTGCCACTTCTACCTACTTGTACCTGGGCGAAGCAATATACATTGGCCTCGACCGCTCATGTACCTTTCCTTCCCTGCCTTATTTGCCTACTGCGGTACTTAGTGTATCCGTAGGTTCGCTTTCCATACGTAGTACTTCCTGAGAGAGCAAGAGAGGGCCACAGCAACCCGTGCAGGGACGCGGAGCAGCAAGACCTGGACCTTGCCAGTCGTCCTTACTCCATACCGCAGCACACTACTCAAGCATCCATGCTCTCCTTCAAGTCTACATACATTCTGCTTGCTGCCTGCCTCTCATTGTCCCTTGCCTTTGGACCACTGACACCAAACACATACATAATCGCTCCCTTTTCACCTTTGTTTTCGCCATCGTCTTCTTCAACGTTGCCATACTGTCGGGCCCTCGAGATTCTCCACGGCATCGTCTGCCAACCCAGGATTCCTCCTGCGACTTCTCCCGTCACCTTCACTCCCAGTCTTGCTCAATCGGCCGGGAGGTTTGTCGAGTTGCTGATCAACTGTCAAGACAAGGCCAGTCGAAGGATTCGAGATACCTACCAGGGTCGACAACCTCTTTCCCCCGCACAGGGCATTCGGCGAACAAGCCGATCTCACCACATTCCGCTTCGTCGAATCGTCGCTGCTCACACCCTAGCCACGACGAAGACGACGACGGCCGAGAACAAAGTCTTGTCGCGTCAGACTGAACACCGCTCTTCTAGACGGACGCTAGTCGACGGTCGAAGTTTGCTAGACAGGTTGCAGGTTACATAGCTCTACACACAAACGAAGCCTGATCCCCCACCCCTGATACCAAAAGGTCATCCACAAACACCATCTCATTCTCAGCCATCCGCCGCCTCCTCTGGTACCGGGCTCCTTCAGCTACCTTGACGGTACGTACCTTCACGACTTTATTAGTCTATGGGATGACCCCCTTCGCCTTTCCCCCCGTCGTCGAAGTCATTCGGTTTCTGAGGCACCTTCACGGGCCATTGTCAAAGTCGATGCCGAGCTGTCCAAACCACCATACCCTTCCTCTCTTAACACCAGGCCAGTCCCGTCGCAAGACATGCCAGAATTCCCGAACAAACAGTTGTTAAATCGAACCCTGGTCCCCTTCCATCTTTCTCTTCGCTGCTCGCGTCCGCGATTTAACTCGTCCCGAACAAAGCGCACGCACACCACCCCCAAATAACCCTCTCCCATTGTCTCGGGTTCCTCCTTGCCATCCGCTCCATTACTTTTTTTTTTATCCCTTTTTCCTTATCCAGTACCTATCCTTCTCTTCTCCGAGACAAGCAGCGCAAAGCTTGCTTTCCCATCATTCGTTCTCGCCTCCCCGCTCCCACACCTCCAAACAGATCGACGTTTTCGTCCAACATCTTCCCTATCCAGATCATTCTATCCACAAGCGGCTCGACCGCTCCCCACGCCGCTTCGGGACTTTTCTGATCTGACGGTTGGAAACAGACAAGCCTGGCTGCCAATCAGGGACGTCATCGCCGGCATTTTGGTCTTGGTGGAGGGGTCCCTGATTTGAATTTTTCGTCCCTGGGAAGCTTTCTGACGTTGAGCAAGCCAAGGTTTAGATTTGGATCGCTTCGCATTGCCATTTGTGCGTCGTCAACTTCTCGACAATCTGGACGCCTGTCGCAGAAGACCTTTCTCCACGCCCGCCGACAGTGGACTTCGTGTGCGCTTGGCTTCGGCAGGTCGACTTGACTGGTATCTGTTGGGTACGAGGGGCACCAAGCAGATCATTCTCGTCCACAATGAATTCGCCGCCAAATTCATTACGCGAAGAACAACTGAGAGACCTCTTGGTGAAGTCCGCTCGCGGTCCGCCTACAGACCAAGAACCGCCCGAAAAGCGGCTTAAACTCGGCGGCCCCCCTTCTCCGGCAACCTCAGGCCCGGCCGTCATGTCACCGCCCGGTTCCACCGATACAACTATCACTGTCGGTTCTCATAATGGCGATGAGTACGATACCGAAAGCTTGACCGACAGTGTGAGAGAGCACATGTACGAGAACCGACTGCGATACCACGCCTACCGCGCAGGACGTTATGCTTTTCCCAATGATGCCATTGAGCAAGACCGCGACGAGATGAAGCACATCATCAGCATAGAGCTGAGTGGGAGGTACTTCTATTCCCCTGTCGATGACCTGATGGCAGGAGGCGCCGAAGTTCTGGATTTGGGTATGTGAGAGCTTTTTATGTGAGGCACCATGGTGGTGACGTACTTGAGATCATCGTGACGAATGGCTATCGCCACGTAATGCTGTCTTCATGCAGTTAACATCAAGACGTGGTTCATGATACATCGGCGTTGCTCAGAGCGACACCAGAATCTTACGACGTCACCACCTAGCCGCTTGTTTACATGTTGGCATATTCATTGCAACGTATCTGGTTAACATTTTCATTCACAGGTACCGGTCCCGGTCACTGGCCTATTGAACGTAAGTTTCCTGTCCACAAGCACGCGCTCTCTTCCCCGTCATATACCTCAGTTTCTTCAATCACGGATCTTTTCACTCCATTGCCAATAGCACTCCTATCATGGCAGGCCGTATAACTTACCTGTGACACTGTAGTCGCCGATATGCATCCCAACTCTACATTTCTCGGCATCGATCTATCTCCGATTCAACCGAGTGAAGTCCCACCCAACTGTCATTTTATGGTCGACGATATCGAACACGAAAATGGATGGGATCTAGAAGAAGAGTACTTTGATTTCATCCATCTACGACATACCTTGCACTCTATCCGCGATCGTAACGACCTCATGCAAAGAGCTTATAGGTAAACATCTCATCGCATGTCCCATGCCCCCTTCCAAGCAATCGATCGAATGATGGTCCCTTTAGACAGAGACTAAACTCTAGCAGGCACCTCAAACCCGGCGGTTGGTTCGAGATACAGGAACTCGAGTTCTTTCCCTTGTGCGATGATCAGTCATGTCCAGATGGAGATGGCTACGGTTTCCGGGTTTTCACGCAGTACCTCGACGCGGGATTGAGGGTACTTGGATCAGAAATGCATGGGATTCGCGTCGCCGCTGATGAGATGCGGGCCGCTGGTTTTGAGAATGTGGAAGAGGACAGGAGGAAATGTCCCATCGGCGACTGGCCAGCAAGGCCTGAGCT